AACCTTACTATATTTCATTAGGTCAGGGAAAACACCGTCATCTATACATTTATTGAAAATCACAGCCAGATATGGCGCTACAGTTTGGATAAGTGACTTGCAAACTATTACCGATAAGCCCCAAAGATCCTCCGTAGATTTGGTCTTGATTTCTTTAAAAACTTTTATAATTTCTAGAGGATTCGTATATCGAAAACTAAAGTCGTATTGACATGATTCTATGTTGTTCTTAAGCAAAGTTACAGATAGGTTTGCTGATGACTTTAAATGTTCAGTTGTTTTAATAGGAATGTTAGTAAAAAAATGTTCAAACTCCTGGGCTACATCTACGTTTGATGAAATCTGTCCCCTTTCGGTATTTAAATTAAATTCTGAGTTTCTTAATCTTTTCCTACCAGTCTCGTTGTGTATAACTTTCCAAGTAGTTTTTATCTTATCATCAGACGATTTTATTTTATTACTAATATAAAGACGTTTCGCGACTCTGCATACTATTCTAAAGGTTTTTGAATAAGATGTTACATACTGGTGAAATTGGGGGTCGTTTTTGTACGGTTTCATTCCATAAAGTTCAAAAAGTCTGTCCCTACTCTTACGAATACCTACAGTTGCCCAATCGCTAAATACGAATTTGGTATGAATATCTTTATTTTTTATTGGCAAAATATTGTTAAATTCCTTGTTTAACATCTCAAAGAAATCGTTGTAGAAATTATTCGGATTACTAGTATCAAATACTTTCATACATAATTTAGTAGCTAAAGAATTGCTCAATTTCTCCAGATTTTTGAACGTGATTTGTCTAAATCTTATTTGAATTTTTAAGATAGGTAAATAAGAGCTATACGCAACCATTAGTCCACAGTGGTCGGATGGCAAGCTATTTATAATATGTTTTTCTTTGTAGTCACAATTACAGAAAATATTATCAATACAGGTGGCGGTAGAAGATGTTATCCTTGTTGGTTCTAAAAAAACATTTTTCAAATTAAATGATCCAAATAAATTTAACAATTCCATACTACTAGTACTATTTTCTAATAAATTAATATTAAAATCGCCACATATAATTACTGATTTGTGACTAGAACAAACCTTCCTTAAAACATCCTCCATGACAGAATCAAATACTGTAAGATTCTGATAGTTAGGTGGCCTATACACACAGACAATAACATGTCTATCTAGCTCAACACAGGACAACTCAATGGTGTGTTCAACTGACAGTGCTACAATATCTTTCCTTCCTTTTGATTTAATACTATTTTTTACTAATATTAAGGACCCACCATGTAACATATGCTTTCTACTGAAATTACTAACTACATTGTAATTATCTAAATTTAAAGATATTAGTTGGTCCTCCTTAAACCAATGTTCTGATAGACAAATTACATCAAATTTAGTCTTTTCCAGAAACATCTCTAATTCAAAGACTTTTGAGGAGCAGCCCTGAATGTTAATATAAAATAATTGTAGATTGTGCTGCCCTGTGTATAATTGTTCTGTGCTTTTTCCTTGCCAGAATATACCTTATTATTTATATGATTTATGAAGGTATGTTCTGTTGTCTTAAAATCTAGTTTAAACTTAAATTAAAATGTGCCTCTGTGCTGTTAGACACTCTAGACAACACAGATTCGTCCTTAAAACTATTTTCTGTTATACAAGGTATAACAGTGTTAATATTATATGCTATCAGCATAGCAATTTTTGTCGACATTTTTTTGAAAGGTGTATACCTTTCTTTGTAAAAACAAAAGTACTAATAAATTTATTAGTGTCAAAGAAATAAAAGTCTGTCATTGTGACATGTCATTTGGTGTAGTGTATTATTTAGTACACCTATGTATTTGTTCTTAGAATGTGGTAAAGTATTAGAATATGGGAAGGCACACAATATTATCTTCCCTATGTTCAAGTTCAACAAGGTGTCCACACCGTTCACAATGTCCCCTCTTGTTACTCCTAAGCTGTTACCTAACATTAAAACTAAAACTGACTTTTCATTTAAATCTGCATGAGTTATTTGTTTATTAATATTTTTATAACTCATGTTGTGGTAACTGTTGTTTATAAAACTTTGATTAAGATGACCATACAGCATTTGGCCAAATCCAGAACCTAATTCATCACTGTAGACATGTGTTTTATAATTTGCTGTATTATTTGGTAGGGTATTTATTGCAACTTGAGTAGGTAGCAAAAGTGAAGCCTCCGGGGTCTGAGGTTGATTCACACAACTGCATTCTAGGTTATTTGTTAAGGATTCATACCTTTCTGCGTTGTTCTTCACCAAATCCATCAGCTCAGAGGCCACAAGCAGGTGCTCACTCAACTGTTGTTGGGAATATTTGTATTTCTCAAATATCTCCCTCAACATACCTTCCTTTGTCAATTAATTAAGTTATATCATTATGATATGAGCTTATGGCACCGACTTCTAACCTATTGGTGGGTGGGTAACCTATCAGTATTAATAATAATAATTTTTTGCTTTTTAGTTTCCACCTTTTGCTTGTTATTAGTTTTGGTTTTTTGAAGTCGGTTTTTATACGCAGTTTTTATTTTATTATTTTATCATTTTCAGTGTAAAGCTACATAGATCCGTTTTGTCACTTATAATCTACATAGGTGCGAAGTCCTAATCAATACAAATTATACAAGCCCAAACACAAGGTAGTTACTATTAACCGAAGGCAACGAAGCGCTGTCTCCTCATAACCCAGCCGTCGCGAAGGACACTACGGGTGTCGGGGGTCGCTGGACGATCTCCGGCCACCATAAGCACGGGCCTGTGGACTGCGAGAATTGGTAAATCGCCGCTCGACCCGAACCAGACCCGAGCGGTGCTCAAGGAGCCATCAGACCACCACAGATGGTGTCCAATAGGGCTGATGCCGATACGGAGCCGCGTAGAACTTAACGGGTTACCGGGGCTCCAGTTCGAAGTGCAGAAGTAGGAACGGGGTAGTTTTTAGTCAATAAGAGTTTGACAGTCTCTCCCGCCTAGGTGAGGCGGGAGAGACTGTCAAACCAATCGACGTTATCCCTCCTTAAAAAAAGGGTTGTTTTTGTGCAAGACACTTTTTTAATTTTCTGAGTGCATAAACAAACTTATTTATTTTAGAGTACAACATGTCCGTTTGTGGCTTCCATTTACAATTCCTGTCTAGCACAATGCCCAGTTTGGTCTCATGTATTTCCTCTATTGGAATATTTTTATGTTGGGTACCTAATTTGTTATAATTTGCTATTATTGGCTGGCTGGGTTTACGAATTGGAGTATTTTGGTTTTGGAGATATTAGCAGTTAGATTATTATGAGAGAGCCCGGTCATTATAGACGATATTACGTGGTTTAGTTTTGACCTTTTGCTTGTTTTTAGTTTTTGGTTTTTTGAAGTCGGTTTTTTAAACGGGTTTTTTATTTTATTATTTACAATGTAAAGCTACATAGATCCGTTTTGCCACATATAATCAACATAGGTGCAAAGTTCTAATCAATACAAATTATACAAGCCCAAACACAAGGTAAGTAGTTACTGTATACCGTTGAGGAGTTCTCTTAACAATTACACTTCTTCGTCATCAGACCCTTAAAGACTGTCCCACTCTATCTAGGTGTAAAGTCCTCATCAATACAAATTAATCAAGCCTAAACACTAGTTAGTTGATATAAACTGCTGAGGAGTTCGCTCGACTGTCTGTTGACTCCAGACCTTTATCAAATTGTAGTGATCAAAAATTCTAATTGAAAAACATAATAAACGCATTAATCGCCCGTAGAATTTTTGAAAGTTCCCCTTGGTTTCCCTAGGATCCCATCATCAGATCCTGACCTCATGGTAATGGGACCATCTTGGGAGTATACCCTTTCAAATAAAACAAGTTTGGAAATCGGTCCACAAATGGCCGATAATGCGCGTAAAAACAAAAAAAAACAATCAGCCGAACATAGTAACTACCTCTTCCTTTTTTGAAGTGGGTAACATTTTTTCTGTCTGGATGTTCACGCATCACGCAAAAACTACCGGTCAGATTACGACGAAACTTTAAAATCCTGAGCACAACACTGGGTATTTATATTTTCGGGATAAAAAGTAAGTATTTTATTTTTTAGTGTACTGATTATATCAGTACACTAAAAAACAAACTGAATTGTGCGGCTCAATCCCTAAACAAAGTTACTGTACCAAACGCAAATATAAGTTTGTCGAATGTTAGGTTGCCCGCAGTGGACTTAACACTGTAATAGTAGGGCTGATGGTTCAAATTAGCTTGAACCGATATTATAAATGTAAAAATATATAAGTCTGTGTGTTTGTTACTCAGTCACATCAAAACGGGGGACCGGGATGAAATTCGGAACAGAAGTAGATTATGGTCTGGACTGAAACTTTTTACCTCTGGGAACGCAGGCGAAGTCGCTGGCAGAAGCTAGTTATGAATAATATCTAGATAAAATGTTTTATTTATCACATTTACTAAGCAATTTATTTATTATGTACCCATCTACAATGTACATTATATAATTGCTAGGTACATAATTAATCACTATGGGCAACTCGGCAACTATAACATAATTATGGATATGTTAGACTACCTACTACGCAGGCTACGCCGTAGCCATCCACTGTCTCATGCCGGAGAGAAAACAATCTTGTAGGTAAGTATATATTTTTGTAAGTATGTATAACTGAACTGAACTGTTCTGTTTAAGATGTTTTTCAATGGCTATGACTACTAGGTACATTAATCTAATCTAATTGAAAATTATTTAACTCTTTTAAAGCATTTTAGAATGGATTCTTACCGCCTAAGGACTATATGTACAACATTTGTAAAATAAATCTATCTTAAATTAATCGTTGAACATAAAACAAAATATATCCTGAAAATTTTAGAAACTCCCCGTTTATTGAAATCGGTTAGAATAATATCATGTATGTATGTTGTACATATTTAGATATTACATACTAACATGATATTATTGTAACCGACCTACTATCTGTACAAAATACAGAAAATAATAAAGGTGGCAGTAATTAGAGATCATGTCAACTTGTTCGTGTGTGCTCTCAACACTCGATATCAGGGATCCGTGAATGTTTAGTCCTGTTATGTAACAGGACATGGGAGGCTCGTAGATATTGCCAGTTGCTAGCGCCTGCGCGAGTCCGGATGGCGCGCGGGGGTGAGGCCGCGTCAGTCGGCGCTCGGCGTCTGGAGGTGCTTCGCGCTTCGCGCCGCGCCCCAAACAGCCGGAGCGGGGCTCGGGGCGTGGCGCTTACGTAAACACGCGTGGCACAAAGTTCGTGTTGCAGGCGGCGCGGTGCCGCGCCACTGTCCGTCCTAGAACGACCCCATGTTGGCCCGCGCCGCCTCCTAAGTTTATGTGGATAGTAGCGCGCACCCTGCCGCGCGGCCGCCGCTGCCACTGTCACCACCGCCGATTAACGCGCTTATAGGTACCTATTATTTTATGACAATATAATTATAGTTTTCAAATATTGTGAAGATAGACAGGCTACTAATTATTTGTGCTTAGTATGAATATCACATAGTGGAAAATAGCCATATAAATTACAATAAAGCGTCATCACTATCAGCGTATCGAACCGATGTACAATGAGAACCAGTGTCAGCTCCCTAATCTTCGTGGGCTTTACGTTTATAAGCTTAGCCTAAAGCTCTGCTAAAGATTTCAGATTTGGTTTAGTATTTTTTAAATAAATAACTGAGTTATATATTTGCACATGAATTATTAATAAATAAGAATCTGGCGAAAATGGTTACAGTACCTACGTAACTTATTACTGGCTGACTACTGATTTCCTTTGACTACTGATTTTAGTACTGTTTAGTTCTAAGTATCTACTACACTAGGTATCTAAATCTAACATCGATTTTGTTTCATCGATAGAATGTTGTCCTTTGGAATGTGTATTAAATCAAATTTGTATCAAAGCATTACATATGTAAGTAATAATACATACATATGCATCTGAATCACTTGCCTAACATATAGGTACGGTTTTACTTAGACTTAAATCACTTATTTTATATGTCTATTAAATTTAGGCAAGACAAAAATCCTACTGATATCCTAAAAATATTGTACTTTTATGTTTAGAACATTAGAAAATAATTATCATTTAATTAAATAAAAATCAATACACATTATAGTAAAAATACTCCTACTTTCACTGCGATACGCAATGTCATTGACCTTTTTGTTTGTGCTTGGTGTGGTAATGACCAAGTGAGTGAACAAATAGTAATTTGTTGATATAAAATATTTTGTTTGCTTTACTAAAGTTGGCATTCAATGTAAATGAGGAAATGTGCCCGGTATATTACGCCAATAGGCTCACCCCATATTACATGGGTCTCATAACATAAATAGTGTTACATTGTACAGTGGCATTAAGTGCCGTAATGTGCAGCTATGCGTACCCCTTCGGGGATAAAAGCCGTGATGTTATGATGCAATGCTTAATGTTATGCATTGTATCATTACCAAATTCAAAAAAAGGAGGAGGTACTATGTTGGGCTGTTTTTCTTTTATTTTATCAAAACAATAATACCTAAACGTAAGTTATGTGCACAACATCAAAAATTAATCTACCTATAGGTACTTAGGTATATATGCGTAGGTACTAAGATTCAGAAAATCTAACGACTGTAGCATAAAGTGTATACAGTTAGACTTTGTGTGAACTTGCTTATTTCAAGAGGCCATAGGCTATAAAATAATACGCTATGATCACTAGAAGCCGAGCAGTACCTAAATAATATTATATGTACCTACAGTATTGTTCAGTAATGACTACTAAGTACTAATAATAATTATGGGTCCATTTTGCCGCTAAAAACCATACTTCCATGTCACTGTGATATTTTTTTTTTTTTTTAAGGGGGGAAAATCATCGAATGACTGCTCCCGCCTGGGTGAGGCGGAAGGGAGTGTCAGACTCTTACTGACTGAAAACCACCCCGTTCCTTCTCCTGCACGTCGAGCCGGAGCCCCGGTTACCCGTTAGGTTCTCCGCGACTCCGAATCGGCATCGGCCCTATTGGGCCCCATCTGTGGTGGTCTGATGGATCTTTGAGGCGCGCGCGGAACGCGACGCGCCGTACGCTCGGGTCTGTTTCTGGTCGGACGGGGAGCCACCCATGCTCGCCGTCCGCAGGCCCGCGCTTACGGTGGCCGGAGATCGTCCCGCGATCCCAGACGCCCGGTGTGTCCTTCGCGATGGCTGGGTTGCGAGGAGGCAGCGCTTCGCTGCCTCACGCGTCCCGCCTCCTTAGCTAGCATGACTGCTTCGCAAAAGGAGGAGACGGCATCCCAGTCTCCCTCGCTCCGCATCATGGCCTGCACTAGGTCCGGACGCGAGAGGTCGCCATCGCCGATCACTTCCCTGAGGGCACGGCGGTGCTCAGCCCACGCAGGGCATTCTCCCACTGTGTGTTCCACCGTGTCCTCAGGGCGGTCCTCGCAGTGATGACACCCGGGCGTTTCCTCCCGCCCCATCAGACACAGGTACCTCCCGAAACTTCCATGTCCGGTGAGGACCTGCGTCAGGCGGTATGTCACTGTGGTATAGGTGTGGTAGAGGTATTACCACAGATCTGTGGGTATTACAAACAAACAAATTCTTCCGCTTTATATATTACATCAATATATACAAATGTTTACGTATCAAACTGTAATTTCTATCTACCCAGCGCACGAGTGGAGCAGATCATTCTATCTTCATTTTCTATGAGATAAATTACCTTCTAACTAGGCTTTGTGTCACAGACTCACAAGTATCGAACCATATTTTTATTTGTAAATTATTGAATTCTCATAAATACCTACAAAAGTTTATTTATGGGATTTCAAAATTTGTTTTCAAAGTTTATATTAGCAATTGGATCTTAGTATTGCTTTTTAGGTATAACTTTTTGTTTGCTATTAGTTTTTGGTTTTTTGAAGTCGGATTTTGAAACGCAGTTTTTTTTTCTTTCTTTTTAGTATATAATGCTGGAATACTGAAACGTTACTCAATTTTAAGTCGTGCTTAAACATCGTGCCATCTTTGTCATTTTACAAAAAAATTGTAGAGATAGAACTATACTTAAGCGCGACTTAAAATTGAGTAACGTTTCAGTATTCGGGCATAAGACACATAGACATGTTATATACTGAATGAGAATGAAATGAGTCTTCATTTTACCAGTTACTAGCTGCGCTCGCGACTTCGTCCGCGTGAAATAGTGATTCACAGCTCCTTCCCGTAGTTGATAGCATGATAATATGTATATGTCAAATACAGAAATGACCTCTCTACAGAATTATTAGTATAGATAAGTAGTTTACATGTTAATCTGCCGAAAATATGTTCGAGTAGGTTTAGTAGGAAAACCTACCAAAGTTCCATATTACGACACAAATGACGCTCAGCGGTGTCTACCATCGAAATTTTAACGGAATTATTTTAACGCGAAAGAGGGTTTTTCGACTATGGAGTAAATTACTAATGGTTTACTACTGACTCGCGTGATGATGTCGACTAAAGTGACTATTCCTTTTAACTTGGACTCCTTCGTAGTTTCCCCGCTTGCTTCACTCCTATTGATCACGGCGATAGATGATTGATAGCCTATTATCATTATCAGCTTATTAGTGCCCATTGCTGAAAAGCATTTTCTCGCATTTAAATCTAAATAATCTTAACTAGAAAGTTATAACTCTGAATATCATCATAGGCTATAGTATATCCCCTCTCAGTAAAAGACTACCCAACACAAATATCATTTTCAAATTCAAAACCAGTAGTTCGCAAAATATCGCCTTCACAAGTTCACACAAATAAACAAACTCTTCAATGCGGTGAGATGGTCGACCACCTCGGCCACCACGGCCTATCGTGTAGCAGAAGCGCGGGCCGGATAGCCCGACACGCCAGCATTAACGACATCATCAGTCGAGCTCTTGTTATCGCCGGTGTGCCAGCTGTTCTGGAACCAAAGGGTTTGGCACGCGACGATGGTAAGAGACCCGACGGTATGTCCATTATGCCCTGGAAGCTGGGAAGATCTTTAGTGTGGGACGCCACCTGCGTCGAGACCCTTGCACCTTCTCATCTTCCAGTAACAGCGGGTTGTGCTGGTTCGGCTGGTGCTTCTGCACAAAACCTCAAGCGGCGCAAGTATAACAACCTTGCTGGTAGTTATATCTTCGAGCCGTTTGGGGTTGAGACGCTAGGTCCATGGGGTCCGAGTGCGCTTAAATAATTCAAAAACATTTCGAAACGCCTGGTCGACACATCTCGTGCCCAGAGGGCTAGTCTTTTTCCCGGTCAGAGGTTAAGCATTCCCATACAACGTGGCAATGCTGCCAGCCTTCTGGGTACTTCTCCTCTGACGTCGAGGCGGACGAATTTTTCGATGCTTTATGTAAATAGTTGTTTTTGTTTTTCTTTTAATTAATTTTAATTTTAAGTTGTATAGTTATATTTAATTTAGTAATAGTTTTAATTTTATTTCAGTTTTTATTTGAATAAATGATTATGATATTTAACTCTTCAGCTATTAAATCTATACTTACTTGGTTCTAACGAAGATGAAGATTTTAAAGCATAAGTAGTCAAGAACGCTACCTACTAAATCAAATTAAAAAACCGACTTTAACAAACCAAAAACGAATAACAAACAAATGGTAAAAAACTAAAAATCTAAAAATAGTTAGGTATTATTAGTACTGATAGGTTACCTACCCACTGATAGGTTAGAAGTCGGCGCCATAAGTTCTATACAAAATTATTCATTAAAACCTTAATAGATACATCATTTTCAAATTTGTGGCCATTAAGTTGTAGGGTGACTTGTAACTCGACGTATTCTTCTCGGGAGGTGACCATACAACTAATTTCCTACAAAATTAGCCCTGAGGTCTCTGGTCCGAAAGTGGCAAGTTTCTGAGATATTCAACATTTTCGGTTTTGGTGAAAAAATCCCGATCGAACTACAAAAACATCAATAAATAAAAAACTACTTGTTTGATTAGAGTGATTTTAGTTTTAATTTGTTGTCAATACAACAATAAACATTTATTAATACGAATACTAGCAGAAATATCATTCGTTTTTCTAATAGAAGTTTTTCTAATAGTTTAGTAACCCTTAGTGTAATATAAATTTTTAAGCTAAATGCAGTTTTCTATTGACCAAATTAATGACTCAAAACAAAATTTGATACTAATTTACTTGCTATTTTAAAATGAATAACTAATATTTCTGCCCGTATTAGTATTAATAAATGTTTATTGATGTATTGACAATAAATTTAAACTAAAATCACTTAAGTAAATGAAATCCGTAGTTATTTATTTATTGATGTTTCTGTAGTTCGATCGGTATTTTTCCACCAAAACCTAAGATGTTGAATATCTCAGAAACTAGCCACTTTCGGATCAGAGACTTCGGGGCTAACTCTGTAGGAAATTAGTTGTATTATCATCTCCCGAGAGTAATACGTCGAGTTACCCTGTATATAATTGTGATATGAGCATAAGCTTATATCTCATAAGGCACCGACTTCTAACCCATCAGTGGGTAGGTAATCTATCAGTTATTTTTTCTATTTTTTCTTCTTTTTCGAAAACTAAAAAGGAAAAAATAATACCTAGTTATTTTTTATTCTTTTTTGGATTTTTGAAGTCAGTTTTTTAAACGCAGTTTTTATTTTTTATTTAGTCATTATATGTTTAGAAGACCTATCCTATTCATGTAACATCATCTCAATATTTTAAATGCTGATCAATCCAAATTAACTTCAGTTATTGTAAGCAAACTTAGGTACAAGTCTTCTATTCAAAATCAATGCTTCTTGCACTTATGTAAATATAATTAGTATCTACATAAGCGGATTTAGTGCTAAAGGCAGTGTAATAGTTGGTTTGGTTGGGTGGTGCAGAGAGATACTTATGGTCAATATTAATTTCAGCATCAATAGTGGAGATGCAGACGCGCACAGCGCTGATGGCGCTAGCCGCGCTTGGAGCGCTGGCGGCGGCGGCGGCGACAGCGGTGGCAGCGGAGCGAGGCAGCGGCATCAAGGTCGGCGGGGGAGGCGTGGGCGTGGGCGCGCGAGACGCAGGCCGCGGCGGCGGAGTACGCCTCGGCGTCGACGGACTTCGGCGGCCACGCACCTCGCCTGTGCCACCCCCGCCTCGTGCACCTTCCTCCATAACAGCAGCGCTTGTCGTGCCACATAAAGCCTTTGGCACTCGTGATTACACTAAGGCCGAGAAGGCAGCGCTATCGAAATTGCCGCGTAAACTGAAACTCTTCTCACACGTGCGCCTAAATATTACGCTTTCTACTCAAGGCTTGACGCCTAGTCCTATGTGTAAGTGAACGTATTTCAATGCATTTGAATTATAGCCTAGAAATTCATATCTTTCTGAAAAATCATTTACAAACACTGTCATAACTCTACTAAACTAATTCCTGAACGCTTTCAGCTATCCTGGATTCGCTATGTAAAGAATTTCTAGCAGTCAATGTGTCTGCTATCCTCTATCTTATGAATCATGAACAATATGGGCGCTCTACTGCCTCTGCACAGTATTTTCTACAACTCGCCGGCTATCTTGGCATACCGGTAAACATTTTGTCTATGCATTCTTTGATACCAAATCATGATTTTAATTAACTCAAGTATCGATTCTTAAGGTATATTAATGCTAGTTGTTTTTGCTCATAGGTTATAGCTTGGAACGCAGATAACAGCGGTCTTGAAAAACGAGCGTCGCATGCATCGTTACGTTTGCAACTCGCTCCCTCTATAGAACATCAAACATCGGCTATGCTGTCGATACTAGAAAGATACAAATGGCATCAGTTTAGTGTTGTGACATCAGCAATAGCAGGCCATGACGATTTTATACAGGCCGTACGCGAAAGAGTTACGGCCCTTCAAGTACGTAATCATAAAAATAGAAACTTTATCCATTTCTACTGTCGCGGAGAACCTAACGGGTAACCGGGGCTCCGGCTCGACGTGCAGGAGAAGGAACGGGGTGGTTTTTAGTCAGTAAGAGTCTGACACTCCCTTCCGCCTCACCCAGGCGGGAGCAGTCATTCGATGATTTTCCCCCATTAAAAAAAAATCCATCTCTACTAATATATTTGTGTTTTGTTTTTAACTGCATGTTTATGCAGGATCAGCTTTCCTCCCATGGTTTCCCACGTATGGTATTATAAAATTATGTGTCACAGTAAGATAGATAAAGCCGTAATATAGTTATACAAAAGCGATTCATTACTGCCTCTTGGACCACTGTATCTGGTTATTAAAAAAAGACCGCATCAAAATCCGTTGTGACAGCTGAAAGCGATGTTGTTTTATACTAAAACAACGTTGCTTTTAGCTGTCTGTATGTACCTCGTATGACAATTTAAACCTTCGTAGATAGATACCTTGAATACACGGTACGAATTGAACTAAGTACACCCTGCTACTTACGAATTATTGGTGTTTAAGTTTCTTATAAACGTCGTCGTCACTGTATTTTTATTTTGTTTGCAGGATCGATTTAAGTTTACAATATTGAATGCAATCGTAGTGAAACGGTCTTCGGACTTAAACGAGCTAGTTACAAGTGAGGCGCGTGTTATGCTGTTGTACGCGACGCGTGAAGAAGCCGCCGACATTTTGTCGGCCGCAGGTGACCTGCACCTCACTGGCGAGAATTTTGTATGGATTGTCACACAAAGTGTTCTTGGTTCCATGCAACAACCGAATAAATTCCCTGTTGGAATGCTTGGTATGTATACCTAGATTTTAATAAAAGTATTTCAAGAAGGTGACGTCGTGGTGGCCCGGAGGTTTAAGACGCCCGCTTCTCATGCACGAGGGTGCGGGTTCGAAACCTACCAACGGCAAGTACTAATGTGACTTTTTCCGAGTTATATGTACTTTCTAAGATTATTTAGACACCACTGACAAACGGCGAAGGAAAAACATCGTGAGGAAACCTGAACTTATAATTTCTAATTATAAGTTTGAAATCGCCAACCCGCATTGAGCAAGCGTGGTGATTAATGCTCAAACCTTCTCCGTGTGAGAAGAGGCTTTGCTCAGCAGTGGGCATTTATAGGCTGTTGATGATGATTTCAAGAAGGTATTAATGTAACAAACAACAACCCAGTAGCAACTGACAGCAAAATAGCCGCACCCGAACAACATAACTAGCATCTATACACCACGTTGTACATGGCAAAATAAAATAAAATTAGTTACTATCAATTTTTATAGATGCTCGTTTTTGGTAGTTTGTGCTATTCATACACACTAAGTCATTATATTTTTGCTTCTAGGCGTTCATTTTGATACGTCAAGTTCATCGCTGATTGCCGAGATAGCGACAGCAGTAAAGGTATTTGCGTACGGAGTGGAATCTTATGTGTCGGAACCTGAGAACATACGGTATCCGTTGGGAACACGGCTATCGTGCAGCGGCGCGGGTGCAGGCGAGGCGCGCTGGTCCACAGGGGAAAGGTTCTACCGACACCTGCGGAACGTCAGTGTCGAGGGGGAGGCAGGCCGGCCAAGCATTGAGTTCACACCCGATGGAGAACTAAAAGCGGCCGAATTAAAAATTATGAATCTACGACCCGCGTTAGGAGAACAGGTAAAGTATTATATTTTATCCACATAGCTACAGTCAGCTACATTGTCGTCGTGTGCAAAATATTATATTTTTTACTTAATTTATAGTTGGTATGGGAGGAAATCGGTACGTGGAATTCTTATCCACGGGAAAGGTTGATTATTAAAGACATAGTATGGCCAGGAGGTTTGCACACTCCACCGCAGGGTGTGCCAGAGAAGTTTCACATGCGAATAACGTTCCTGGAGGAACCGCCGTACATCAACCTGGCGCCGCCGGACCCTGTCAGCGGGCGGTGTTCGCTGGACCGCGGCGTCATTTGTCGCGTGGCGCCTGAAGTCGAAGTAGCTGGGTAAGCAATATCGTCTAATATACATCAATATCTTTATTAATTTTACTGCTACTTAAACTAAAGCGAGGCAACAAGTACAGCAAAAAAAATCGAAGCAGTAGTACTTAGTAGCTTTACCTACATATTATTGTTGCGTTCAATCATTACGTTACGTGAGCCTATTTTGACGCATTTTATTAATAGTCTTTTCTTAAAAAAAGGTTTCATAAAAAAAGGTTTTAAAAACTTATTTAACTCTGTTAGATAATTATCTTATTTTAAACTGGCTTCTGCCAGCGGCTGCGCCCGCGTTCCCAGGGGTAAAAAAGTAGCCTATGTTCCCAGGGGTAAAAAAGTAGCCTACTTCAGACTTAATGTACCTCTGTTCCATGGTTATTCGTGCTTGGCACTCTGGTACTTAAAATGGTGACGGTATTATCGCCGCGAAACTACTCATTAATAAATTTGAATAACAATTTAACCCAAAATAGATATAAACATTTTAAAAAGGCGGATTGTTGTAAATGATTATTATTGTAATTAACTAAAAATTGTGGGTTCCTCGCGTGAATAGGTATACTGAAAACAAGTGATTTTCACTTAATTTAGTATGTCTCACGAACGATAGTTAGTATAAAAACGTTATTGCAATTATTGCGGTCTTTACCTATGAAATTGCCGTTTTGTTTAAAAAAAATATGTTTTTTCATGTATTTTTTATTTGCATTAATCGAAGTAATCACCCATGCAATCAATGCGTCTTTGCCAACGCAGTGGCAGTTTATTGATTCTTAAATAAATCAGCTGAACGGGAGGCAACAAATTCTTCAAGGCATTAGGTAGTACTACCTCTCGGGTATTGATTTTTATCCCACTAGAAGTTATCAAAATTTTGGAAAAAATTAAGTGCCGTAATGTGCACCTCTCCGGGGATAAAAGGTGTGATGTTATGTTTAAGTCGACCAAAACCTCTGGACGACCACGAGGTTCATTTTTCAGTTCACAATTCCTAGAACCGAAGCGAGCAAACCAATAACAGGTGGTGCGTTCGTTTGTAGTGTTTGTTAGCTCCGTAAACGTCGGTGATGTTGCGTGCCACTTGCTTTTATTTTTTGAGTGGAGATAGCTGAAAGGATGGAGAGTAACATAACTTTTTGATTCTTTCTAAACCACTACTTTCCTAAAACAGGGATTGGAAGTTTGTATAGACCACTTTATAATTTTCAAGGTAGAAAGCTAAAAGTTGGTATGCGGACTATTGGTGACCAGCAAAAAATCGTGTACCATTTCGTTTTTCTTTTGTAAACCTGCCCCCAATCCTTGAATAGAGCGCGAGCTAAGCCGTCGGCAGAAGCTAGTCCATGAATAAAATGTATTCAGTTGATTGAATTCATATTTTTTCTTTCAAATCCCCCATCCTGATGCAGCTAAATACTATTTTTTTTTCTATTTGTTGTCAAAGGTAAGCTTTTGACTGAATAAACAATATGTATAAGAGATCCTTCGTAGTTTTTTCACATATCGGGTTACATATCGAAATTTTCACACAGTTACCTTTTTTCTCTTATTAGATATAGTCTATATTCAACAGGGATAATGTAGGATTGTAACGGTACAAGAACTTTTAAATCGGCCCGGTAGTTTCTGAGCCTATTCAATTCAATCAAACATCATCAGCAAACAAACAGCATGCCGTAAACAGTACTGCATTGTGTTTTATAAAAATCTTTACTACGCACACACCGTAGAACATTGCGTTACTCGTCGAGTCGTAGTCGTAGTGAACGTTTTGAGTAAGCTATGATAGCAGAAGATTGTAGATTGTAGTTCTATCTATAGTTAGCTACGACGTAGCTCTGTAGCTCGTAGTTCACTACGTCGTAGTTCGGTTGCTCGTAGCTCAGATGCTCGTAGCTCAGTTCCTCGTAGTTCGCTACGTCGTCGTAGCAGCCCACATTGAAATGCTAGTGATTTCAACGATGGAATGGGCATGCGTTCCAGTTATCATGTCAAATTTAAATTCATTTATTTGCAAGAAATACCTAAAATCATTTTATTCTGCCTGCAAGCAAGCGTGCAAAATATTAATATTCCAATTTAAAGTCACCATAACCGTCGCACTTAACACTGCATTGTTACTAGGAACTAAATATGACACTAAATTTTAGTTTGGAAGCTGGAGCGGCTCATGGTAACAGTTCGCTGTATCAGTGCTGTAGTGGGTTCTGTATAGACTTACTGCAGCAATTAGCCGAGCAACTCGGCTTCACTTACGAGCTGGTTCGAGTCGAAGACGGTCGTTGGGGTACTTTGCACAACGGCAAGTGGAATGGCCTCATTGCAGACTTGGTCAATAAAAAAACTGACATGGTAAGTAAATTAGTTGTTTGTTTAACCATTTAAACTTGTGTTGTGCATAAGCATATTCAATCACCTGTACAAACTACCGTAATATACAATTTAAATTTTAGGTCCTAACATCGCTCATTATAAATTCGGACAGAGAAGCGGTTGTGGATTTCAGTGTGCCATTTATGGAAACTGGTGTCGCAATTGTAGTAGCCAAGCGAACAGGCATCATATCGCCGACAGCGTTCCTGGAGCCATTCGACACGGCGTCTTGGATGCTCGTGGGCGCGGTCGCTATACAAGCGGCTACTTTCTCCATCTTCTTCTTTGAGTGGTTGTCGCCAAGTGGATTTGATTGTTCAACTGGCAATAATTCTAAACGTGTGCCGCAAAATCGCTTTTCTTTATGTCGGACTTACTGGATCGTTTGGGCTGTTCTGTTTCAGGTACGATACGATACGATAATTAAGGGTATAGATGTACCCGTGTACGAATAACGTGACATATAAATTGTATTACTAATATGAAACATGAAATTGTTTATTTCAGGCGTCAGTACATGTAGACTCACCTCGAGGTTTCACCGCCCGTTTCATGACCAACATGTGGGCTATGTTCGCGGTAGTATTTCTTGCGATATATACTGCCAATCTAGCTGCATTCATGATCACGCGAGAGGAATATCACGAGTTGAGTGGATTAGATGATCCACGAATAGCGAGGCCACTCACTCAGCGACCCCCATTGAAGTTTGGAACGGTACCATGGTCACATACTGATGCCACCCTTGCCAAATATTTTACAGAACCACATGCCTACATGGCTCGGTAAGATTTTCTTCAAATTAAAGAATATTTTGAATTTGTTGATTAGACAACGTGAGGGAATTATGTATGAAATAACATTGCTGTCATGTTTTATATTTACAGATATAATCGGAGTACAGTAAGTGCAGGCGTCACATGTGTTCTAACAGGTGAACTCGATGCCTTCATTTACGATGGCACCGTATTAGATTATTTAGTTTCTCAAGTAAGTTGAAACAATAATTTTTAAAAAAAATTATCAATATAGGTGTCATCAAATAGTAATTTATTATAAAACATTTGTTCAGTAGCATCCATCTTTAATTATGATACGTAATTTTGTTTTCTATTTAGACAAAGTGTGTCAAAATAACTATTTTTCAGGATGAAGACTGCAGGCTGTTAACAGTAGGTGCATGGTATGCAATGTCCGGTTATGGATTAGCGTTTACACGTAATTCTAAATATGTCAGTATGTTTAATAAACGACTACTCGACTTACGAGCCAATGGTGATCTGGAAAGATTACGTAGGTGGGTTGATTACATACTTAAATGTTAATTTGCGTGAAATTTTTAGATGCCTTTTATTTTGTTAGAGTGTATGTTACTGTCAATACTGTTTGCCTTAGGTACTGGATGACGGGGACGTGTAAACCTAATAAGCAAGAACACAAGTCGTCCGACCCTCTGGCGTTGGAACAATTTTTGTCCGCATTCTTATTGTTGATGGCGGGCATTCTGCTCGCAGCACTATTGCTGCTGCTCGAGCACGTGTACTTTCGATACCTGCGTTCACATCTCGCCGCGTCCAGTGCGGGCTCGTGTTGCGCGCTAGTGTCTTTATCAATGGGTACCTATCATTTTTATTACGCAAATTATACACATGAAGATATTAGTTATATACGTATAAGTAACATTTTTTACATATTATATTATCTCCTAGGTCAATCCCTTACATTTCACGGCGCCGTCGTAGAGGCGGCGGCACGTGGTTTTGGAGAGAGGAGTCACTGCCGTTCTGCAGTTTGTGCTGCCCAGGTAGCCAACCACTGAAGATTATCTTTTTATCATATTACCACTGTCCAATAACATTATGCTTGTAACAAAACTAATACTTAAGTGCTCCACAGACCTTACAACATATGCACATAATAATACGAAATTATTCAATCTAATGACTGCCTCGACTGTCAACGACTGCCTCGTTGGCCGAGTGTTTGCAAGTGCGACTACCAGGCAAGGGGTCTCGGGTTCTATTGCCGGGTCGAGAAAATTGTTACTGAGTTTTAAAAAAAATCTCAGTAGCAGCACGAAGTCTGGAATTGTACCCGGTTTAAGGCAATAGGGTCACCCCCTATTACATGGGACTAATAACATCATTAACAGCTTATAAATGCCGACTGCTGAGCAAATCCTCTTCTCACACGGAGAAGGTTAGAGCATTAATCACCACGCTTGCTCAATGCAGGTTGGCAATTTCAAACTTATAATTAGAAATTATAAGCCCAGGTTTCCTCACGTTGTTTTCCTTCACCGTTGGTCAGTGGTGTCTAAATATTCTTACAAAGTGCATATAAGTCGGAAAAAGTCACATTGGTACATGCCGTTGGTAGGTTTGGAACCTGCACCCTCGTACATGAGAAGCAGGCGTCTTCAACTCCGGGCCACCACTAATAACATAAATAGTGAAAAGTGGGTGTTACATTGTACAGCGGCATTAAGTGCCGTAATGTGCACCTCTGACTACCCCTTCGGGGATAAAAAGGTGGTGATGTTATATTGTGTATTCAATTTCAGCCTCGATCGTCTCACGGCGTAAAGTTTTTTTCGTAAAGATTTTAGCTTTTTATTGCTAACGCAATTTTTGTTGGTATTTGTAAAGGTATGGCGAGCTCGACACGAGCGTGACATGGCGGTGGCGCGCGCCCGTCAATTGGCGGCGGCGCTGGCGGCGCACGGGCTGGCTGCGCCGCCACGTCGCTTAGCATCAGCGGGCGCTCTCCTGGCGGTGGGCCGTCACGACGCCACACATGTGCGCACGCTGCGACCGCCTGCCGATCTGCTGCCCGACCTCGATAGACCGCTCTCTTGCGGCGATTTACGCTCAAGGTACTTCCTAATTGAAACTTTATTTGAACATTTACCGACTAGTGAAGTTATAGAACCTACTTAGAATAGAGTAGAAAAAACAAAAAAGTGTTAATGACTATCTTTTCCTTTTCAGAGAGCGGACGCGAGTAGAAATGGAAACAGTGCTGTGAGGCGTGTATAGCGCCACCCTATTTCAATTCCTGAAGGCTGTTCTTACACCAAGTTATACAAAACGAAATTAGTTATACCTAATGTTAAAATATGGACAGATAAAAAAAGCGTTGTAATTATTAAATAAACTTACAATTATTAAAACAGAGAGCTGGACGTAGATAGCGAAGCGTTGTTGTGGGACCCGCGCGCGGCGCAGGCTGGGCGCCGGGCGCGTGCCCCCGTGTTGTCTACTACAATAAAATATATTTTTTGGACAATATAAAGCGTTTTAATTCTCATACCAAACAGATATGATTTTTATCGCGATAGAGCTACAATAAGTATGTAGGCACCGAATTATCGATACACGTTATTAGCTCAGTCACTTGGTAATTCTATCTGGAATGTTATCTGGGAGATTTGAAAATTGGCAATATATATTGTATATTTTGATGTAGGTATTCTTTCTGATTTCGTTTCGATTCGATTCCGTATGTGTGCCGCTCGCACCGCCATCTTGGAAAAATGACGTCTAAAAACAGGCTTATTTCCATATCTCTTGTCCTGTGCATTTTAGGAGAAAAACTTTGACTACAAAATTAAACTACTCATAATTTCCTACAATTCATGTCTAGATATATTTTATGAAATACAAGTCGTTTTGGCGCCAGAGCACAGCAAAGTTCATTTTTATGAGCTTTTTGGGAAGAAATGATTTCCACACTACGTGAAACTAGATAAAAAAAATTTTAAGAGTAAACTCTTAAAATTATATTTTGTTAAAGAAAATCTGATGATGGGAAATTAGGATTATCTCCTGTGTGATGGGTGTGTTCTCAAACATACAAATTCAAATTCACTCACACAAACATCACATCTAGTTCCGAATTCCGAACAATATTTGTGAAATACGCCAAATCTGTTCCCTGCACTGAACGAAAATCTAACCCGTGATAGGTACCTATCACGGGTTAGATTACACGGGTTAGACGTAGCAAGCGGTTACGTAGCTGCTGGCTGGCTGGGGACGTGCCCAGCCACTACTCCAACCGTGCAAATGAAACACAAAAATGAATGAATATGATAGAAGCACAAAAGTGTCGGTGGTTTTTTAGTGTAACGTGTAATGGATTACCACGTTACCAGATTTAAGAAAATGACAGATGTCCTTCATGTCAATGTGTGTTTCTGTATGTTCTGCGTGCAAGTCTATAACAGCCAGGTGCCACAGTCACCGTTTCGAGAGACTATTGTCCGCTTTTTTTCAACGTTCTTGTTTAAAATATGCACAACTCTCAGACAGTGTAGGTACAAGTGAACACCATGAGACCAGAGGTAAATATTGTAGCTGTACTATAGTTTAAATTCGGAAATCTGAATAGTCCGCTTTCACACAAAACAATCAACAAAGCGCATGTGCTCCTAATACGAAACCAAACGTGTTTGGCTGTCCTTAGACTAAAACTATTTTTGTTGGATAACTAGACGGCCTGGGCACATTGATATAAATCTACTGGGTAACATAGTTTGGTGCTAACGATGCCCAGAGGTTTAGCGTGGCTTGCCGTCCCCGTACAAAAAATGTTCGAAGGCCCTTGTAAAGGGTAAAGATTTCTGACCAAAGAAATTATTATTGTATAAAATGCTAATTATTTTGGACTATAGTTTTACTAAACTTCCTGCCAACTCTTGAACATTCCTTTGCGCATAGAGTAAAATAATATATCGGGTACCTTTGCGTGAGATAGAAATTGTTTATTTTGATTGTTAGGCTTAGTCAGGGGCGTAGCTAACCGGAGTTAGTTAGTTAATAGCAACATGCTTTCATAATGCGCCACTCTCAAGACTCTAAAGTGAACCTTTTTGTAATGATACAAAATGTGAACAGAACGTTGAAAAAAAAAATTTGACGTTGACTTTGACATCATCTTCCATTTGACAATGACATATGAGCATATGACATGACATAACACCAGGCGCGCCGGTACGGTAATACACCAATGACTATTGAAAATTCTAATAGACTCAGCAGTCCGGATTGCAGTCAGTTCTATTGTACAATAACATTAGAATTTTATAATAATCGTCATGTCTAAAGATATTATTGTTCTTACGCCCAATGGAAGGAGGCAAAAAGTTCATTGTACGCCTGATACAATTATTTTACAGGTAAGGAGTTCCATTTCATATGTATTACAAAATAACTTGAACTTGGTACCTACCTAGTTCTTATTTTAATGATAATTATTGTTATAGTTTCTTTTTGGATTATCTCTGTTCCAATGTGTGGTTAAATCAAACATACGAAAATTCTTTGAAACATAATGTATAAGATCCATATTAAACTTGTTAGGGTTGCTAATGATAAACTTTCTTATTACTTTGACAGAAATTTATGAGTGATTTAGGATTACCTATTAGTACAATGTAGGTATAATAACCTTATCTAAGTTTCTACATAAATACTAAGATACTTATGGAACAAATTAAAAAGCCAAAAATAATATTTGTTATTACTGTCTTAATACTTAATATTTGTTATTACTACTAGAACTATTGGACATTGCCTACAATCTTGAAAACATAACTAATACTCATAATCAGAACTAAGATCTATGCAGTGTACTTATTTCTTAAAGAAACATGTATATCTATCACATTTTAGATTTTATAATAATTTCCAACACATAAACCGATTATAATTAAAAATCATAGTTCATCATCATATCATGTTTCATATCGTTTTATTTTTACCCCACATATGGTTTGGTTAAAATAATGGTTTATTCCACTTTGTTCACCTGGGTGATTTCACCTAGGTGAACAAAGTAGACTTTTTGGAGTCCTCAATTCACCTGGGAATTATTTCACCCAGGTGACATCACCTAGGTGAATTGAGTTGACTCAAGTAGTCTCCTTTGTTCACTTGTCAATTTAATTCACCCAGGTGCACAAAGGCGACTTTTTACTTTTACCTTTGTTCACCTAGGTGAAATCACCCAGGTGAACAAAGTGGAATAAACCAAAATAATACCAGATATTGCAGACAACTACCCTTGCCTTCTTTATCCCACTTTGAATCATTTCTCTATGACTATCTGTCACTGAGATTCTGTCAGTTTACAATTTGCTAAGATTTTTCAATAAAACAATGTTCTGATATATAGACTACTGTTAAATCCCTGGGACGAAAACATGGCAAGATTTTGCTGTGGTGGGGATAAAGTAATGCATTGTGTATTTTCTCATTATTTTATTGTTATTTCTTTTAATATGTTACTTTTATCGTATCTAAGTACTTTGTAAATAAACATAAAAATAAAAAATATTTTGTGTTGAAAGTTAAAGTGAGAAATAATGAGAAAGTATATTTAATTAAATAAAATTGACTTTTTATTGCTACAAGAACTTCTAACTTTATTGCAGGTATTGGAAGATGTCTGCCAGAAGCAAGGTTTTCAACCTTCAGACTATGATTTAAAGCACCATAATCATGTTTTGGATTTAACTACTACTATTCGATTTTCAAATCTTCCTAATAAAGCTATGTTAGAAATGGTGGAAGTAGAAAGGAAAAGACAAGAATCTAATGTCACTATTGGATTACAATTGGAAGATGGTAATCATCTATTACATTCTAGAAAACTTCTGGATTCTACTTATGACAAGAGTATATGAGATTTAAAAGCAGAGGCTTTTAAATAAAAATCAAGCCATACTAGACATTGTTTTGTGTTTTACCAAAGATGTAAATGTAGTATTTTTCTGTGACAGGTGAAAGAAGAACAGCAGATTTTTCACCCAACACATCTTTATATGACTTAGTGATATCTCTGGCACCAGGAGAACTGAATTCTTTGGAGCACCCTACCATTATGTATATGCGACAAGAAGTTGTTGGTGAAAATGCTCTCCGAGAGAAAACTTTGAGACAATTAGGCTTAATTAGAGGTAGAGCAATCCTCAGATTGCTAAACAAACAAACAGAGGCAAGGTAAGACATACAATTATTACTTACAGTCCCAGTAGACCTTTTATCGCCTTTTGGTGTGCCATTTATCAAGTTAATTATAAGATTAAAACAGAAGGTTCCAAACATTAAGTTTAATTACCATAATGTGAAACAGATTTTTCAAGTATGCAGTAATAAAACCTGTAGTGCTATTAAAAAGTTTACATTTTGTTTATAGACAAGCTAATGTTTCTGCATTTTACCGCCGGCCAGTTATTGAGCATAAAGAAACAGATGAAAAAAATATAGTTAAGAAAGCAAAAGAACAAAAGACAGATGAACCTCCTTCAGGATCTTCAGACATGCATAAGCTCAACTTAGATCAGTATCATAAGCCTGATATTATAAATAAAGTTAAGGAAAGCATTCAGCAAGAAAATAAAAAAAAAGAAACCAAAGTTAAGGAACAGGAAAGTTCATCAGGAGAACAAATAACGAGTATTAACATCGATAAAGAGGAATTGATGGATGTTGATGTAAAAAAGAGTAATTTATCATTTTCTTCCCAATCAAGAGAATATTTGGAAAGACGGCTAAAAATTGAAGAAGAAGTTACATTTGTGAGTTGATTATTTAGCAATATTTTCTTATAATGTAGGTATAGAATACATCCCTCTATTTATAATAAAATTTTATATTCAAATTTAATCCAAATGTGGCGAATTTGCAATAGCAAGATGTTGTTGTGGTGGGGTAAGTTCACTTTGAACACAAATACGTTCTCTTATTATTAGAATAATTTATTTCTAAGACATTATTAAAACAAAACGCAATAGATATTACCTACTTGGTCTTTGACGCAAAACATTTGAGTACCCAGATTTTTTTTTTAATATTCAGCGCTTGAGTGCATTGAGACACAATACAAAATACATTGTGTCTCGCGTGGGTCCAAGTTTAGACACACGTCGGGTTAAAGAGAACAATCAGCTGATAGAGATAGATATGTACAATAATAAAATGTGTTGTTTGCCTTGATATTAACATATTGTTATGAAGGAGCAGGAATTCTAAGACGAATTAAATCTGGTTGATTTAACGGGGTACATTAAAATAAACCTTATGCAAAAGATCAGGACAATCAATCTGTAGACTAGCGCGTCATATCAACTTCATGATATTAAATTGGTGATAAAAAAATTTAATGCAGGCAAGCAGCCCCCCACCCAGTAATTAAACTGGCGTCCATTCGACATCCGTCCATGCATTTTTATTTTAGATAGGAGCACAGAAAGCTATAGCTTTTATGCAACCAGATTCTATTGAAGAGGAAATTGAAGACCTGCCTGATGACTTTTATGAATTAACTGTTGACGAAGTGCGAAGACTGTATCATGATCTACAACAACATCGAATTTCCTTAGAAAACACTCCACTTATATCTTCAACAAAACAGAAGGAGCTTGAGGAACAGGTAAACACAAAAAAATATTTTTCTTCTGATAAAAAGAATATTTTAATTTTTATTATAAAACATGTTGTAGGCATCTCTACAAAAACTAAATGTGTACAAGAATGTTGTGGTGCGTATCCAGTTCCCAGACCAAATTATTCTGCAAGCAGTTTTTACTCCTATGAACACGATCGAAGATGTTACAGAATTTATTAAAGGCCATTTACGAAATCCAAGCAAAGAATTTCACATATGTGAGTATTTTGTGAGTTTAGACAGGGTGACTTGTTATTATTTGAGCATAATATAAAATAAATAAATTAATTAAAAAAAAAATATCTTATGGCGACATCTGTTCTTACCATTCGGGTAGAAGCTGTGATGTTGACCTTCAGTTGATCTTCATTATTTTACTACCTACCTAAAGTTAGATTTTTTCTTGTAAAAAGTACACAAGAAGTGTCATAGCAAATTTTATTTTAACGAAGCATATTAATTCTGAGTCAAAACTGAAAAATATTATTTGATCTTTGAATTTGGGATCACTGTGTCTGTAAGAAAAAAAATACTTATAGCAGTTTCTCCGTTTTCAGTTTTACAGTTGCCACGTATTGACATTTGGAGTTAAAAGTTTAAAAAGTTGATATTTTACTAACAGTCCATTTCTACCTATCCAACTGTTGGATAACCCCAAACGAAATCTCGTTTAATCATGCTCTATGCTCTAATAACAAATCATCTTCTTTATTTAAGGGTTATCCATGAAATAATTAGTCTTTTTAAATTCACAGTTGTTACTCCTCTAAAAGAAACACTTGATCCCAAAATGACATTATTGGATGCGAAATTTGTACCTTGTGTACATATGCATTTTAAGTGGATAGAAGAAGACATGGCAAAACAACCATATCTAAAAGATGAAATATATCAAAAGAGAACTGCTTCTGATGCAGCCAGCATTTTGGCTTCTAAATATAGGTAAGGTGATTTCTTGACTGTGTCCTACCTACATAAATGAATTTATCGGAATTGATGCATGACCATTGCCATAGGCCAACACGCATCGAAAAAAAAATCAATGAAAAGTGAATCATCCGTGTGCGTTACCCAGGCCAGATGTTGTCGAAAATGGTCATTTGAATCTTATAGATAATTAGTTGTGCGGCTTCTGTAATCGTTGCACACATTTTTAAATTTGTTGCGCTTATAGTTTTTTAATTATTTCACAAAAAAAAAATCCTGCTGGGGTAACATTACCTCAGCCAGACCTTGAAAATTGTTGAAAATCATCCCCTTAATTTGATCATACAAAAGTCTCTAAACATTGGAAATAAGGTCTATAATGTAGTTAGTGGAGAGCGGTCACCGGTGACCACTTGGATGACTTTCTCCCATAAAAAAAAACATAATTAATCGTACACACGTCTGCCGTGTATCGGAATACACAATGTCAATTCCTTTATCTTCATCGAAGTACTTTTCCCGATCTGGACACACAATCGTAGTTTTGTCACAAATAGAAATTAATCCTTAAAATTGTATTAATTTTAGAGCCACTGCAAGAAGGAAACCAGATGATGCACCCAGCACATCGCAAAAAGTACCTTCTGCATCGACATCAAAAGGCAACAAAATGCCAAAATGGTTTAAGAACTGAAGATATTATGTCCCAAAATAAAATAGTAATAGACAAAATGATAATAGTATCTGCTATTTATTTTTGGAATCACACCAATGCACAACTTTATAACCGTATAAAAGGAAAAATTGCTAATTGGAAGCTTCATGTATATTCTTAGCATTTCATTATTTTCAATATTTTGTTGTAAATATTGTATACCTTTACACAATTATTAAAAATACGAAATAAAACGAACATGTTTAACTTAACTTTATTTATTTATTTGTAACGAAACCCATTACAATTAGGTAAAAAATACAACAGTTAGAATTAGATCATACATTACTTAACAAACCAAAACTTATTTCACAGCAGTGATAGTAAATTTGAATATTTTAATTAGTTTGGGTACCAGAGCTACATGAGATGGGTGGAGGCCAATAGTTTAGTCATCATCATCAACAGCCTATAAAGTCCCACTGCTGAGCAAAGCCTCTTCTCACACGGAGAAGGTTTGAGCATTAATCATAGTTAAGTCATAGTGGATGCATTTTGATAAGTATCTCAGGTGTGGAACTATATAATGTTAATATAACATAGATCCGACTACGTAAACAAGGTACTATGAAATACGCTTTAGTTGCTCAATATAAACTGTCAATAATGCAGAAAAAGAATAACCAAACTACAACTTATCTATACTTATTACAAAAAGAAAATACCTTTATAATATTTTGGGAAAATAATGTTAGAACATAAAGTGCCTTTTTACACGTTGCCAGGTATCCGGCGCCAGGTACCCGCAGTGTAGCCAGTGTATACAAATAACGCCTACAGTACATGGTCATACACTGCGCAGCCGGGTACCCTGCGCCGGCAACCGGAACGTGCAAAAAAGCACTTGTAGGTCAACACTATATACATAATTCTGGGACATTTTTCCTCTGCTGGTCAAAGTTCCTCGTTTGACCAGCCACTTTATTATTATTATTATTATAACATCACGCCTTTTATCCCCGAAGGGGTAGGCAGAGGTGCACATTATGCCACTGTACAATGTAACACCCACTTTCCACTATTTATGTTATGAGTCCCATGTAATAGGAGGTGAGCCTATTGCCATATACCAGGCACAATTCCAGACTCCGTGCTACTACTGAAAATTTTTTAAAAGCCCAGTAATACTTTGCCCACTTAAAAATAATAATAATATTTGGAGTATCATAGTTGTATGAATGAGGGTAAGGTCCCTAATTTGCACCTAGTGGGTTTTATAATTTCACATGTTTCAATAGAATCATTGTTGCTTTTATTTTCTTCATAATATCTATGTTCAGAGTAACTCTCACATTTTTCTTGTAATACTTTGCCGCGGTTTATATATTTTGTTTTCTCGTCGACATTTTGTACTATATTATTTTTATTTTGTTCTAATTTACTGGTACCGTTATGATCAACCTTTATTTTTGAACATTTCTTCTTTCTCAAGGTTGAAATGGTTTTATTATGTCTCTCTAAAGGCAAATATACATGGCGTTGTAAACACGTGTTACCTTTCTCACAATATCCCTTTACAAAATCTGAGCAAATCTTTGCCTTTTCATTCAATTTAACATGTAAATAAGGGCACTCTGATTTAGTGCAGGTCCCTTGTAAATAAAAATAACAAGTGGGCATTTTCTTACTTGTTAAATCATGAGATAAAAGGCAGTCCTTATCATGACAAATACCTTTTATAAATTTTCGGCAAATAGAAACATGTTTCTTATCGTGAAGAAATTCACAAGAAGCACGTGCATTTCTTAAACATTTACCAAATTTACGGAATAATGGACATGGTATATTATTTTTCTTCAGATTTCCTTTTATTACTCTTTTAACCCTTGATTGGACCGCATGATTTGATTTATAAATCTTTTTCTGAATTTCTGTATGTATAATTGATTTTTGAAGTTTTGGAGAACTAACATTACTATAATTGACTATTTTAAAGACATTCTTTGTTCGATTGCTTTGTGGCATCTGAAAATTTGCTTCAAAATTAGATACAGAGGTCTGATAGCTGGTACTTTTATCTTTATCTAATTTTTTTTTTACATCTTTCAATGACACCGTTTTATACTTATTCAATTTAAAAGTAATTTTAGGCTTCTCCATGCTTGGGTCGTTAGGTGATTTATTGGTTAAGTTTTGTCTCACTAAAGAATAACGAGATTGGGTCACAGGAGCCTCAAAATCTTTTGTTGTTTTGTTTGCAATTTGTTGATGATATGTAGTATATGAGTCTTCAGTGAAAGTGTGTATATGAGGTTGAACTTCTTTTGTGCTGTAACTTAATTGGTAGTTAGTACTACTACCTACACTTTTATTTTGTATGAAATTGGGGTTTATATATATTTTGTTCTTATTTTGAATATTGCACTGAGCACTTGGCACAAGATGGGAAAATTTTGGATTGACATGCAGATTTCCATTACTGGAACCATTATTTGTGTGAGACCTATTGAAATTAGGGTTTATATAAACTTTATTTTTACTATTGTCTTGGTTATTCATGTTGTTTTTCTTTACTGTCTATTATACCAATGAGTACTGAAAGTACTTGTTTCCACTTTTACAATTGATTGTATCAATTAAGACTGTACTTAAATCTTTTTCGATCTCCTGCAACAGTAGATCATTTAATGTGTCAATAATAGTGTCGAATTCAGATTTTTTATTACCATTTGTCCACAAAAGGCTCATATGGAATGACGGGTCCTGAAAACAAAAGCGAGTATTAATAATGGTATTGTTTTAACCAGCTAATGGGACCTGCACCGGTTACATTATAATATTGACTCATTACATTATAGTATTATAGAAATTTCATATGAATCTTGTATTTTTTTTAGAAGAAACTGTTTACATACCTCGTAAAATGTTGGCAGCTGAAATTCAATCATAACATCGTCCACCTTTTTTGACACATTTAGTAAGTTTTTATGACTGAAGGGATCCACATCAAGAGATATGAATGTTCTCGACTGGTCCTCGTTGCAATATACTTTGACTGCAGCAAACCCTATATCAAAACTGAAACAAGTCAATTAATACCAAACCACATACCTAAATAATTTATTAAAATATAAAGTATAATCATAATTAATCTACAAATAAGCAACATTTTGTTTAAAGCCAACCACTATACCACAATAACATTGGATATATCCACATTATTATAAAATTATTACAAAATGACGATAGATGGAAAGTGTGACGAGGGTATTGAAAGGAGAATGAAAGCAGAAAATTGTGTTATTGGTGCCTTACACTCTGTAATGTCGAGTAAAATAATATCCAGCAAAGCTCGACTTGCTGTAATGCAGTGAGTATTGACACCAACGCTTATGTGTGGTAGTGAATCATGGATGTGGCAGAAGAAGCGTGAAAGCAGCATTAATGCGGTGGAAATGAGAGCCATGAGAAGTATGTGTGGACTAAAATTGAGTGATTGAGTGAAAAATAGTGTTATTAGAGAAAGGTGTGGATTGAAAGATGATGTAGTGACAAGGATGTTGAAAAGGGAATGTTACGCTGGTTTGGACATGTAGAAAGGATGGATGAAAGTAGAGTAACGAAAGAAGTATACAGAGCGGATATGAATGGGGCTGTCGGTAGAGGGCGCCCTAGACGGACATATACTGACCAAATTGTCGATATATTAAAGCGAGCATGCATGAAAAGATTGATGACTGTTGAAGAAGCGAAAGAGGTATGTGGGAATGGTAGTACCTAATTGGCGTTCCATAGTCTCTGCCAACCCCCATGGGAGTCAGGCGTGAAGTTAAATATGTATGTATTACAAAATGGTCGTAAGGGCTTATAAAGCTTGAGAATGACGAAAGACAAAATTGCATTAAATAAAGAAAGAAGTCAGTGGTGATGACGAAGAAGTTATACAGATTCCTTATTCCTTTATAGATAGCAAAAATCTTCCTCTTTTGAAGAATATTTTATAACAATGACATAGATGAATTAAAAATAAAAAGAAAACATCATACCTTTCAACAGTGCTGAGAACTTTCTGAAGTGACGAACTGAATGTTGATATTAAATGATACTTTAAAATAAATGTTTTTGACAAACTAATATGTAAATCATCACAGCGATGACATGTGTCCACTTTAGTTAGAACAATCTTCTCAATTTTTTTTAATAAATTGAAAACAACTTCTGTTTGGTGATGATCTAAAAAATATAAAGAATAATATAGAATAGAAATTAATTTTCTAATTAGAAAAGAGAATCAATTGCATATTTGATACTTCTTACATACATAACATCACGCCTTTTATACCCGAAGGGGTTTTTTTTTTTTTTTAAGGGGGGAAAATCATCGAATGACTGCCCCCACCAGGGTGAGGCGGGAGGGAGTGTCAGACTCTTACTGACTAAAAACCACCCCGTTCCTTTTCCTGCACGTCGAGCCGGAACCCCGGTTACCCGTTAGGTTCTCCCCGAAGGGGTAGGCAGAGGTGCACATTAAACCACTGTACAATGTAACACCCACTTTTCACTATTTATGTTATGAGTCCCATGTAATAGGGGGTGAGCCTATTGTCATATACTGGGCAGAATTCTAGACTCCGTGCTACTACTGAGAACATTTAAAAACCCAGTAATACTTTGAACCCGAGACCCCTTGCCCGGCAGTCGCACTTACGACCACTCGGCCAACGAGGCAGTCTTCTTACATAAAATCTAATATATTGTTCATAAATGATTTTAATCCATGCTGGTTTTTTTTCGGTACCCTTTGGTAATTTTGCACAACTTTAATTTCACTTACAATTTACATAAACAAATGTAGCCCAGTTTCCTCTCACATGTGGAAATGACCGCAACCGGCCCCCATGAAGCTGTGGATCATCAAAGTGAGTATCACTCGGTACAACAGCTACTTTGCTCAAATCAGGTGCGGGTAGCTTAGGTCTGAAACATTTACCAAAAAGCAATTTTATAGACAATGTTTTAGAATAGAAACTAAAATAAATGACTAGCTGTTAAAACACTTATGTACAGTTCAATTTGTTTATATTATACCTCCTATTGGTTCCATGGGCTATTGTGTCAGTATCACTATCTTCCGAATTAGATCCATATTCTTCACATATGTAAGATAATGATGACATTAGTTTCTTTACAAAACTATCAGCGGTTTCAGAAATAACTATTAATCTGCTTGCTTGAAAATTACCTACCTAAGTATACTACATCAGGTGTACCGATACTTCTTTACAACGAAGTAAACAAAAGTTAATAAAAACCACTTTATAGGTACGTAGAATTATTGTAACGTTCGAACGAAATTAATTGGAACGCATAATATTTATATGAGTACTGATTTATTCTGTCTACATTAATTAAAAATTTAGACTAATTCCGTTCTTTATTTTACATTTATTTCTAACACTTACAGCAGAAACGAAAATATTTTCGATAGTATTACATACTTTACTTGTATTCAACAACGACAACAGGGCCGTCACACTTAGAGCCATTGACAGCTTAAAAAATCGGACCGTCAACTACATCTAGTTTTCGAACCTGAAATTAAATGTTGTCAAAACTAATATTTTCAGTGGCCACACAGTTCCAAGCAAGGTTGCAACATTATTTTAAAATTTAGGCTTAAAATAATATTTTTTGGAAATAGTAAAATAACATTATACACATTTATTTAATACTATATTGCAATTTTTACAAAATAATTCCTTAAACTTAGATCAAATGACAGTTTTGCTGGCATAATCGATTAAAGATGACACCTCTTTACTAATAATAGAGATTAAAAGGATATTAAGTGATGGATGACAAACTAAACTCTATGAAGTGACTGCGTCAGGTTTCTGCATCCAAAAGCATTAACCTAAGAGCCTGTGAACCTCAGGTCTAGGCCACCGTTTTTATTATATAAAAACTAATATTATATGAAAATACTCAATTTTCATAGAAAATCGATAACGATAAATTGAAAATATCGTGCAGCCGCCATCTTGGATTTGCATTTTGACAACACCATCTTTGTTACCACCCTCGAAAACCATGAAGACGATACTCATGACAATAAATTCAAAATTTTGTGCAGACGCCATCTTGGATTTACATTTTGACAACACCATCGGCTTTATCACCCTCGAAAACCATGAAAACGACATCCATGACGATAAATTGAAAATTTCGTACAGCCGCCATCTTGGATTTGCATTTTGACAGCACCATCGGCTTTATCACCCTCGGAAACCATGAGAACGACACCCATGACGATACATTCAAAATTTTGTGCAGACGCCATCTTGGATTTACATTTTGACAACACCATCGGTTTTATCACCCTCGAAAACCATGAGAACGACACCCATGACGATACATTCAAAATTTTGTGCAGACGCCATCTTGGATTTACATTTTGACAACACCATCGATTTTATCACCTTCGAAAACCATGAGAACGACACCCATGACGATATATTCAAAATTTTGTGCAGACGCCATCTTGGATTTACATTTTGACAACACCATCGGTTTTATCACCCTCGAAAACCATGAAAAGAACACCCATGACGATAAATTGAAAAATTTTGTGCGCACGCCATCTTGGATTTACAATTTGACAGGACCATCGGCTTTATCACCCTCGAAAACCATGAAAACGACACCCATGACGATAAATTGAAAAATTTTGTGCGCACGCCATCTTGGATTTACAATTTGACAGGACCATCGGCTTTATCACCCTCGAAAACCATGAAAACGACACCCATGACGATAAATTCAAAATTTTGTGCAGACGTCAGCCCTGTTCATTTCCATTTGCTGATTTACTTTATCCAAGTTTTCGAAGATATTATTCATAATAGCTAGTCATTAATTGATTAATTACTAGTCATTACGAATAATATCAAATTAATCACTTTGGCTGTAACATAATGTATATAAGGTGCTCTATAATTTTTAGCCACGGCTTTAATGGGAGGTAGTGTTATGTTTACAGATTACAATTGTGAAGAAATTTCGTGCCCCGGACCAGTTAATTACATACAGTAATTAAGTAAACATTGACTACATTCTGCATAATGTGGTTCACAAATTACGCACGATGCGTCGCTTAGTCAATGAAAACAATTGCTATCTCTTTCCACGTGTACTGAGAATGAAAACGGAAATCAGCTGACTAGTTCGTCACTATCTAATCTACTAGATACTCAATAGGCAGGCTAACAAGGGTTTTAAAAGTGCAATTACTTACCAGGTACGGCATTCTTCCGAAAAGCTGATGTAGGTAAATAAGATTATAAACTTCCCATCACACTTAAAACAGTTTTTTACACACTCTCTACCTACTTATCTACAAAACTGTTGCACAAGTCCACCTTCGCGTTGCACACAAATGAAGGCACGCTTCCAAACATGTCATATCACATTATTTAACGTGTCCGTTTCACTTTTACTTTGTTTCGCGTTTGACTCCACAAGTTATTGTCTCTATCATCGTAAACTCCGGCGGTATCCCTTGTGCACGCAAGAAGATGACACCGAAAGAACTCTAACACTTCCTCTTCGATTTCTGATTTGAATTTCGTCGCCTGGGAGTCATTTTTACGTAGTGCGCGCGTATCTCCGACATTAAAACTAACGTGCGGGCAGGCAGGGGTTGACGGGGCTACTGGCGGCCGGGCGGCGCGTGCGACGACTGGCGACGAGTTCTGCTGGGGTGTGTTGTCTCGTTCTTGAACGCCCCGTCATACGCTGTTGCCATCCTTATCAGACCGCTCGCGCCGGGCGGCTACGAGCACGCTGCACACCCCCGCGCGCCCGCACCCTCTCCTGCACTCGTCGCACGCGCTGGTCAACCGGCCGCCGTGCAGGCGGGGGTTGAGCTACTGATAAGGATGGCAACAGCGTATGACGGGGCGTTCAAGAACGAGACAGCACACCCCAGCCAGCAGAACTCGTCGCACGCGCCGCCCGGCCGCCAGTAGCCCAGTCAACCCCTGCCTGCGTGGACGTTGTTAGTTTCAATGTCGGGGATACGCGCGCGCTACGTAAAAATGACTCCCAGGCGTCGAAATTCTAATCAGAACTCGAAGAGGAAGTGTTAGAGTTCTTTCGGTGTCATCCTCTTGCGAGCACAAGGGATACTGCCGGAGTTTACGATGATAGAGACAATAACTTGTGGCGTCTTTTAAATCAAACGCGAAACATAGTAAAAGTGAAACGGACGCATTAAATAATGTGATATGACATGTTTGGAAGCGTGCCTTCATTTGTGTGCAACGCGAAGGTGGACTTGTGCAACAGTTTTGTAGATAAGTAGGTAGAGAGTGTGTAAAAAACTGTTTTAAGTGTGATGGGAAGTTTATAATCTTATTTACCTACATCAGCTTTTCGGAAGAATGCCGTACCTGGTAAGTAATTGCACTTTTAAAACCCTTGTTAGCCTGCCTATTGAGTATCTAGTAGATTAGATAGTGACGAACTAGTCAGCTGATTTCCGTTTTCATTCTCAGTACACGTGGAAAGAGATAGCAATTGTTTTCATTGACTAAGCGACGCATCGTGCGTAATTTGTGAACCACATTATGCAGAATGTAGTCAATGTTTACTTAATTACTGTATGTAATTAACTGGTCCGGGGCACGAAATTTCTTCACAATTGTAATCTGTAAACATAACACTACCTCCCATTAAAGCCGTGGCTAAAAATTATAGAGCACCTTATATACATTTAGGTCAAACTGATACTCCTTTTTTAAAGTCGGTTAAAAAAGAATCATCAAAATACGTTAAAAAACGACGAAGTCATCCCTGAAGGAACATAAAAAAACCTTATAGGTATATAACTTTTCCTTTTTTTTAAGTCCGTTATAAATAACAAAGGTCTGGGGTTCATAGGCTCTTGTACTATATGGATTGTCAAATTATTATTTTTTACGGCAACGCGGGGGCTAAAAATATATTAAAACATTACAATAATAATTTTCCAAATTATTTAGATAATAAATAACTATTAAAATAATATTGTTAATAATTAGATATTGATATTAAATACTTTTTTATATTATCTCCTTATTTCTATAAAATAGTATGCATGTAGTTTGTACTATTTTAATACTGGCATATAATATGTATACTTTTTGCTTGATAAAGAAAAGAAACAAAAACAAAAATTTTAAATGTCAAAATTGTAAAAATTTTTGCCAAAAATATTTTAAATTATTTAATAATTTGTGATGGGATTTTGTGATTGTTTTTCTAAAAAAGGAAGTTCTGCGATGCGTGTTGTGTTTTCTATAAAGGACCTTTTGTATACATGTGTATCACAAATCACAAAAGTACTTTGTGTTTGTTTGTCTATTCATTGGACTTGATTTTACAAAGGAACGCTTTAATTTGCGTATATATCTTATTTATAATAAAGAACATCAATACGAAGAATACAATCATGTTGCTGAAGGTAAAACCTACAACAAGTTTATGATTTTTGCTATTGAACCTATTTATACATTTTATTTGATTCATTGAGATACCAAACTATGTAGTTTTTATAAATTTCTACTTTTTCTTTTGTATATTTGTTACAGTGATATTTGGAATGGGGATTGTCTATTTTTTTTTATTCGGGCTTATTGAAAAACCATTTCGGGGAATAAGGTTTATTAATAGTTTTATCTATACGACACCCTGAAATACGGTACCATTACTGATATTTTTAAAGAAATATGAATGACCTTTATTTGACATTGAATGACGTCATTTTAAGGCGGTATAGAGGACTGCCTTTGCCTGCTAATACGCAATCTATATGAAGAAGAGATTTGACATCTGCGAAGCGTCAACTGTCATGTCAAATACATAACCTTACTTTGAGATTCAATTCAAACCGAAACCGACGTAAACATTTAACATAATATTATAAACAACTTATTCATTGTCATGGCACATAGAAAATGCTTTGTTCCTACTTGTAAGAATGATTCCATAAATAGCCCTGACAAAATCTTTGTTCGTATCAGAGAAGACTTACGAAAGAAGTGGTGTATGGAAGCAAATGCGGAATATTTCAATGTACAATTATTGTATTGCTGTGAAGATCACTTTGATGTGAGTATATTTATGACATATATGATTTTAACAATTAAAATAACATAAGTAAATAACAGATAAAGCATTCGCGTGATTGTGCTAAATACTTAACATTTCCTATCACTTGCAGCCAGTAGCGGATTTGAAAAACTATTTCAAGTACAAATTAATGAATCAAGAGCCTATTTTAAAGCCTACGGCTGTATTGAAGAATGTTGCCGCCTTTCCACAGGAACAGGAGGTGCGTACAATCTCGTAACTATTATTTTTCAACTATATAAACATATCTTACTGTAAGTACTTTTAATTATTTTTGTTTACCATTTTTAGATTCCAACTACGTCACAAGACAGTCCCGAACTATTGAAAATGTTATCAATGGTCCAACCAGGCCCATCTTCACGGAAAATAAGAAAACTTGATAATGTCATGCCTAGTACAAGTTCTGCTACTACACTACCAATTAAGGTACCTACCTACCTATTATATTTTAAGCTTTCTATTTTTACCCAACTGCTTCATGCAAAGGAAGGTAATATGTATATAATACACTTACTACTAATGCTAAACTCAATGAAACAAGCAAGTGAAATCGTGGGCAGAAACTAGTCCATGAATAAAATGTATTCAGTAAATTTAATTCATATTGCAGTTAAATACTATTATGAGCTCCTTGAAAACAGTTTTTTATTGGTAACCAAAGGCTTAAGCAATACAAGGAGATTTTTGGTAGTATTTTCAGACATTGGGTTACATTTTCGAAATTTTCACACTGTTTCCCATTTATTTTATTTTATTAAATATAGCTTATGTTCATCATCAATAATGTAGGATTCCAACGGTAAAAGAATTTTTCAAAACGGCCTGGTAGTTACGGAGGAGATTGAATTCTAACAAACAAATAAACAAACTGAAAATGAAATGTTTCCTCTTTATACTGTAGAAGATGTAGATTATTCAAACTACATATGCAAATATATATTTTTTTAAAGAACCATGTAAGGCTGTGTACCTATTGCACAACTATTAATTTATGACCTCATGCAAACAATTTTAGTAAACATTATTTTATTTAAACAGGTACATGTAGCAACGCAGTGTAAAGTGAAAATGGTGGATTCAAGCACAAACTTAAGGCCTAGAAAACGAAAGGGGCCTCAGGGGGCAACTTCATTTGAAGTACATTCTTCACAGGAATTTTCTTCAGCAACAACTCCCTCCCTGTTTGGTTATACATCAGAAACTGAAGAAACCACATCAGAAAAGCCTAAACCTAAGATGCAAATGAGAAATAATGTTTTAGAAATTATTTTTAAAAAACCCAAGATGTATTTAGGATTACCTCTACAATATTTGTGGTTTATAGATTATCTGGTCAGTAAAAGTACCACAAAAGTAGATTCGCTTTGTATCATAGTCACATTGTTTAAAATAAAACAAAATGATTCTATTGAAAAAATAAGTGACCTATTTGAATTATCACGAACAAAATTGTCTAGCATGATTCTCCTAGGTATTGAAGTACTGGCGAATTTTTTCAAAATCTTGTTTATAATCCACAGCCAAAACTAATAAAACAGAATTTACCTTTGGTATTTAAAATAAGATACTCTAATGTGCAAATTATTATAGACTGTTTTGAAATACAGATTGCTAAGCCATCAGACCCAATAAAGCAAGCACAAACATGGTCACAGTATAAAAACTGCAATACTGTTAAATATTTAATAGGTTGCACTCCAGATGGATTAATAAGTTTTATATCTGAAGGTTATGGGGGAAGAATATCTGATAAAGCTCTTGTTGAAAAAAGTAATTTTTTAGATATTGTTCAACCAAACAGTGTAGTATTGGCTGACAGAGGTTTCAAAGAAATAGAGTCGTTGCTAGCACTGAAACATGTAACACTCCTTAGACCACCAACAGTTTATTCTGGAATGAAGCAGAGTGTAACAGAAACATTACAGAGCAAAGTTATAGCTAGTTTGAGGATCCATGTAGAAAGGGTTATAAGACGTGTAAGAGAGTTTGCTATGCTGAAACCACACTCAGTTGTTAACTACAAATATGTTCCCTATTTAGACGAAATTGTTATTATATCTTGTGGGTTAATAAATTTACAAGGAGAAAATAATAAAGACTTATTAAAAATAACACATGTTTTTTATTTTGCACTTGACATTAATTTCGGAAAAATGTAATCTTTCCAAAAATTTTCCGCTTTATATTATACCCATAATAAAGTTTTTTATCAAGTCTTCCCATATTAGATGCACATTCTTTGTGGTCTCAAATTTTGGATCTGCAACACAAAATACTCCCCTTTTTTCCACATGCGAGCATTTGGCAATGCATTTGTGTTCTATACTTATCATTTATAATGTCATCCTTTACATAGTTCCGGACCGATTTTTCTGTAAAAGGGCATTTTATTTCTATGACAAAGTCATCAGCCACACCATCAGGTGATGCTCCCAATATTCCATTAATTAATACAAATCCTGATTTTCTAAATTTAATGTTTAACTTTTGTTCTACTACTCTTAGCATCTTTCTTCCAATTTTTTTCCCCGTTGAATGGCTTTGGTTTCAGGTATTTTGTAGCCCCCTAATATTTGCTGGACCAATGACCCATCAGTATTACAATGTGCAGCCTCATACAATTTTGAAGCTGTCAATCTTCCTTGTCTTATACTGTGCCAGTATTTACTGTCTGCTTGACCCATTGTTTTAATATTAATTTCCTCAATAGTATCTATAGTAATCTTGGATTTTAAATATTGTTGGAAGTTACAGAAGCTATGGATGGTGTATGCTTCAAGAAACCCTGACATCATATCAAATATATTTTTGGAGTTAAATTCATGTAACTCACTATAATTAATAATTAAAGAATTTTTGACTTGTCTTTTTGCACACTCCTCTTTAAATTCTTGTAATACGGAGCTATCTTTAACTTCCAACTTTGGCTTCTTCGCCTTCACAAATATGTCTTTACTAGTGACGTGTTGTGTTCGAGCACTTGACAGTGATGGCTTGTTCCAGTAACAACAAGTTTCTGTGGGTGATGGTTCTGAACTTCTTTTTTCAAGCCAGAAAAGTAGTAACAATGAATGTTTGCAGCCACCTGTACAGAAAAAACAAGTGTTATGTACATAAAACTAGCCTTAGCTATTTTCCATCCATGATATACAAAAAAATTACATGACACAATCGCTACAAACAACAAAACTACTTAGTTGAGAGCAGGACTGCCCCATATCGGCCTTATAGTCTGTTTAATATATTATAATAACTGGAAAACTGATTATGAGTGATTTAGAGATAAACTTATGGTTGAAGAAAGAAAGTAATGCAATAATTTTAATTTTACTTGTTGTATTTACAAAATATAAAGAAGGCACTTACCCGCAGACGCTGCACAGTCTTGACATACTGAGTCTACAATAACATCATTCATTTCATCTATTTGGCAAAGTACTGTGTATAGTTTATCGCTGATTCTATGTTCGGGTACGATTCTTGCTTTTACTACACAGTTACTCCCAGTCCTACTAACTTGAACATATCCAACAGCAGTACTTAGATAAGACACCCGAGATGACCTGAAAATATTTTTGCAATGTAATAAACTTTACAACCTGTTGGGTCAAACTAGGTTTATAATTAATTTAATTTATAACAATGCACTAAGATAATCGATCTTTTATGCAAAGTATCTAAGGATAGGCAGCAGTTTCCACTGTTGCACATACAAGTCTGTACGGGAGACAATCCCGTAAAGTTTTTAGGTAATTTTCTACGCTACATCTGCTACTAATACAAAACGTTTAGTACCTACTCATCACTAAGATATTAGAAAAATACATAGAATGACAAAGATAAGACGTCGATATAAAATATAACAATATACTTACATCAGCATTTTAGCACCTCTTATTTCACTAACATTGTGCTTACTATTGGTAGCCATGAACTCCAATATCATTACATTTTCAACTTTCGGCGGATTCCGAGAATCAGCCTTAATAAAGTCAGCGGAATTTAAAATAATCGTATTCGAAGAACCAGCCATTTTAAATAAGCAAAATTACGAATAGGTTATGTACGAAACGAAATCCGGAATTGACATTGACGTTTGATTGTCATTGACGTTTTACTTTTTTAAGATTCCCAATATGAATAAAGGAATTACCTACGATAAGTCCTAAGATGACGTAGAAGGACAGAATGTATTAAAGTCGATTATAAATTTTACTTTACACTGTTTTGGAGAAATACTCAAATTAGTATCTTAAAATACTTCATTTTACACGAAGATAAAATAAAAACAACTCCTCAATTTTTTTAGACAATCCCCAATTCGATATTACTTCATCATCATCATTGCAGAATATCAATAGTGCAATTTTTTATCGGCAGTTACGAGTCTTACGATGTCCGGATAAAGTGCCGATCTATACCAGCAGTGCTTGAAACCTATTTTAGAGATGGTAAATACTATATTATTCTTGTAACATCAGTAATATCACGTAAGGTACACCTACCTTAGATAAATAAAAGAAAACAAATAAATAAAATACATATTTCTGCATGTAAAAATAATCTTTGTTTTTTTTTCAGGTACTATTTGGAATTATTCTAACATTCAGACGTATATTGTTGTCTCAAGAAACAAGAAACCCATAGATCGCTGCAAATATTAAAGCCGTATTATTTTTGTAAAACTATTTTTATCTTTGTATTAATGTATATATCATAATTAGAACAACATTTTAAGTACCTACGCACAACAAAGTAATATTAAATTATAAATAAACTAAAATAAGTACATATTCACACCTTAAAAAAAGTGTTACCTTAGGGCATCAAAAAATTCTTTTTCATCGCTATCGTGGAGTAGGGTGCCCAAAAGACTGGCAGCATTATTCTAGGTTTTACTTATTTGTATTAATATATGTAGAGGTCTCTCCTTCTTGGGCTTGACCTGAAAATGGGCACCGCTTCCCGCAACCTGCAGGAAAAACGATGCTCATAGCCCCTTCCAAATTTCACTTATAAATCTCCTTCTTTCTCTTCTGCTGACTACTTGACTACTAACTGGGTGTAGTTTGTGTGCCAGATGTGGATTGTGAGCTTCATGTGATGGTTGACTGAGTGGTATGTGGTGTTTGCGCTTGAGATGGTTGTAATTGATCGGAATCTGGAATGTATGTGACGAAAACTGTGTCTCCTAGTACTTTGCTAAGAATGATTATTGTGTGAATGGTGGCTAATGTCTATTTATGTTTCTAGTTTGTCTGTGTATCTGCTGAGGCTTTTGGCTAGTACCTACTCCTGTGGCTCCAATTACTATAGAATTAACATGCGTTTCAATATTTCAAGGCGTCTAGCCTTGAGTTGTGTCTTTAAAAAGTGGTATTTACTGAATTTCTTTTGCTCCTATGTTGTAGTTACATGGTACAGTTATGTCAAAGAGGTATGTGGTGTTGGATGTTTTGTTTGTGTATATTATGTCCGGTCTGTTGTGGGCAACTGTGAAGTCTGTCTGAATTGGGATTTCCCACATTATTTTGCCTGTTTCATTTTCATTTGTATTTATAATAATAATATTACTTTGTTTCATTATAATGTTATAAAAATATTATATTTGAGGATAGGAAAAATCTGTAGTTGTTTAGTAAAAATGACTGTAATATGACTAGATATAGGAAACGACTAATGGGTTTTAAAAAAATCTCAGTAGTAGTAGAGTAGTCTGGAAATGTGCCCGGTATATGGCAATAGGCTCACCCCCTATTACATGGGACTTATAACATAAATAGTGAAAAGTGGGTGTTACATTGTACAGTGGCATTGAGTGCCGAAATGTGCACCTCTGCCTACCCCTTCGGGGATAGAAAGGCGTGATGTTATGTGTGTTATGTTATGTAAATTGTATAATAATTTTGTGTTTTTGTAAATACTGTAAGCGATTCAAATCGATGGTAAAATGTACTACATTTGTGTAGGTATTACGGTTAATTTATATCATTAGATTGTTAACTACTGTTAGGTACTGTGTAAACAACGGTGAACAGTAAATATTTTTAATTTTAGTTCTTTGTGGGATCAATAATTAAAAAAATAACTAATTCAAATAAATTTTGAACGACATATTTATATCTGAAATTTGTAAACATAAAATTAAAAAGAACTAAAATTTGAATTATACTTTGAACAAATCTTTCGTCTGATATTTCCCTACTAGCTGATAATTTTTACATGTTAATTTGTATTTACTGTAAAATAAATGTAATATTGTAATTAATAACTTCTTTGATTTTGCAGCTACCAGACATAGCTAATTCCAATACTACCTTTAATGTACCAACCTGCAAGGTGCATTGTTGGTAGTATTGGCATTAGCTATACTTAGGATTATCTGTAGACATTAGTAAAAAAAAAATATACTAGGATTCAATTTTCAGATGGCGTTTCAAATTGATTGGCATAAATTTTGACGAGTGGCAACTCTTTACCCCTATACTTATTATACTCTTTGAACGACAATATGTCTAGTGTCAAGTGTCAATTCATATTGTCAAAATAAGATTTTTTTAGATAGGTAGTAAAATTCCGTTTTGGAGACTCGGTTGCCAAAGAAGAAAAAAAAATCATCGAATGATTTCTCCCGCCTGGGTGAGGCAGAAGCGAGTGGCAGACTCTTACTGACTAAAAACTACCTCGTTCCTACTCCTGCACTTCGAGCCGAGCACTCCGAATCGGCATCAGCCCTATTGGGCCCCATCTGTGGTGGTCTGATGGCTCTTTGAGGCGCGCGCGGAACGCGACGTGCCGTACGCTCGGGTCTGGCTCTGGTCGGGCGGTGAGCCACCTAAGGTCGCCGTCCGCAGGCCCAAAACGAAAAATTTAGGTATTGAATAACAGGTTAATAAGTTATTAATTATCATTAAATCTCTCTCTGACAGACCAAGCCGTTGCCCGAGCCCTATAAATATAGGTGCCTTGTAACTCGAAGTATTTCTCTCGGGAGGTGATAATAAAATTAATTTCCTACAATATTAGCCTTGAGGTCTTTGGTCGGAAAGTGGCTAGTTTCTGAGATGTTCAACATTTTCAGTTTTAGTGAAAAAGTTCCGATTGAACTATAAAAACAGCAGTAACTAAGAAACCACTGGGTTGATTTAAGTGATTTTTTAACTTGTTGTCAATCCATCAATATATATCTATTAATACTAATACTGGCAGAATAATCTTTCTTTCACGTCAAATAGCATCCAAGAACTTCCCCCATGCGTAAAAGTATTTTCTGTATGGCGCCTATGATATTTAATAAATTACCTAAAATTTTGAGAGTACTACCCTGGCCTTGACACATTTTAAAAATAAGCTGAGAAGGTTTCTAGTTAATAAAGCCTATTACAGTGTTCAGAACTTTTTGAATGAAAAAGACTTTCTAATTGAGACTTCGTATAACATATTTAATGGCGAAGATTAATATAATGTACATTTTTTGTATACCTACTGGACATAATAATATAATTTAGTATTGATTTGTAAATAAATTGACTTATTGTAAGGACCACTATTTGACTGCGTAATAATGGATATATGTACTGGACGTAATTTATTTTAGACTATCATATAAGTAAATACCTAATTTAGAAATATTGTGACATCAAATTCATATGTTTATAATTTAATAATGACTATTATTGTATTGTAATTTATTAATGACTATTATTGTACAAATTGCTGATTTTAATGAAATTGAATATAATCTTTATACCTATAAAATTTGTATGCCACTATTGGCGAAACATGGATGCACAACATATTATTTAACATCTTGCATGTCTGATTACTCGATTTATGTATACGCATGTTTTACAAATAAACAATCTTTCTTTCCAATTTTGTTTTGAGTCACTAATTTGGCCAATACAATACTGCATTTAGTTTAAAAAAAATTTACTATTTATTATATTAAAAATGTTGACTATTTATTTATTAGTATTAAAAAAAAACTATGTAAATAATCAAAATCCGATAGGTACAAGGTACAATAGCTGTAGCTACATCTGAAAAAAAAAACAAAGAATTGTAGTCTTTGGATCTTAGCATTAGATCGACGCCAAGGAAGAAAAAAATAGACAAAATTTGTATTATCTATGTTTAGATCATTAACTGACAGTTGACAGTTTAGTGAATTTTTCTCATATGGAGATTTTTAATTTTATCATATTATTTCTTGTCAGTTTTCACTATTTGTGTTATTGTAATCCTTCCTTGCAGTAGTAGTGGTAAATTAAAGACAAACACAATAATATATTTCACAAAACTCATACAATACACCTAATTTGTAATGTCGAAGCAACATAATTTACCGGTAGAACCAGCACATGATGATACTATACAGTGTTTGTTTTTCTCACCTAAACTGGGTTCAGATTCCTTATTGTGGGGCGAGTTGTGTTTGCAACTAAACAATTCTATTAAAAATCTAACCCAAGACTACATATGGCATCGAGATGAGTTTATAGTTTACGCTCCTATTATTCAAGACGCTAATTCAGGTAAGATTTCCTCATTCACATGCCATTGATGTAAAAAAAAAAAAAACCATTTATTTAAATTACTTTCCGTCTGCGCCATTTTTAATCTTAATACTTTTTTAATTATTGCAAGTAAATGATGTTTATGTTGTTTAATTTTTTTATTGGTTCCGGTATCAGTTACAACTAGTATTTTTTTTTAAGGGGGGAAAATCATCGATTGACTGCTCACGCCCGGGTGAGGCGGGAGGGAGTGTCAGACTCTTACTGAAAAAAAACCACCCCATTCCTTCTCCTAGACGATAAGATTTAACTCTTGGGCTATATTACACTAAAACTAAAATGACTGCCTCGTTGGCCAAGTGTCGCAAGTGCGACTGCCGGGCAATTCTTGGGTTCGATTGGGGTCGGGCAAAGTATTACTGGGTTTTTAAAAATCTCCATAGTAGCACGGAGTCTAGAAATGTGCCAAGTATACGGCAATAAGCTCACTTAAGTGCACCTCTGCCTACCCCTTCGGGGATAATAAGGCGTGATGTTATGTTATGTTAATATGGCCTCTAATACTATATTTGTGGGCATTTTCAAATTCTTAATAATTATTTTGTTTCAGATTTGCCTCATCATCTGTGCAGTACTACTTGTTTTGGTGATAATCTAGAAGATGAGTGGTACATTGTATATGTTATATTAGAAATATCAAAGCAATATAAAGAATTGATCATTCAAGTAAAAGATAATGATGGCGATTTCCTTCTGATAGAGTCTGCCAACTTCTTACAATCCTGGGCAAATCCAGAAAGCACTGAAAACCGAGTAAGTTTCCTTTTGTATTAATAAATCTCCTGTCAGGTGACAGTTGAGTTATTAGGAGTGTGATTATACGTCATTGCATGCAAGAAGGTTGATATTGATATTTAGTATTTTAAGTTATTCGGGTTGTAGTTGTAATAGAACCTTAGTATCACTAACTTTTTGATTCGATGAGAAGGGTAGCTAATGTGGCCATCCCTTATGAGATATAGCATAAGCCTTTGAGAAATCAATGCTTAGAAGTAATTAGAAGCATGTCAAAATTACATTTAAATAATCAGCATTGTTTTTTGATGTTTCAGGTATTTATTCATGATCATCATATTCATATAATACAACCAGAAGTAGCTTCTTTGGAAAATAAGTTGGAATTACAAGAAGCTTTGGAAATTATTTCTGAAACACCACACTTAACTAAGTCATCTAGAGAAATTCAACAAGCTATTTTGAATCGTATAGGAAGCTATCCTGAAAAATTAAATGAACATCTTCACAAAGCTGTTGTACACATACCTTCTGACCTGGCTACATTGTTGACAATGAAACCTTCTCTTGTAGCACCTATTGTTGATGCATACTGCAACCATGACATGATTGATGCTAAGTACTGTAAAAATATTGATTATAATGACTGTGTTACAGTTGAAATTAAATTCACCAAATTCTTATATGCTATGTTATTGCATTCTAAACTGATCAATCATGCTAAGCAATACATGCAAACTGATAATAATAAAAAAAAAGTTCTTGGTCTTAAGTTAACTTTAGGGTATCAAATTATTATGAGTAGAGCCACAAACAACATGTTTTTATCCAAAGAATATGACCGATTTCTTAATAACTTAAAGCAAAATGGATATTTCAAAAATAATATTGAGGGTTCAAAGGAGTACAATAATTTAATAGAAAAGGCGCATCACTATTATTCTACAGTGGAATGTCCTGTGAGTTCAAATGTGTCTCAAAAAATTTCGAAACTTTTAGCTTTAGAGGATTTTATTGTAGTAAAAAATTCAATAAAGAACAGTCTAGTGGAACATCTTGACTATGGCGGAGACAATGAAGACTGGTTAAATGTGCATCCACAACAATTAAATGAGTTATTGCATAACCGTTATGGAAATAAATCAAATTTAAAAAATGATGACATTTTAACATCTCAGAGAATAACTAAAGAGTTGTCATCATTTTTGAACAAAACTTCAGATTATGAAGGAATTGAAACCACTCGGAATGAAGACTCTGATCAGGAAATAGTCTTCGAATCAGATCAATTTGTATCATGTATAGAAAAAATGTTAAATCTATTAAGCACAGGCGAAAAAGGGGGAACTGAAACCGAAGACAGTGAAGATGATTTCGATATAATGTCCACTAACGAAGATGATGACGATGATGATTGTGACATAGAACTTCGAACCAAGTTAGAAAAGGGATCTGAAAATCTTAAAGACGACACGACAGTACTGCAAAATATTATTCTAAGCATGAAAGAGGAAAAGGCATCCTCAGGACCTTCTAGTAACCTAATGAGTGTTCTGGGGGTAAGCAAAACTGAGTTATTAGACTCCGATGATGAACAAATCTGAGAAATTGTCAGTTCGTCCTCAATACGCAGGCGTAGTGGATAGATTATAAAAAAATAAACAGATTTTATAAAAATATTACGTTTTATTTATATTGATAAAAACATAAATTCAATAATATTCTGACACCTCAAAGTTACAGATGAGCGTACGCTCCTCCAGCAGTCACTATAGTTTCTCCAGTTATGTAGCTGGCGTCATCAGAAGCTAAAAACGCTACAGCACTAGCTATCTCCGACGGTTTGCCAAAACGATTCATCGGGACTATAGACAAACTTTTATCTTTTCCTGCCTCATTACTAGTAATCTGGAAACAAGAATTATATTTGAATGCCCCTGTTCTTGGGAATTGCCTTTATATCCCTTACTTTGTAAGTAGGTATTAATACTCACAGCAGATGCAAACTTCGTGGCAACTATTCCAGGAGCAACACAATTTACTCTGATATTATCATGAACAATTTCTGATGCTAGTGCCCTTGTCATACCTAGAAGGGTCGTTTTACTGATACTGTAGGCTCCAAGCGGCTGAAAGATAATAAGTACGTAATGTAACATTTTTTTAAGGGGAGAATATCGTCGATTGGCTGCGCCTAGGTGAGGCGGGAGGAAGTTTCAGACTCTTACTGAGTAAAAACCGCCCCGTTCTGCTCCTACACTTCGAGCCGGAGCCACCCATGCTCGCCGTCCGCAGGCCCGCGCTTGCGGTGGCCGGAGATCGTCTCGCGAATACGTAATATAATGTGTTATTATTTAGTGTGGGTAGATAATTATAATAGGCACATTATTATCGCAGATTAGATACCTAAGGTTTTTATACTAGTAACTAGTAAGCGGACAACGTAGCCAAGCTGCAGAAAACCCTGGTGGGTTACCAGGGCTCCGATTCGAAGCAGGAGTATAAACGGGATGGTTTTGAGTCAGTTAGAGTTTGACACTTCCTTTTTCACCTCAACCGAGCCGGGACAAATCATTGGATGATTTTCCAGGTCCTCAAAAAGCGCCAATTACATTTGCAACACCAAATATCAATTAAATATCTATAGGAAACTGTTCATTGGTATCGTCCGGGGAGAGATCTTCACGAAAATTACTTTTATTACGTTTGAGTACCTAAATAAATGGTGATCCCTAATGTCACTTGCTCAATTACAAACAATCTGCGAGATTATAAAATGCAGTATTTACCTCCATTGGTTGGTATGCAGCGATGGATGAAATAAAAACTATATTTCCGCCTCCTCTTTTTATAAGTTCGGGATATGCTTCCTTGGCTAAAAGCCAAGCACATTTCACATTGATTTCGAAAATCTTATCCCATACGCCTTCCTCAGTCTGAAAAACAAATATAATAACTACAATGATATGGTTAGATAGATAGATGACAAGTAATTATAACAAATGAATTTTATGTTTTTTAAATGTTTTTTTAGTTAGTCTAAAAATATGATTTCAATTAAATGGAGTAAACAACGTGTAGGAGTTACATATTTTTATTTAAATAATAATTAAAAGTTAAAGTAGATAATTAAATAGTAAAGTGCACGGATTGTTGAATTTACCACTTACATTGAACAGAACATCACGCCTTTTATCCCCGAAGGGTTAGACAGATATGCACCTACCGGCACTTAATGCCACTATACCCACTTTTTCACTGTTTATGTTATGAGTCCCATGTAATAGGGGGTGAGCCTATTGCCGTATAACACTTACATTGACTTTTAGCAATACCAACTCACCTCCAAAATCGGCGCAACTCCAGGGTTAACTGCAGCATTAGAAACAAGTATATCGAGCCCCCCGAATTTGCTCTTTGTCTGAAATACAATAATAAGAAATAAAGAAAGCTCATAATAATTTCAACCATAACATGGATGATGATGATTTCCAACTTTATAAAAATGAAGAATGATGATAATAGATACATAAGTAATTTTGTCTATATACGTGTCCTACTACTTCTATTCAATTCAGTAAATAAACTAAATAACTCGTTTTTACCGACTTCAAAAAAAGGAGGAGGTACTATGTTCGGCTGATTGTTTTTGTTTTTTTTTTAATAAGAAAATTAGCATATTTATCTAGGTACTACCATTCTTTTAATTCTACGGTTAAACAACCGACTTCCACCCCCTCTAGTTTGTAGTTGGTTATTTAATATACTTAAAACCTGTGTAACAAACACTTCTGAATACCGCATCAAAATCGGTTCAGTTAATCGCGGACAAACATACATAGGTAGTAGGTAAGTACTTACCTACATACGCGTCAAACTCAGAACCGTCGGTTAATATAGTACTTACGAAATCAAATAATTTTTTCCGTTGATCTGCATTCCCTACGTGACATACAACTCCTTCAGCTGTGATTCCTTCGCTGCGTAAACTTTGAACAGCCTGTTCCACATTTTTTTCTTTCCTGCTGCTTATCACAACAGAAGCACCTTCGTTCCCCAGCCGCTTAGCTATGGCATACCCAATGCTTAAAGGGAAAATAAATTAGTGAGTATTACTAGACGTAGATAACTACTGACACTTGGTAAGTAAAACAACAGCTGAACTTAGGATCCCGGGTTCGACGCCTGGGTTGGATAAAGGTAATTTTAAGTACTTTTAGGTGCACTGAGAACTACGGCACTAGGGAGATACGTACCTACCTATTCATATGTATACATAGATGGTGAATACATGGATATACAATTTTACTAATATTACAAATGCGAAAGTTTATGTAAGTATGTGTCATGTCTCAATCATGTCATAATGGCTGAAGTGATGACGGGCGAAGCTACCTACTGGGGACAAAATGGGGATGACCTGAGTACAGAATTTAAAACATATCCGATAAACTCTGTACCTAGACCTGTATACAGTTATACACATTATGTAGCCACCTAATAGATTTACTTAGAAACCTAAGTTCCTAAGTACTATAATCAATATCAGAAGTTGATTTCTTACCTATTAAATACCTAAGTCTAATTATTATTATTCAAGTAGTAGGTATATTATCAATTCAATAGTACATATACATTTTTCCAATCTTAAAATTGAAGGAAACACAACACCATCACAGATATAATCATAATAATGGTTTTGCGTACGAGAGACGTAAATAGGTACATGTACTATGTTTGATAAATTATTATCACACGAGATTGGCCTTTGAACCTTTGAAACTATGAATTGAATTTGAATAAAACTTGTAATACACAAGTTAATAATGTGTTGGCATTCGTTTTTACTAATTTTGTTATTTATTTATACTTAAGTACAACAATTTGTTAACCTAGGATTACTACTTTTTTGAAACTTTAATGCGTGAATAAGTACGATTGTTACTGGTTGAATTCTTAAAACCAAACAAAAAAGATTGATTCTAATAAAACTTACCCTTCTGTAGAAGCTGTTACTATTGCCACTTTCCCTTTAAATCTACCATCGCTATGAATCTCCCGGGCACTCATATTAAATGCATTAATCTTAATCAAGTTATTTCTTCTTGTTATTATTTTAAATGTATTGAGCATTATGAACTGGTGAATGATCAAGGTGTGTGTTTTAAGAAAAAAACCTTGTTTGTGTGTGTAAATACATATGATGTAATTCTTTATATAGATAACTTGTTTGTTATCATTATTAACTTTGAGTAGATAGTTAGGTAACACTGAGTAGTCTAAATACTTATCTACCATTGCATGATATTACAATTTCTACATAACTTTTTTGTCATGCAATGAGTTTTACAAAGTAGGTCAAAGTACTACTCGTGATGACAATATATTATGTTTTAAAGTTAGTAATATTTTTCCACACATTTAGTAGCTAAGTATTCCCAAGTGTGGAACACTGTGTGAACACCCCTCAGGTTTACTACATACCTGTCAACTTCCTGTCCGGTGCACCATCATCCTCCCATACATAATCCTACAATATGTCGGTCTGCCAGATTTTCATCTGAACACGAAAATATTGAATACGATTTACAATACTTGATGGTCTTATAACGCCAGTGCTGTTCCCATGGACGACGCCAATTGCTTATCCGTTACCGTTTCTAATACCCGGTACCTCATTAAAAAGCTAACCGTCTGATTGACAGTTTTGACAGTCAGCCAGTACTTAACTATCTATGCTGTGAGATTGATTGGTGATACACACACTTAAGTAAACTTGGAAAAAGCGAAAACAATTGTTATCCGAAAAATAGGTCACTTCTATCAAGAAAATAAAAATTAGATTAACATAAAATGTAGGTAGACGTTAACCTAAACAGTACAATAAATGTTGTCTAAATAAGTCGTATAATAATGGTGTTTTGAAAAACCTAAACAAAATGAAACATCGTTGAAATGGCGTTTATATTTAGGAAATATTATTATAAGTACACGAAGTGCTTAGTAATAACGGTATTATTAGCATTTTTTATACACATTTTTATCGCCGTCAGTTTGTTTCCCTCTGTAAATGATAATATATCCATGAATAGTGGTTATGTATCCAGTGCTCGACAGCTAGTGGGTGAAGTTTCCGCAAGAAAAAATAGTATTGGGTTTGGTGATGATGAAGACCTATCTTCTACCAACAAAAATCATAAAAAGCACTCAACATATCTTAGGCTTGAAGAACTGGATTTTAAACCTCCTTGTGAAATAAAAAGTAAGGAAGCCATATCTGCCATTCATCGTGCTAAGACACAAAATTGCAAGCAACAAATTGTCAATAAGACATGTCTTATTCAAAGTGGAAGTTTCTATCCTCATGAATTACCTAATTCTTGTCGGCGTGGCCAAATGATATATGGTAAACACCTAGGATGTTATGCAGATCAGAAAAAATTAAGGTTACTTACGGGTTTCTATGGCAATTATGCTAACACTAATTCACCAAGTACATGTTTGGATATATGCATACAAGCTGGATTTATGTATGCTGGAGTTCAATATGCGTAAGTACAATCATACATTACTCTATGCTAGCAGTTTTGAGTCTTTTATTTTAAACTGTCAAACACCAAGCGGTCACCGGTGACCGCAACCTATTGTTCTTTAATTGTGTCTATAATGACGGTACTCAACGAGTTAATTGTATCTATAATGACAGTACTCAAAGGGTTAAATTAACTACTTATTTTAATAACATTTGAATTCTGTAAAATGTCTTATTAGAATTTACTATAATTTTCCAGGTTGGAATGTTTCTGTGGGGACAATCTACCTCAAGCCTCTGCTGCTGTGGCTGATCATTTGTGTGATATGAAATGTCCAGGAAATGCAACACAGCATTGTGGAGGCTACTTTACTATGAACATTTATGAAACTGGCTTATCTAGTAAGTTACTTATAATTTTGAACAATAGCCATCTTGTTGACCGAGGGTTCGCAAGTGTGACTGCCGAGCAAGGGGTCTCGGGTTCGATTCCTGGGTTGGCGAAGTATTATTTTAAAGAATTATCAGTAGTAGCACGGAGTCTGGAATTGTACCCGGTATACAGCAATAAGTTCACCCCCTATTACATGTTACCCATAACATAAAATAGTAAAAAAGGGGGTGTTACATTGTACAGTGGCATTAAGTGCTGTAATGTGCACCTCTGCCTACCCTTTCGGGTAGAATAGGTAGGTAGGCGTGACGCTATGTTAAATATAATTAATACATCACTCCTTACTGCCAACATATAACATCACACCTTTCAGGAATAGTTCAGGAATTACAGCAAACAAAAAAATTCTTTAAATTTTTCGATGATTAACAAATGGCAATGACCAAATTTGTGTGTCATTTTTTCGCGGCAGTTGATCGGATGTTGAAAAACTGCATAATAACATAACAAACAAAAAAATTTATGGGGTCTTATATCAAAAACAGCCCAAACCCAGTCAAATCAGTTCAAAGATGTGAAAATAGTGCTATATTATTCATGTTATTTTGTTGATAGTGACTATGGTCACTTGTATACACAATGCATATTTCTTCATTTACTTGTAATAAATGTCTATAAACGATTTCAAGGAATGTAATAAAGTTTATAGTGGACCTTTTTACTTATTGTTTTTTCTGTTTTTTTTTTTGTTATAATACTACGGAATCAGAACAGAGTGAACCATTAACTGGCCACTGCTGAAGTAAAAAAAAAATATTTCGCTTGATTGGCTAGCGTGTTCACTTTATATGTATACGGTTTATCCTCTAAGTCGAAAACCCGCAAAATACTTTACTGAACCTTATCATGAAATGCTATGTTTGTCAGCTGCGGCTTCGGTAGCGGATTGAGTAGCGGCAGTCGTCAAAACACGGAAAAAACATTTGTCTGTGTACTTTACCCGAACTTGCTCCCGATTAGTAACTAATCTAACTACAGTTAATACTCTAATCTACAGCTAGCATAAGATACTGTATAAAGATATTGTCTTTCAGTCACAAAGTGATGGATTATATTTCGACTCATCACATTATATGTGTGCTCATCTGATGTATAGTCCATCACTTTATAAAGTCGACGATTTACATTCTATAAAAGATTATGCTAACTATAAAGTAGATGAGTCTCTCACAAGGAGTCAACGGCATAAAAAAAAATACTTTATTAAATGTTTGGTCGGCTACCACTACACAATCCACCACTGGTACCACAGCTGATGCTCATGAGCTTCACAACTCCTAGAAGCATCCCACAAGTTAACGACTGAGAGAAAAAAGGTAATAAAAATTAGTGCCTGGCACTATGGACATATTGTGGTGTGATATAGTGTTCCTGTGCCCGGCGTACAGTGGCACGCAATTTGGAGTGAGTAAAATGTGACAAAAATATGAATAATTAGAATAAAAAATCAAAGTAAAATGTTTGACTCCAGCTCCTTTCAACGCTCAGCTCAGTCCAGACTGAATTTCCATATATATGGAAATTCTAGATAATCTTTCCATGACCATATAGCCACAATAGCGAAGCAATCCTTCCAAAGGTTAGGTTTCGTTTTGCGTAATTGTCGTGATTTTCGCACTGCTCATGCCATTAAGATCATATTTAATGCTCTAGTTCGTAGCAAGTTGGAAACTAGCTCATGTGTGTGGAACCCACACGAAAGTACTTACGCCCTACTCTTAGAAAAAGTCCAAAAAGCTTTCCTTAGAAACTTGTACAAGCGACTGCACGGAAGGATAGTATCCTTACCTCTATCCGACAAAATTTTTATTGGGTAGTCTTGGTTACAACTCCCTGGAGGTAAGGAGGGCAAGAAACCAACTTGCAGTAGCCTGTAAAACTTTCCGTGGCACTATTGATGCTCCAGATCTACTGGAGTCATTATCGTGCTTTTACGTCCCAGATAACTATTGCCGGGGTAAAAAGCACAGACTATTTGCCGTGCCCTCATGTCGTACCGTCGCACGCGCTAATTCACCTGTTCCTCGCACTCTGGCCGCGCTAAATGATCTCCTGGATTCCAATCCAACTAGTGATCTGTTTGCGGACGGATGGAAGGAGATTTTATCAGAATGCTTGAAGTACTGCGAGAGAAACTCATGAATGGTGTTAACCCTTGTTTTAACTAAGTTTTACTTTTCTTTTGTTTGTTTTATTGTTGTATCAGTTACTGTTATTGGATTTTTATGCCGTTGTGACTGTTAAAAATAAATAAAATAAATAAATAAATAATATTTTCCATAAATCATCGACTGCCGCCAGAAAAAAGAAAGGCATCAATTTTAGTCGATGCCCTTTCTACAACATTCTTGTTGTAGGCTAAGGTAAGGGTAAGGTACACAAATGTAATTTCAGAGTAGCCAGAGTCGTCAATTTTTTTTTCATGTTCTGCCTGCTTAATGTTGTTGTTAAGTAAAAACGCGGGTTACTCACGTGAATATACTGAGAAAAGCTCTACTAGTTTCGAACCACAGAGGGGTTCTTCCTCATGAGCATCGTGCGCGACGTCGCCGCGACCGCGCACGCTGCTCAGTATATTCACTTAGTATGTCTCACGATAGTTATTATAAAAACAATGTTGTTGTTGTTCATTTCACACCACACTTCACATCTATTTTTATCTTTGTTTGATAACATATTTTTATGACCATATATTATCTCTTTTACAGAATTCACACCAAGAGTACCTGTAACTGCAAGCACTAAAAATGAGCCCATTCAAATTGTGTTCCTATTGACACTGAATGGGCGTGCATTGAGACAGGTTCACAGGCTAATCAATGTTTTATATAGAAACAACCATTATTTTTACATACATGTTGATAAGGTAAGTTAGTTAACTGTTTATGATCACTAATGCATTTTTTTATGGCATAAGCCGGTACACGAGCAGACGGATCACCAGATGGTAGGCAATCGGCGTCGCCCATGGACACCTGGAACACCAGAGGCGTTACAAGTGCGTTAAAAAAAAAAAAAAAAAGTGCGTTACCGGCCTTTTGGGGATTAGGAGTTTGAGGATCGTTGGGGATTCAGGGATTGGGGAAGTGGAGGGTAATATTGGTAACCTCACTCACACGACGTTACACAACGCAAGCGTTGCTTCACGTCGGTTTTCTGTGAGGCTGTGGTATCACTCCGGTCGAGCCGGCCCATTCGTGCCGAAGCATGACTCGCCCACACTTAATATAATGAAATATAAGTGGCAAACAAACAGACAGATTACCTGATTATTAGGACCACTGGTGCCCTTAGGCACCAGAGAAGTTACAAGAGTGTTGCCGGCGCTTTGGGTATTAGGGACATGGAGGAGGAAGTGTTTTTGACCTCCAATCATGTGGCAAAGCACAATGCAAGCCCATTCATACTGGAGCATGGCTCTTCCACGTTTAAAACCATTGTGATTATGTGAGTTAACTAGAAATATAGGCAAAACAACATTTCAGATCTACTGAAACTGAAACTCATGTTTCATATCAAACATGTGTATATAAATTTTTCCCCTTCTGCGAAACTAATTCAATTTCAATGAATTTGAGTGTGAGTAAGCCAGACCCAAATAAATATATGATCAGGTTTTCAATGTAAGCATGACTGCACTGATTAATGGTTAGTAATGTTATCTTTTGTTGCTTATCAATAGCTGGGATTAATTTTACCCAAATAATTGATTAACAAACAGTTACGGAACAACAATATTTGGATCAAACGAATCCACGTTGCGCAGCAGTTGCCTAGCCACTACTTCAACCGTGTAGGCAAATTAAAATATTAATTATCCAGTCCTAGTGCCCACCACAAGCCCGTCGTGTGCGGCCAGTGTCCGTCGCCATTAATATGTTTTTGCTTGTTTCAGAGGCAAGATTATTTACACAGGAAACTATCGCCTTTAGAGCAGTTACCCAATGTAAAATTAGCGACGACCAGATTTTCCACAATTTGGGGTGGTGCATCATTGCTCAAAATGTTACTTGCAGCTATGAAAGATTTTATGTCGTTGGGATGGAAGTGGGATTTTGTTATTAATTTAAGTGAAAGCGATTTTCCCATAAAATCTTTGGAAGAATTAGAAAACTTCTTATCAGCAAATAAAGGACTGAATTTTGTGAAATCACATGGTCGAGAAGTTCAGAGGTTTATTAAAAAACAAGGCCTCGACAAAACTTTTATTGAATGTGACACGCATATGTGGCGTGTTGGTGAAAGAAAGTTGCCCAGAGGTATCATAATAGATGGTGGAAGTGACTGGATTGCTCTCTCTCCAGAATTTGTTTCATATGTTGTTGGAAATCAAGATCAACTGTTAACTGGATTGGATGTAATATTTCAACACACGCTATTACCGGCAGAGTCGTTTTTTCATACAGTATTACGAAATTCATATTTCTGCGATTCTTATGTTGACAATAATTTGCATGTAACTAACTGGAAAAGGAAATTAGGGTGCAAATGCCAATATAAACATGTGGTCGATTGGTGTGGGTGTTCGCCTAATGATTTCAGAACAGAAGACTGGCCTCGTATACAAAACACTCAGGACAGACAATTATTTTTTGCTCGAAAGTTCGAACCTATAATAAATCAAGAAATAATAAATAGAGTTGAGGAATACATAGGTATAAAAGATCACTATTTGATTCCAAACTTGGAGGCATATTGGCAGAGTATTTATAATGTAGAAGACATGACAGCTAATACAGATGACATTCTGTTGACCCATGCTGGTAGCATTATAAGACATAATGCTAGAATACTTCTAGAAGAAGGTTGTAAGATCGAACCTGACTTAATCATTGAGATAAATTCTTATAGTTATGCAGATGTTTATAAAGGAAATTTAATATTACATAAAGCTATTGTACATGATAACATAGAAATATTAATAGAGACTTGGTATAAACCTAAAAAACATATAGAATTAAATTTTGAGAATCCTTATATGGATAATATAAAGATATTTAAAGTAAGTTCTGATTATGACCAGAAGGAAACCACATTCAGAAACCTAGCTGGTATTTTGGGTCCTTTATCTGAACCAGTTTTATTGTATGAATTTTCTGCTCAACTAGATAAGAAAAGTGAAAATTTAACTTTAATTTGGTTAGATCCCACTGGGGCGATTGGAGACGTTAACATGATACATGTAGACGAGAACAACTTAACAAATTTTATAAAACCGAACTTAAAAGCGCCCCTTTTACCGGGAATTTGGAAAGTAGGTTTATTTGAACAAAATAGAATAATTGTAGCAACTAAGTTCCTTATATCACCCTTAGAATATTTTTCTGGCAAAGACTTGTCACATCAAGAATCTAGTATAATTCATAGCGGATCTCAAAATTCCTACAAAAACTTCTCTAATATTAAACCAAAGAATTTTCTTCCTGACTATGAACAGAGCATATTATTACAGAAAATTTCACAGTCAAATATTCAAAGAATAGACCAAGATTTAAGAGAATGGATAGATGGACTGAGTTTAGAGTTTTACAATGTATTAGGTTCGTGTATTACATTCAATAATGAAATCAAAGATAAATTACTATGTGGTCGTCATAAATTTGTGAACTGCATCACAACGCAGTGGAGTTCATTAACACCTGACCCTAAGGGTACGATAGGCAAATTAAATAAGAAAACTGGACAAATGGAAAGAGTATGACAAAAAATGTTATATAGTTTTATCAAGTTCTATTGATACCTACATATTATACAATGTTATTTTTCAGTATATATACGAGTTTTATTGCACAAATCCTTCTAATTTTATACCAAATAAGCATAAGCATGAAGGTATATGAATTTATAACTATTAATAAGTATAGTTCATTGGTACCAGGTTTCGTTTTTGCTGGAAATTATTGATAGAGAAGTAATAAAACAAGTAAAAATACTTTTTACACTATTTATTCAGAACTTACATTAAAAATATTATTTTAGTACATTATGATAAATTAAATGTGATGTTAAATACTGAAGTTAGCAGTAAAAAAAAAGCACAGTATCATCTTTTCATTGGCAATACAAAACGATAGTTACCTACTAAAGATCATAATTCTTTCAAGACAGAAAATGTAGATGGCACCCTACAACTTAGATATTATCGGTAACTCTATTATGAAATAAAAACGTGCGTGCAAGTGCAAATCATTATATTCGAAAACAATAACACACCGTATTAATAATTGTCAGAAATCAATTATAAAGAAGGTTACATTTTCATTTGAATTATTTGTTGAGTAGCTAATCTAATTAAACCATTGAAATCTTCATTTAAATGTGACCTCCAAAACTTACATCTACCCCAAACGATAGCGGGATAGTTTGGAGAAGAAATACCTTGAAAAATTCTTGCAATACTTCTACCAGTGAAATTACAGTCTTTATATATATTTATTATAGATCGGATGTCCGATACAGCTCTATCTATATCCAAGGGCCGCTCTTCCAATGTCATATCAGTGGGAAAATTATCTCTTTCAAAATAATTTCTAACATATAATTTTAAATCGTCAGAAACTTTGAACAGGGAGTCTTTCGATAAATTCATTTTTTCCAAAGAATCTGTTCCTATATTATGAAAGGCTGTATTACACTCTTCTAGCTGATACAATCGTGCCTTCTCTTGCGAAATCACAGAATTATTCAAATCATCCAACATTTCGTCCAATTCGGTAGGACTCAGGTCTCCCCTGGCTCTAATACGGAAACCAAGTGTATTAAATTCAACTTTTAAATGTGATCTTTGAGGCCTCCCCGAATCTGTGTTCCATTCTAAATTTTTCAATTGGTACTTAGTTATTCCACTTTCCCATCCAATAGCGGCAGCTACTTCAATGACATTGAATTCTATAACACTGCTATTCATAATTCCAGCACTTCTTTTGTTTTCTAATAGAAGTGCCATTGCTAATGGTCTACAGGACTTTGCTGCATCATGAATTTTTTTAGGGCCTCCATATGAGGAAATTTTACAATTTATGTAAGCATTATTAAGAAATTTTAGATATTGTTTAGGATGAAGTTCAATATAACATAAAAGGGTAGCAATATTTTCAGACGGCAAATCTAATTCCTCTACAGTTGCATCTATAGGGATTCCCACTTCATGACCCTTGCAACAACTATTTGATAAATCTGTACAAACTTTAACACATTCACAAGGTATAAACAGTTTGGACAGTAATTTTCTTATAGTTGGTCTATCAATAGAGTTAGCATGAATATGTTTTAATAATTCATTCTTATCACTACTACCATTACTTAAAATTATATGGCAGTATGCAAGTTGACCATCCCGGCCAGCTCTTCCAACTTCTTGCACATATGATTCAAAACTGCTAGGCATATTATAATGTATAATACACCTTATATCTGATTTGTTAATGCCCATACCAAAAGCAACAGTTGCAACTATTATTCTAACTGTGCCATCCATAAAATGCTTTTGTATTTTTTTTCTCTGTGCAGCTGACATGCCAGCATGATAAGCTTCAGCAATGTAAGACATTCTTTTTCTTTTATTTTTCTTGCTCTCCATGTTAACTTTACCGGTTTCTTGTAAGCATGACCTAAGTACAGCAGCAACTCTTTCACATTCATCTCTTCTTATACAATATACTATAATAGAATTAAATTCTATTATTTGTTCCGACAACAAGTATGATACAAGAGCTTTGTCTTTATCTTTTTCAATTGAAACTGATAAACAAAGATTATCTGGTAGTGCTGGATTCTTAATCACTCCATCAACACCATCAGGTATATTAATATGGCTGATTACACTTTTAATAGTTGCTTGACTTGCAGTAGCGGTTAATCCAAGAATACAGTTTACCTTCAGCTTTTCTCTTAATACCCGACAGATCATTAGATAACTAGGTCTGAAATTGTGGCTCCATTGTGACACACAATGAGCTTCATCTATACAAGCAAAGGCAATTGGAGGCAGTGACTTAAAGAGACCTGATATTCCACTTGATGTATCGCCAGCTATCAAAGCTTCAGGAGATATAAGAAGAATATCTAATAATCCATCCTTTAGACACTGTAGGATTTTACTACGCTGGGTTTGAGATTGATTTGTGTGATAGCATCCGGCCTTAATGAATTCTGGAACATTTAACACTTGATCCTCCATTAGTGAAACTAAAGGAGAAATTACCAATGTTATACATTTGTGATGTTGACTGTAGAGATAAGCTGGGAGTTGATAACAAAGTGATTTTCCACCACCTGTAGACAAAATAAGCAAAGTAGACATTCCACATAAAATTCTTCTAATAGCATTTTCCTGTCCAGGTCGAAAAGCTTTATGCCCAAATTTATTAAGAGCTTGCTCTAAATCTGCTGACAGAACTTTTTCACAGTTATCATAAAGAGGTTTAATTTCATTGCCATCAACATTTGTAGGCTCCGCTAACAATTTCATAAAGGAGTCTGGAATTTTGCTAGGTTCAAACATAGACTCATGTAATTGTTCAGTTAGTGACTGATTTATTTTACTACTGGATGGTTCAGATGCATATACTTGCATTTCTTCTAGAGTAGGAATATTATTTTCATTGTAACTATCTAATGGCAAAAGTGTTTCCCCTTTTTGTGATTTACAGTATCTTGCCATATGACCTGTATCACCACACTTAAAACATGTAACTTTACCACCCTCAGGAAATTCCATACCTTCATGAAGACTCTTCTTATTTTTCCAAAGTTGCTTTTTGTACTTGGAGTAATTAATATTCTTCTTTCCTCTAGCAAAAACTTTCTTTTCAATATTTATTTTCACAAAATTGTCATTTAAAGTTCCAGCTTTTATTTTATTATCTATACTACTATTTTCTTTGGAATCATCTATCTTGTTGCAATTATTAACAATAGAGTCAACCTTTTGCAGTACATTAGTAATTTGTAAATGACGAGGCTGTATATCTTTTTCTAAACCATAAGGAATATATTCTTGTAGGTCAGGAGGCAATTGTTCTACAATATTATTTTCATTTTTATTTTTTGACTTACCTATATTGTTCTTTTCAGGAACTTTAATTCGTGTGCTATATAATTTCTCAGATTCATACTGCTGAATTTGTTTATCGTTAGTTCCATAGTGTTGCTTGAGATTTTCTTCAATATTAACAATTTCTAATTTTCTCTTTTTTAAGGCAGGTTTTAACTTATCACTGACAATATCATCTTCTGATTCACTGTTTTCCACATAATCATGAGGTTTTTCTTTGCTATCTAAAATCTTGATATTGCCTATTCCAAATCTTTCAGGCTCAACAGAATGTTGATTACCTTCAACTACAATACCTGTAGCTCTATTTAGCCATGCATTATTTAATTGCCTGATTACTGGTCTTAATAATTCAGGTTTCTTGGTTGAAAATGTGGAATTGTAACATCATTGTTACTCAAAGGTTCTTCAATTATTTTTAATGAATTATTGAATTCCGAATTGTTGAAAATGTTCAAATCTATTTCTTTATTTACTTGTTCATTGCTAGGGCCATTTGCTGGTTCAGAATTAAAAGATTTATTTTCAGTAGACAATTGAGATTTACATATAGAAAGCTTTCTAGGGTTTCTTAGACAAAACTTTCTATTCTGAAATAGCTTTTTGGATAGATTTTCAGTAAATGGTGTTAATGCTTTATTATCAAGTTTTAGATCTGAATTTGATAGTAACTTCTCCAATTCTTGACCACTTGGTAATGCTGGAAGTTTAGGCTGAGGACTTACAGATTCATTAGTAATATGTTCAAAATGGTCAGGTTCCAGCGATACGATAGGCTCTTCTTCAAAATTACAAACTGATAATGAATTCTCAAGTGCGTTGCTCTTGAGTTGAAAGTATTTTTTATATGCATATTTTATTTTTGGAGGTGCTTCCTTTATATCGAACTTAGTAGGTGTCCGGCTATGTTGTAACTTAAAATCCTTTTCCCAATTTTTTACAATGAGTTTGCATTTTAAATACGCTTTGTCTTTCTTGATTGTTTCAATAATATCCATGACTAGATGTTCCTGGTCGAAATGTATGTTTTTGTTTCACTTTTCACTACTTTCTACAGGACGAACATGTAACAAAGATTTATATAGCAGGTATGTTTTTTCGGCAGTTCTCTTCTTTCCGATCAATATTTTAATTCAATACGTTTGACAAAGTAACTTTACAAAATTTCGTTACAAATATAATAGGAAAACAGTATTCCCGCGTTCGCGTCCATGATCTGACGTACCTACTGAATTGTGTGAATTCTGACAAATGACATCTGACAGGAGAACTAGGTGCACCACAGATTACTAACACACACTATTTTTCTCTAACTTAAAGTTTGCTATTTTGTGCAACTACACATATTATTTTTCCTTTCCTTTATAATGAAATAAGTTATGTATAATTAAATGAATGTATACTTTTGTTAAACTTTGAAATAAAACTATAAAAGAAATTGAAAAAAAAAACAAAGATTATCACAACCAAGTTGTTGTAAATAGTGATGTTCCGGAGATCCGTATCCTCCTGCTGAAACCACGTTCTTGAGGTGTAGGCTGGATGCTCTCGAAGTTGGGGTATAAAATAATTGGATATCATTTGCCGATAAGCCTCACCAGAAACAGTTATCGCAGCACCTGTCGCATTTTCAAAAAAATACGGCCCGATTATTCCATTGACCGAAAGAGCACACCACACTGTCACTTTTGGGCTATGCAGCGGTCTTTGATGTTTTTGTCTGGGATTGACTTCTGACCAAAAGCGACAATTTTGTTTGTTAACATATCCATTCAAATTGAAATGTGCTTCATCACTCCAAAACACAGTATTCAAAGTGCGCAATCTCTCAATGATTGTCTGGCAAAAACTTTTACGTAAATTGTAGTCATTTTCATTTATTCCCTGCACTATCTGTATTTTATAGGGATGGAATTTCAAATCACGTTTTAAAATCCGCTCTACGGTTGATTTGGTGACGTTTAAAGCCGCCGCTCTTTTGCGTATTGACAAGCGTGGATTACGTCGAACGCTAGCTGCAACTGATAACCCATTTACCAATCAAATTTTCGCTTGGTCCATCGCGTAAACGTCTGATATTGTAGTGAGAACAAAACTGCCTTCGAGCCACGACGTACGATTCTCCACCTTTCAAAAACGCTTCGATAGCGAACGCGCAGTCACCTGACCACTGCGACATCGTGACTAACGAATCCGCACGAATGACGAAGCTACTGCGTTCCTCGCCCCGCGGTTACTTGCAACGGTTTTTAAAATATTCAAATTTAAAATCCTAACTCTGCCGTGAGACACCCTGTATATATTTAATTGACAGGATAAAATGCTGCAAAATAATGAATAACTGATGCGCTGTAGAGTTAATATTATTTATTTCTAATAAAGCACAAGCGCGCTCCTCTATTGGATCCTTCATCTCGTACCATACAATGTACTTTTTGTTTCTCAAGTCCTCATTCCTCCAACATACACTGAAAAAATTCTGATATATAATCCCCCGTATGATGTTCTTTAAGAACTTGCGCTTTCAGAACGATGTTTTTTCGTTGAAAGTCTTTGGTGATACCGTGATATGTTTATGTGTTACTGATAACAATGAAACGTGAAGGAAAAGAAAATATAACTGACGTGAAGGAAATTTGCTCAAAATCTTGTATGTAACACGTGTTTTATTTCTGACGCCACTTTATCGTAAAGTTTGTTGCAAACAAGTTCCGTAAAATACTTTCTGCCTTTTAAAATATAATTTGGAACAATATGATCCATCAATCGTCAAAATCCTTATTATTGTACGAGTTGAAATGGCAAATCTGATAAAGATAACATTTCAGCAATCAAATAGTAGATTTGGGCTACGTATTGTCCCACATTCTAGCTTTTTCCATATACCTAATCTTTGAAAAAAGTTTGTTTAAATTCTCTTTTTACCGTTTGCAAAGATGTTCCCTGCTGTGATATTTCATCGGGAGTCTTCTAACGATTGACTAAGAAAATAAAGATCCGTATCCGTGTCCGCGGATCTTGACACTAATTATCTGGATCCGTGTCCGCGGATATACATTTTTGACGATCCGGCACATCACTAGTTGTAAATAACCAATAACCAATTACAAAAGAACCCAATGGCCCTACAGCAACTAATAAGGGACCAAGATTAAGATTAACTTGCGAGAATTCGCCGCAAGGGCGCTGTTGTCAGCTGGGGTTCAGGACAGGGATCAAAGAGTATAATAAGTATAGGGGGGGATTGTTAAAACGTCAAATCTCATGGGTTGGTTTCGCGCGTTTATTTTAAAATATAAATTATCTAGCTAGACAATATTGTGATATATTAGTATTAAAATACAACGCAAATATAACTTATGCGATATAAAAGTGAGCACACGATTAAAGTGTTGTAGACATGTTTCCTTTGACGTGGAAGAGCCTTCACTAGGCATTTTCTGCATATACCAGGTGATTAAACACCAATTTTAATTTTCTTTTAGGAGAAGCTACTGTTGTGTACTTCGCGTAGTCACTTTGACTCAAAGAGTACCTATAATAAGTTAGTTTTTTTTTTAAGGGAGGAAAATCATCGAATGACTTCTCCCGCCTGGGTGAGGCGGAAGGGAGTGTCAGACTCTTACTGACTAAAAACCACCCCGTTCCTTCTCCTGCACGTCGAGCCGGAGCCCCGGTTACCCGTTAAGTTCTCCGCGACTCCGAATCGGCATCGGCCCTATTGGGCCCCATCTGTGGTGGTCTGATGGCTCTTTGAGGCGCGCGCGGAACGCGACGCGCCGTACGCTCGGGTCTGTTTCTGGTCGGACGGGGAGCCACCCATGCTCGCCGTCCGCAGGCCCGTGCGGTATTTGGTATACAGGCAGGGTGTGGACTGAATTAGGTGATATTATACTTTTTTATCCCGATTAAATGCTCCCATGGGATAAAACGAATACGCGGGCAAAGCGGCGAGAAAAAACTTATATAAAGTACATATAAAGCTGAAAAGATTTTTTATTTGAACACTAATCTCTGCAAGTAGATAGATAGATAGATTGATTGATTGGAGATAGATACTGATTCGAAATTGAGGAATTGAAAACTTGTTTTTATGCTGTATAGTTATACATTTATTGAGAAAGGCTATAAGCCAAAAAACAACACACTACGATCAATAAGAGCCGAGCAGTAGCGGGTAAAACCGCGCGGAAGTAACTAGTGCAAAATAAATTTCTGCTACCTTGATACCGAACTAATGGGAGACAGCGGTGACAAGCGTTAGCGGATTTGCCTTCAAGATATTTTTGGTAGCAGTCAGTCTTAAGGCGTAGGAAAGGGAGGAAGGATGACTATTAATATCTGATTTTTTTTTACTACTACTTCTCCTTAAACTGTCAAACACCAAGCGGTCACCGGTGAGCGCAACCTATTGTTCTTTAATTGTGTCTATAATGACACTCACACTCAACGAGTTAAAGTAAATTTCATGGATAAAGACCAAATACCTAATAACTGAGCTGACCTGGAGTTATAGACAGTGGCTCAATCAAACAAAGTTCAACATTCCCATTGGCAAGTATAATATATTATATTATTATAAAATCAATCGAATTTACAAAGGTGGTAACCAAGTTTTGTTCTTCAATACATATACTAAAAGTACTTAAGTACTGACATAATCACTTCTCATGTTACTAATATTCTAGGTATTCTGCTGCTTACACAAATATATATCATCATGTTGGTCACTATGTTATACAGATAACGAAACGAAGCTATTGTACTGTGCAATATTACGTTTCAAGATGTCAGCACATAAGCCCAGTACTCTTTCGAACCTGAAAAGAAAACAATGATTAGCATAATAAGTTTAGTAAATTGGAATTCTTTTAACCTTCCCTTCTATGAAATTAAATGAAACCTGTACTTGTGATACATAGGTACATTCGGTTGGTAATTTTTAAATTAAAGTTCGCTATGATCAGCCTAATTTAGGCATACAAATAATCGTTTAACAGTTTAAATCAATAAGTCAATTAACTAGTTAGGAAAGTAAATATGAATTTGTCGTGTTTTAATGAATTACATGTCAATATTTTTCGTCAAAAAGCTGACTTTTCCTTTCTCGTATGAATGAGGAAGACTACATAGTGCATAATAAGTCATAATAAATTGATGTCAATGAGTAGGTAATTAATGGATTATTATATTGTAGTCAATTCGTTAAAGCTATAAGTCAACAAATAAACAAAAATTTAAATTTATCCATTTAAAAATCTGAGACACTATAATAACATTTTTGACAAAGTAATTGTTTTAAAGATTTAAAAAAAAATTAGCTTATTTTAGCTCTTTTGGACATTTATTATAGATAGCTGGAGCCATGCGAAATATACTTTTAATTTCTAATACTCTCGATACAAGTTTCGCCCCGTGATGCAATTGAAAACTATTCATGTAAATTATGTACGTGCTCTAACTGTAAATTACGTTTATACTTCACTACATAGTATAAAACAAAGTCGCTATCAGCCGTCTGTCTGTCCCAATGCTTCGATCTTTAAAACTACGCAACGGATTTTGAACCGGTTAAATAGATAGAGTGATTCTTAAGGAAGGTTTATATGTATAATACTTGCATTTTGCATCCGTGTGAAGCCGGGGCGGGTCGCTAATAACATATAAAGCTCAAAAGTGTGTTTGAACGCGCTGATCTTCGGAACTACTAATTTGAATTGAATAATCTTTTTCGTATTGGATAGTCGATTTATCGAGGAAGGCTATATACGAGGAAGGCTTTGAACAAGATCACGCTACGAACAACCGAGCAGCGGGTAAACAACTAATATTGAATGTAATGTGAGCTCGAGTGAATGGTTCGATGGTTAAACTAAGTAAATGTCTAAAAACACAAGTTAAAATGATATATAACATATTTACCTGGCACGATCCAGCTTGACACATTTAAGAGATCCTGCAGCTCGTACGGTAGCCGCACGTGGTCTGTCCAATAATAATGCAATTTCTCCAAAGTAATCAGAAGGTCCCAGTCGACCTACTTCTACTGCCGAACCTTCTCCCTGACCACTCCTTTGTTGTAGCACCACTGCAGTTCCTGTTTATAATAATAAACACATATTTAGTAAATAAAATCACAGTTAACAATTTATACTCACTTGTTAGATGAGTTCACTGTAATTGCCGAGCAACGGGTCGTGGGTTCGATTCCAGGGTTGTGTATTTGGATTTTCAGTTTACAAAACTAGCTACATGTATATCGGTATAGGGATCTGATGAATTGTTTATAAATTAAGAACACTTTTTTTTTCTTTCCTGCGGAATTAAACACTTTACGACAAATCCAAAGGACTTTTTCTCCTTTTTTTACGAAAGAGTCATAAATATGTATAAAAGCCATACCTTCAACAATGATGTAAAAGTCATTGCCAGGTTCTCCTTGTCTGACTATGATCTCGCCGTCAGTAAAGGATACAGGTTCTAAGGCATCTGCAACTGTTAGTCGTTCCCATTTTTCTAAACTTTCTGAAAAAATAAACATACTACAAATTATTATTCAGTTAATAACGACATAGTTTTGATGCAAATTTCGGAACAATTCTATTGAGCTGTTGGTCCTGCGCCTGTTGTCAAACCTATTGTATTGTCAGGCTAAGATAACGCTTTCATCCGACGAAATGGTTTGAATTTTTTACTCTCAAATTTTTAATCGGTGGACCTGTAGGTAGGATATACGCGGCGATCCATATGCACTAGCGGTTGACGCCGGCCCCCATGCGGTTCGTATCGCCAGACGCGGTTGTATATCGCGGTAGCATATTCAATTGGAAAAGCTGCCAACCGCGGAGGGGGTTTTGCGGCTACCGTGATGCTGCAGTGCGTTGGGAATGTTGCCAATAGCCCACACATATTGTTTCAATAAGTTTATTCGCAAAAAACAACCTGTCTCACAGCATCGACGAAGTGCCAAATTAGGATATAGGATATGTATAGGATTCTGAATCTGAAGGCCATTGCTGACAGATTTGACTGTCCCATCCAAACACATTGGATAAAGATAGTCAATCGATTTTTTTTCTTTTTACCAACACTCTAACTACATATGGGCTTTTGTAATGAGTATGAATGAAATAAATGTTTAATAAATTGTGAATTATGTAATAATACAAGTTACCTAAAATTGAGACGCGTGATAAGAATTCATCGTACATGCGTCGTTTTCTTATAGTGGATCCCATAAGTATACGACGGTAAGAGTCACGATCCAAGCCCCATAGCTTTAAAGGAGTTCTTGCGCGCACTGTCGCTGCCCTAGGTGTGCCGTATATTAGAGCCAGTTCACCAAAACTGCCTCCTTCTCCAATAGTTGTAACAGGTTCACCGTTTACTAAAACCTAAAGTTCGAACATAAAAAGTTATTTATTTAAAAATCACATACATATTTTAACTAAGCAACATAACCTATATAAAATATGAACATAATAAGTATTATTACGGAGCATGAAAACTTAAAATTTATGATGGGGTCAAATTCCATGGCCTGCGCCGTCTTCAGACCAAACACCGGTTGATTTTTACGTGTGGGGGCACATGAAGTCTCTTGTGTATGCAACACCAATTCCGTGTAGGTATTGAAATCCCTTGTGGAAAAATAATTGAAGCGACTGAGGAAATAAGACGCATATTCTGTTCAAGGTATTAAGAAAACGTATCGGCGGCCTATAAAGGACTAATTAATTACCCTATATTTAAAAAATTCCCAGCAAGCGCCCTATGTTTTTTTTCTAATTTCATGCGGTGTGCCAATTACTTTTTTCCCAAAAAGCTCATAAAAATGAGCTTTTGCTGTCCTCTATATTCAAAATAACTTATTTTTCAAAAAATCATGTACGTTTACACTATTTCCCCATAACATGGCTCCGTAGCGCAGCCATGAGTATGCATAAGCGTAGTAAGCAGCCATAGCTGTATGTGTGTCAGTGCTTTGTTTTATTTGAAAAAGAGCGTAAGTGAATTTAGATAATTTGTTTTTTATGTGTTCTATGTGTGACTTCCAATTTATGTGAGTGTCAATATTAATGCCGAGTAGGCTAAATGTATTAACTTCTTCTATTTTTATGTTATTGAATGCTATGTCTAGATTTAAGGGAGGTCTTTTGTACGATCTAAATTGCATCAATTTAGTTTTGCAACTATTTATTTCTAAATTATGGATTTGGAGCCAATTATTCACCGTTTTGAGTGACTGCTGTATTTGCAAATTAGGGTATTTTAAATTTTCACACTTCATTAATATGGAAATATCGTCTGCAAATAATATTGGTAATGCTTTATTTTTGTCTAATGTTTTGGGAAGGTCATTTATATAAATTAAGAACAACGCGCATCCTAGCACACTTCCTTGTGGGATTGAGCAAGTAATTTGCTTTTCACGTGATCTAATGGCATTCATGACGTTTTTTTCGTAGTTAGCATATTCAATTTGTACTATTTGCTTCCTATTGTGTAAATATGATTTAAACCAGGAATATGCAGGTCCTCGTACGCCGCAACCATATAGTTTAGTTAGTAAAATGTCATAAAGTACCTTGTCATATGCTTTTGTCATATCGAGTAGTAGCCCAATAACATGTTGTTTGTCGTTTATGTATTGTAGTGCTTGTTGAATGTATTTATAAACTGCTAGTGTTGTTGATCTACACTTCCTAAATCCGTTCTGTGCATCGTCAAGAATATTGTACTTTTCTAAGAATTTACAAAGCTGATTACACATTGCTTTTTCAAATACCTTAGAAAATGTGGGTAGTAGTGCTATGGGTCTATAGTTGCTTGCAATATGTTTATCACCTTTTTTATGTACTGGTTTTACTAAAGCCACAGGCACAAAAAGGCACAGGAAAAGAGATATTGCAAAAAAAACTGGTTTTGCCGCCATTTTTTCAAGATAGCGCCGTGAGCGGAGCACGTACGAGAGTGCAAAAGGGAAATCGGAAAAAGCACATCAAAATCTACAAAATTACCAATTTTCAAAACTTCCGGAAGCCTGTGCAGGCATCCCCATATTTCCTCCTTATGTTTGAATAAATTATATTTGTGCCAGTATTAGTATTGATGTTTATTGATGTATTGGCAACTAATAAAAATTAAAACCATTTAAATCAAACAAGTAGTTTTTATTTATTGATTTTTGTAGTTCGGGATTTTTTGATCAAAACCAGAATGTTGAATATCCCAGAAACTAGCCACTTTGGGACCAGTGACCTCAGGGCTAATTGTGTAGGAAATTATTTGTATTGTCACAACCCGAGAGAAATGCGTCGAGTTACAATCGTCGAAAGTATTTGTTTCCGACCAGATAGACTTAAAAAATATAAATGGGTCATCTACCGTGCAGTTTACGATAATTTTGGTTAAGTTTTATTTAAAACATTAGGATGTAAGTAATTAAAACTATATATCTACATATCAATATAGGTTCAAAGCCCACAACAGTGTTAAACATTTACACCTACTATTGTGTCTCTCTACTTCACCCTAAGGTTGACTGTTAGAGAATGCCACTAGGCATTAAGTCCGTCATTGTACACCCATTGTGCAAAAAGTGTAATTAAATAAATAAAAAAAACTACATAAATAAGTACCTAGTTAATCTATATATATAAAAGAAAGTCGTGTTAGTTACACTATTTATAACTCAAGAACGCCTCAATCGATTTAGATAAAAATTGGCAGGGAGGTAGCTTAGATCCAGGAGACGGACATAGGATACTTTTATTACAATACTTTTTTTTACTTTTTACCGAAAATCACGAACGGGAACGAGGGGAAAATGGGATTGCGCGTACGAAGTCGCGGGCAGAAGCTAGTGTTTTTATAAAGGTAGGACTATTTTTTTAATATGTATAAGTTTTTGAGTAGCAAGTAAAGTTTAATTTTTCTAGGGCAAGTTGCTGGCCCCGATCTCTTAGTAAGGACACACTTATAGACAGATATGTGCATCATGTGCATTCATCGTCGTGACGCATATAAAAACTTCGGTCGGTGGAATGTCCATAGGTGAAAGACCCTGCTGGGGAAACGGATATAAATGAATGATCCTGTCGACGGACAGTTCAGTGGCGAATCGATCTTAGGAGAACGGTTGCTGAATCATATTTAAGTATTATACTTGCCCTAACTTGTAAAATTTAAGGAAAATCTGAGAATAATTAAATGGAATGTAGGTAAATAAATTATGTATTGCTAATACTTCGGAATAAAAGCATATTGAAATAAAACTTACTTCTACATCTCCTGAATCTATTATGTAAAAGTTATCTCCTTCATCTCCTTGCCTTATGACAGTTTCACCAGGAAGACACTGTACTGGAAACATAGCATCGAACATATCTGCTCTCTCAGATTCATCCAAATGAGTAAAGAGTACATTTGAAGCTATAGCTCGCGAAAGAGCACCCATAGTCTTATAATCTTTTGGCACCACCTAAAAACAAATTATAATAAATGTTAATATGTTCGGTTGTGTTTACTAAAGTGTAATTTATTCCTTGATTTTTATGTTTCATTAACACGGCAATGAGTGCATACATGCACTACATGCCCGAAAATAATGGTAATATTAAACATTTTTTTTTCTACAAATTGATTGGCAAGTTGGCAACACACTTGTTAAGGAAGTTTTGCACAACTTCTTGCTTTGGTTATCAGAACGAATACGAATAGGCCGGCTCGACTGGAGTGATATCACGGCCTCACAGACAACCGACGTGAAACAATACTTGCGTCGTGATTCGTCGTGTGAGTGCCAAATACCCCCTTCCCCAATCTCCACAATCTTTGAATCCTAAGAATCCTCAAATTCCTAATCACTCGTAACACCTCTGGTTTGCAGGTGTCATATAAAAAAATACACAGAAGTGCACATTACGATACTTAATGCCACTGTACAATGTAACTTTTCACTACATATGCTATAATAGTCCCATGTAATATGAGATGAGCGTATTGCAATATACCAGCATCATTCCAGACTCCTTGCTACTACTGAGAATTGAACTGAGAAAAGAGAGATAATTGAAAACCCAGTAATACTTTGCCTTATCTGGGAATCAAACCCGAGACCCGTTGCCCGGCAGTCGTACTTGCGACATTTAGGTGTAAAAATACGTAAATTTAATGTAATTCAGGAGTAAACATGCCTTTTTAACATAGCTGGTAGCATCTTCCTCTGTTACAGGTTCAGCACTAATACCACCACGTCTGCGTGGTGGCTGTCCCCCAGGCACAGGCAGTGGAGAGAGTTCTCCATCCGCTTCGCCCTCTGATGCAGCTGCTGCAGCTTGAGCAGCCTTTGCTTGTTCCTAAAAAGAAATATATTTATATGCTTAGTGAATAAAATGTTTTTCAAATAAGTTATTTTTCTGAAAAACAGAGTACGAATAATAGTTAATATAATTAATTTTTTTGCATAAAAGTATAACATATCTACAACATGTAGATCACAATTTTATAAATAAGAACCCACCCGGCTTTATACCGTTATTAATAGTGTTGTTCTACTACTTAAATTATGCATGTATGGTAGATTTAAAACTTTCTCTTGAATCAGTCCATCAATTACTGCATTATGATCAGTACACAGAAATTCAATACAACGAAAAGGAACTTTGTTTTATACTACATATGTAGTGATACCAACATAAACAGTATACAGTACCTGTTACAGATGTATTTAAATAGCACTAGGGGAAAACATGTAATGATCTACTTCATAATATGTTTAATTTATTATAGAATGTAGTTAACAACACCTTAGGCATTCAGTGATAATTAATAAAGAAGGTATTTTTTTAATAACTATTGTGAGACATACTAAATTAACTAAAAATCGCGGGTTACTCACATGAATATACTGTGCCATCGCCGCGATACAAGCTGCTCATGAGGAAGAACCCGTTTGTGGTTCGAAACTAGTAGAGCTTTTCTCAGTATATGCATGTGAGTAACCTGTGATTTGTAGGTAATAAAGAGGGTATTTGTGCAATACTAATAAAAACTTTATTATTTGTTACAAAGAAAATTAACTCGTTGAGTACCGTCATTATAGACACAATTAAAGAACAATAGGTTGCGGTCACCGGTGACCGCTCGGTGTTTGACAGTTTAAATGACTTATAAGTTGTAAATGTATTGATAGTTTTATGTTTAATCAGCAGCAACAGTATCTGAATAATTGCTACAGCATGTCTGTCTTATTTTAGTTCCAGTAAAATATCCATTAACTCGTTGAGTACTGTATTTATAGACACAATTGAAGAACAATAGGTTGCGGTCACCGGTGACCACTCGGTGTTTGACAGTTTAAGCAGGCACAATTTTGTGTTTTGACTTTCATTTTACATCAATAAATCAATTATCATCAATACACATGTAATGCACTTCTATTAAGAAAATGAAATTGAATAGAAAGTGTACTTGCCCATGTAAACCAATTAGTTTCAGTCATATTAGTTGTAAGCTACAGATAGTGTTCAGATACACAAAAAATATGCACACAACACTTCAAAACTGCTGGGCCCGCTTGTGACTATGTAGTTAGTCATTATAATTATTTTGTCCCATTAATTAAATACCTCTGACCTCCTTGAGGAAAAATTCCATAAATCAACAAATAATAATATTTATAATTGTCCTTAACTATAAATAAATATTGTATATTACATTATATTTATCTTCAATACATGAGAACAAACATCCTGTGTGTCCAGTTGTAATGTATTTACAGGTTTTGCTGACACAAATTTATCCTATTAGCCTACACTCCCAATTATACATAGGTAAGAAACAAAATTTCAAACACTAATAACCTGATAATATTATTAAAATTTTTGTTATCATCTTACTGGTGTATTAAGGCACTACAGATGAAAGGAAAATAATATTAAGATACTTTAGATACAAGTGATTGTGATCTTAATCTTGCACTATGTAAAGGATTACTCACGCGTTCTAGTTTTTGGAGATATTGTCTTAAAAAAGACACAGGATTTTCTGGCTTATTTACACATAATTGCACTATACAATCTTTCAACAATGAAGAAATATTGTGACTCTGAATATAGTTTTCACACTCATGTAAACATTGCTCTTCTTCCATCCTTTAAAATTTCTTAATCTGAAAATAAAGTGCCTTGGTTAGTTATCCAAGGCTTAGTGAGTTCACTAAGCAGAAAAGGAACAAACCGTCAAATAGCATGAATAGAATTACAAGATATTAGTAAATAGGTATACAGTTTTCTTAATGAATCGACATGGATTAAATGATATCTCGACCCGATTTATTCTGATTCTGACAACTCAAGTCACAAGATGACAGAAACACAATCATACGACATCGACAAATAGAGTCGGTACCCGATAGCATAGACTCAAATACTCAAAACCGACAGATGTACGTAATTTGAGTGTGTTTGTTTGTTCCACCTTCACGCCGTAACTACTCAACCGATTGCTTTGAATTTTTGCAGACGTAAAGTTAAAAGTCCGGATTAAATAATAGGGTACTTTTTAACCCGGAAAAATTAATATTCCCGAGGAAAAACAAAAGTACTGGTATAGATGGCGCTGTGTGTATTGGTATATGTCACATAGGCTACTTTTTATTCTTTTGTGACGCGAGCGAAGTCGCGGGTAAAAGCTAGTATTTTCAAATAAATCAAAGAGATGGATGAATTTTTCAATATGTATAAACACTGAGTAGATACTTATCAGCTTTACCAACGGAGCTTTAGGAGCCGACCAGTAGCGGGAGCATGGTCCAAGCTACCGGTGGTTAGGGCTCTAGAGACAGAAACCGCCTCACGATACGTGCCGTTTCTAGGAGAACTGCCTTCTGTATCAGGCCCTTGATCCATCCACCTAACGCCAGCGTCCTGAGATGGATGTCGAGGCTATTAGGGATCCCATTAGCCGACACGACTCTCGGCACAATGATAGCCGACTCCACACTCCACATGTCGACAACCTCGTGAGCTAAGTCTAGATATTTTATTTGTTTATCTTTCTCAGCTTTCACGAGGTTCTCGTCATGGGGAATGGTGACATCGATTATCATGGGGCGGCGTACTTGACGGTCTATCACTACTATGTCAGGTTTATTGGCTACAATAGTCCTGTCAGTAATGATAGACCGGTCCCAGTACAATGTGATATGGTCATTTTCCAGAACTGGGTCGGGCACATACTTGTAGTACGGTACCTCAGATTCAACAAGTCGATAGTGTAAAGCAAGTTGCTGATGGATAATCTAGTTATCATTATTTCCATATATTTATTTAAACTTTCTCTAAAATTACATTTTTAAATACTACAGTATAAAAATAATATTTAAAAATATAAAAATAGGAGTCATTATTATTATCATTATCAAGTAGTTTATCTGTGTCCAAAATTGATGACAAAGACCAAAAACTAAAGCTAATATTTTGGTGTAGCCAGCGTACATTGCCCTTTTATATTTTGCCGAGTGTCGTCTTTGGTTTGCGTTGCGCTTTGCGCTCATTGAATTGGCCCATTTTTCATCTGTGCCGTTTGTGTGTTCCCCTACCTTTGGTCGTGTGTAGTGATTATCGGTCGAAGATGGAGGCCGCTGAATCTGAAGCCGGTGTAAAAACTCACTTAAATAATGTGTTATCCGACGAGGAAATTGCTAATTTACCCAATCTCATTACAGAAAAGATAAATGCTTACATCGATAAAACATTTGAAGAATATTTAACATCTAAAGCTCTTCATGAGACTAATAAGTCCCAGATAGGTAAGTGAACCGGTGTTTTCTGACGCTTTCACCATCCAATGCTTCATTTTTTATTGTACGAAACTTTTGAGTATGTTTTATTTCATTATTTTTCTTAATCATTTTCGTATTTGACTGAAATCCAACACTTTTGAGACCATGTGTTTTTATATCATATTTACTTTTGTGTACTTACCCACACATCTGCTTTGTCGTCATTGTTTTTACATTTTGAATTCATAACCTTATTTATGAATTATTAGCATTCAATGTTTTGTTGTTATTACTGTTTCTTTTGTTATGGTATAATCGGATATTTTATTTAAATATCGCATAACGTTTTCAACGCCAAAGCTAAGTACTCCCGACAGTACCAATAGTGTTAAAACACCACTAAGTCAATTTTAAGTACCGTAATTAAACAAATTTTTGCAATTTATAAGAAATTATGTACTTATCAAGAAATTCTGTTACCGTTGAAAATAAATGATATTCGTTTAAAATTTCTAATAATAAGTAATATAGAATATCTAGATGCTATCTATCAATAATGGACTTTGACAGTGCTTTGTAATTTTTTTTACTCAATTTATTTTATTTTTGTTAGGTTAGGTTCTATTACTATTTTCATGTTATCACCCTAAGATTTGCTAAGGTTTTTAAGTGGGTTTAGTTTATAGCGACTTGGATTATCGAAATAATTTGTTTCCTTTAATGTAAGTTTCATTCGAGATTTATGCTTTAACCATAGTATTTATTTGACATTTTATTTATTGGACAGAAGGCATTGTGTAGTTTTTTTTTCATTTACAAACAATAACAACTGTAATACAAACCAATTAACATTAATGAATAATTTGGTTTAGGACTTGTGCCACTTACTACTAACCAATAATATCAATCGATAATACATAATAGTATGGATAATAAACTTTACAGTGTCATGATAGACCCTTTAACTATGGGGACTACTATTATTTAATGTTGATATAGTTCTCTCTTTAGATATATAGACACAACTCCATCAGTCCATAAAATCATTTGACATGTTCCCTACATATCAAATAATATGGCATGAATGGCTAAATATTTTCTATTTAACTAAATTCTTAAACAAAACAGGCAATGGTACATCCCAATTCAAAACTGAGACATCCATGTGGGTTAGCACTTGGCTTCGGCCAGTACTATCTCTCAGATCCGGCCCTGTATCCAAACTAATGATTTTCTATTTTTAAGGTTTTGGGCTTTTGATTGTTTTTATTTGTTTTGTTATTGAATCAGTTTTTAATATACCATCTACATTATCAATATAATTGTGTATACCTAATGATATTGTTTTTGATGATTTATTTTAAATATTAATGTTTTAGGTGATAGAGTATCATCACTGGAAGCCCAGATACTCGAAGTGACGGCGAAATATGACGATGCTGTGAAGAAGCTATCAACATCTGATGAAACCATTACAGAACTTACACAACAGGTTGAATCTTTAAATAACGAATTAGAAAAAGCGCGCGATAAAATAACACGCCTTGAAAATGAAATTATTTCTCTCAAGAGCTCAAGAGACGCTGCTGTTGACGAAAGAAATGACTTGACAAGAATACTACAAAGGCGAGATGCCGAAATTGAAAGACTAACTTCTAGCGAAGCTGCATTGTCTCAACAATTACGTGCAGCAATTGATGCCAAATGCGAAGCCTTAGCACTAAATGATGAAATACAAAGCAAAGAACTTTCACTTCAATATCGCGAAAAACGTATTGAACAGGAAAGAACTTTACTTAATTCACAAATTGCTGGGTTGACTGAAGAAGTCAATCGTCTCACGTCTGAACTACAAACTGTAAGATTGAATAACACCAGTCGTTCAGTAAACTTGGAAACCCAATTAGCTGAAAAAATCGAGGAACTAAATGCTGCTAATGAGACTATTACTCAGTTAAATGAGGTAAAGAAAAATTTGAACAACAGAGCTGAAAGTCTCACTCAACGTTTAATGGAGCAAAGAGAAATAGAAAATAAAATGACAGAAAATTACAAAAAAGAGTTGGAGGCCAAAACCAAACTAGCTGACTTATTTAAAACTATGCATGATGATGCTGAAGCAAAAACCTTGGAGATGACTGAAGGAATTGCAGAATTACAAAAATTGTTGAATGAAGCCACTGAGAAATATGGGGAACTGGAAACAAAATGCAAACAAGCTGAGTTGGACCATGAGGAATTAATGGATAAAAAAAATGAAATAATTAGTTCATTAAAAAATGAATTAGAACATGCAAATGATTTATTAAAGGCTGCTAACGCTCAAAGTCTTGACATGGCTTTAAGCGATTTGGCTCCATCAGCAGCAACTGCCAGCAAACTGTTGAAATCAGGAATGTCTCTTACACAAATATATTCGCAATTGGTGAAAGTTTCGGATGACCTAGCTCAAGAAAAGGAAGATAATAGACGTCTCAATGTCACTATCAACACCATTGTTCAAGAATTGGAGGAAAAAGCTCCTTTACTTCAAAAACAAAAAATTGAATATGAAGAAGCATTAGAAAGCAACACAGCTCTATCTCAGCAAATTGATTCCCTAGTCATTGAATGTAATAGACTTCGAGATGATTACAATGAATCATCTAAAATAGCAAACCACTATAGCCGTGAAAATACAAAACTGAAAGGTGAATTGGCAGATTTAGGAAGACAAGTTTGTTTCTTGTTGAAAGAAATTGAACACAATCGCGGAGGTCTATTACCTAACGGCGACCATGATTCATCGCAAACTGCTTCGAACACAACAAATTCATCTGAATTAAGTTCATCAAGAATTATATCTAAAACATTAGTGACATTTTCAGATATTCAAGAATTACAATCAAATAATCAAAAGCTTTTGCGCATGATACGCGAAATGACAGATAAGCAAGAAGAATTTGAACGCCACAAGGAACAATTTGAGAGTGGCGAAATGCAAAATAAGATAGAATCCTTGAAAAATAGAGTAGTTGAGCTCACTGAAGCTCAAGATCGTCAAACCAAAATGGTCAATGGCCTTATCAGACAAAGAGACATGTTTAAGAAACTGTATCATGATCATATGAAGGGCAAACGCCATGAGTTATCTGCATCTGAGATCACTGAATTGGAAAAGAGTGGAATATACTCAATGGAAACCACACCTGAAAAAGTAAGCAAGACTCCTATTCCAGAGACATCTTCATTTGAAATCAAATACAAAGAAACAGAGAAACAATTGGAACTACTAAAAGAAGAATACAAAACTTACAAAGAGGAAAAAGTAACTAATGAAAGAATGCTATTTGAACAGATTGATAGCATGAGACAAGAAATAGGAAAATTGACTGCTGCCAATAGTAAATGTGCCTCAACATCTGAGTACAATAATGAAAGACTTAAAATTTTACAAACCAATATTACAACTTACAAAAAGCAAATTTCGTCCTTGGAAGAAAAGAATAAAGCTTATAATGCTACCATAGCAAAGCACGAAGTCTCATTGCAACATTTAAGAGATGAAGCTTTAAATGCTCAGAGTAAACTTGCAGCTGCTGAAATACAACTAGAAAACTTGAAACTAGAACTTAAATTACTTAAAGATGCTGAGCTGCGTATCCAAACAGAAAAAGAAATGTTAAATAGAGAAAGACAAGGCCAATCTTTACTTCTGAAAAATTTGGAACTAATCAAAGCTAGTTTAGAACGCGTAGAAGCAGAAAATCGAGCCAAAATTGAGACAAGGTTAGATGAAGCTACCAGGGAATGTTCAGCATTAAGAAGAAGACTTCAGGAAGAACAAGATCGTTTTAGAGAATTGGCAGCTCATTTAGAAAGGCAAACCAATACTGCAAAAGAAAGAATGCAAGAAGAAAAAGATGCTGCAGATGCTTTAAGAAAAGAAATTACCGAAATGAGACAGGAGTTATTAGAGAAAAATAAGTCGAATGAAGAATTAACTAAAAAACTCAAAGTTGCTCTATCTCCCAATACTGATGGATCATATGATACAGTTAAAAAAATTAGGGATTTAGAAAATAAATTGTCGGACAAACAAGGAGAAGTTCAGTCACTCCAGGAACAACTGAATGTTGCAAAAGAACATATAAAACAATATTGTGACATATCAGAAAGTGCAGAAAAGGAATTAAAAGCTCTTCATACTGAATATGAAGCTTATAAAACAGAAACTGATGCTAAGTTGGCAGATTATACCAGTAAATTACAGAATTTGGAAGATAAGTGTTCAGAGCTAGAGGCTGAGTTGTCACTACATGCCAATGGGGAACATTCTAATAGTAACACTGCATTGAAAAACGAATTGTCTAATATCAAGGAAGAATTGAATAATTCTATAAATAATGCTAATAGTTACCACTCGGAACTTGAATCTGCACGTGCTGAAATAACTAAGCTCTCAGAAGCACTACAGAATGCAGAAGATAAATACACTCATGAAATGATTTTACATTCCAGTGATATTCAAGCCCTGTCTCATGTTAAAGAAGAATTACTACGAGCACAAAATCAATTAAATGAACTAACCGCTTTGAAACAGCGTGCCGTAGAAGATTTGGAAACTGAAAAGAAATCATGGTTAGATAGACAAAACATATTAATGAGTGAAAATAGTCAACTTACAGAGCGGTTGAAAGACTTAAATGACCAAAATGCTCTTTTACATGACCAAATACAAGCTTTAGGCACGCAGTTGTCAGTTACTCATGCGTCTCGCACAGATAGTTTTAATGAATCTGCAAATGATTCCAATATAAATGTCTCAGTAAGTGAAGAAGATGGTAAATCATCCGAACAATTATTCCAAATTGTAAAGTATTTAAGGAAAGAGAAAGATATTGCTATGGCTAAATTTGACATTCTACAAGCTGAAACTATGAGACTAAAATCGCAATTAGAAATAGCTGAGAAACAGCTTGATGAAACAAAATTAACTCTAGCAGCAGAAAGAGAAAAATCTGAAGTTAGTATGGTTACTGTGAATAGACAGTCAGATATATTAAGAAAAGTTGAAACTCTGAATGCTTTAACTGATAGTAACAGAATATTAAGAGAAGAGCGCGATATATTGTCTGCTCGCGTCGAAGAACTGGCAGCAACAGCTAAATCAATGGAGTCTCAGTTAGCACCATTGCAAGAGAAAATTTCTGACATTTCATCCAAAAATGAAACTTTACAATCTGAAAACAATGCTTTGAAGGCAGATTGTGCAAGATGGAGAACTAGAGTAAATGCCTTGGTTGAACGTGCTAATAAAACTAGTCCTGAAGATTGGAAACGCCTTCAAAATGAAAGAGAGACTCTTGCTAAAATGTTAACAAATGAAAAAGAAAATGTTAGGAAACTTAATGAAGAACTTGGGTCTATTAAAGTAGAAAAGTCTAAAATAGAGGAACAATATTCTTTATTATCAAGACAGCAAAATACATTAGCAGAAGAAAATAAAAAGCTTAATGAAGAATTACATACTCTTAAGGATGATATGGCTAGAGTTACTGAAGAAGTTACAAAACTTAAAGCAGAACATTCCGCAATTGTCGCCTCCAATGCTAAATTAACTGAAGAACTGGCTAATAAAGATGCTTCCTTGACTGATATCAGAAATAAAGAAAATCAGATCAGAAAAATCGCTAAAAAGTACAAAGCTCAGTACGAAGAATTAGTAAAAACAACTGAGGAAGAGAAGAAAAAGAATGAAGGCGATGTTGCAGCTGCAGACGCTGCAATGACAGAAAGTAATAAGAAATTCGAGGAACACATAGCTGAACTTCAAGCTAAACTTGAAACTGAAAAAGCAAACACCGATAAATTAAAACAAGAACTAGAAACTCTCAGGACTGCAAATATGGAAAAAGAAGAGAAATCTAAACAAGTTTTAAAACAAGCTAAAAGCAAAATAGTTCAACTAACTGAACTCAAAAATACCTTAAGCCGCGAATTAGATGAGTCTCGTAATAAAATCGGTGCGATTGAGCAAAGTACTCGGGATGAACAAGATGTGAGACTAGCCCTTATAAAATCTCAATACGAAGGACGACTTTCACGGTTAGAGAAAGAACGTAGTGAGGCCCAAGCAGAAAAATCTAGAGAAGTGGAAGCTTTACATCAAAAAGTCACTATGCTTCAGCGGCAACTAGCAAGTCAAGCATCAGCTTCTAAACAACAAGCCACAACTGAGAAGAGTACTACAGAACCACCAACTGCTAATATCAAACCTATGGCTGGTGAGTCACACTTTACTAATAAATTATTATTATTAATGCCCTTCCATTTGTCTGAAGTTGATTTTGTAAATTGAGTTTTAACTACTCAATTTAAAACCTCGAAGTACAATATCTTAGTTTATACTTAATCATGTGATCATGCCTTATGGTCTTCAATACAATGACAAGTACATGATACACATTACACATATTAAATGTAACACTTGTTATCACTTGTCGAGATTTATTTATTATTTGGTGTTGTGTTAACTCTTAATGTCTTTTTTACCTCAAAGTGTACACCATACACTATCTAAATTTCGATTTCAAAAGACTCATTCTACATTCTCTCTAGTAATCACTCAACCATAGTCATATCCTAAATGTTAAAGTAATGTAATGTATTTGTGTATTTGTATATTGTACAAAAACTAATATCAGGTGTAGCCCAGCAAAGTGTAACTGCAAGTCGACGTGGGGGCGAGACTCCTCTGGCATCAATTCGTCCAATGGCTCAAGTGGGACCGACAGCACCACATGACGCCCACACAACAGAGTACATGCCTGCCTCCTCGTCGCGACCGCTTCCTAGAGCTGCCTTAGCAGCATCCACGGCACCTCCAGAGTCGACACAGGTCAGTACCATTCAAATTTCAACTTGAAAAAACTCCATTCGTAGGATACAAGTTTACAGAGAACCTCTTTACCTCTGAAGAACCGAATCCGAAACGAAGTCATCCGACGGATAACCAAAGTTATTGACTTAACCCAAAGAATGGGAGCCGCGGAAAACTTAACGGGTTACCGGGGCTCCGGCTCGAAGTGCAGGAGTAGGAACGGAATGGTTTTTAGTCAGTAAGAGGCGTGAGAATTCATTCCATGATTTTTCCCCCTTAAAAAAAATCCCAAAGATAGTTAGCTGAAGTGGCAGTGGGCCGGTCTCGAAAAACCGATTACCGTTGCGATAGACGTGTTCTAGAGGTAGATCGCGTCTATGCAAACGTAGTGTAGGGCGCTCTCCAGCTAAGTGGACTAACAATAGAGCTAAATATCAAGTTCAGTTACGTACTATTGGAGAGACCTATGTCTAATGTCATTCTTTTCCATTTTTTTTCCTGGTTTGTCAATAAATTGACATTATTTTCTAAACTAAAGCAGTTATCTTAGAATTAACGATTTCATAATACCTACCGAAGCACTATTCCGGGAAACGCAAGCAAAAATTTAGACGAAAAAATAAAGACTATCCTTACTTTTTCGTCTGTATTTAGAGCAACAAGAGTAAAGACTGGCACATCTGTACTTTTTCGTGGAAAACACTCAAGTAATCGTAACTTAATTTTTTTTTTATTTTTATCTCATAACTGCTGGAACCTTGTCCATCACCTGGTGCCATTTGATTGTCGACTTCACGGACACCTGTATAACCTTACAGCCTTTCTAAAAGTATATACCTATAAATTTTAAATTTTGTTATTAGTGTAGGTCAATAATTGCGTTGATTCAATTATTGCTGTTGTATGTACATGATTGAGTAAATGAGTCTTAACTTTGGAAACTGTAGAAAGGAGAATGCCCAAAAAGTCGCATAAATATAGTCGATTAAACCACGACTTTGTACTAGACCATAAGTAAGAGATCACAAATACACTATTCATTTTGGCGAAAACCATAACCGAACGGGCCAGGAGACTACAGCATACTAAAATATTGTATGGGCGCGTGAATAATTGTCAACTTTTGGTTATATTTTTGTAACTAGACTAATGAAAGCGGTGCAGTTAAGGAATAACATATACGAGAATTGCAAGTAAATCCCAAAAAGCCCATAAGATTTGATGACCCATGATTATAAGTACATCACTATAATATGATGTGATTTTGTTCAAAAAATCATTACAAACTGACAGTTAAATCTGCAGACAGATCATATAAAGGGAGACCATGGTGGTTTCATTGAAAACAATTGTTGAATTTGGGATGTAGACCCTACCTTGACACATGTTCATTATTTTAATCGATTCTTGGGCATTGTCCTTTGTTTACTACTGCATTTCGAAGTCTGGTATTAAGATAAGGAAACACGAGATAACAGATAATCATTAAAATGATTCTTATAATATGTGTAAATTCTACAAAATACATTATTTATATTTTTTCAGGATATGGATACCAGTGAGGCCGGCATGGGCAGTTCTGGTTCTAGTGATAGCACAGCTCAACCTTCGACACATTCCCAAGTACCACAACAAGTATGTAATAATACTAGATTTTGCATGTGTCTTTGTTCGCAGTATTTTAAAAGAGTGTAGGCATTATTTTTTACAAAAAAATATTTTTTTAGGAAAGTGGGCGGTTAGACAGAAAAAAGTATAGTCTATATCACTCCCCATCCCTTCAACTATCTGCAATTAGAATTTCACGTTAATACGTCGCACCGTTCTGGCGTGATTAATTAAACCACTATCTATTAAAAAAACGCATCAAAATCCAATGCGTAATTTGAAAGATTTAAGCAATTTAGGATACGTAGGGACTAGGGACAGACACCGGAAAGTGACTTTATGAATAATGTAAAATTAATGTTTATTTAAATAGTTCCAGAATTTACGGATAATTTATTAATACAAATGCATTGCTTCCAAAAGGCTGTGGCAATGGTTATGCCACGCATCGAACAACCTAGCGGCGCTGCGTCTGGTAGCTTGACAGGCGTGCCTGCAGCCAGCTCGGCTGCCGCGTCCAGTGTCGCTACACCAGCTGCATCAGCACCTCCTATTCCAGGTATTTATAATTACGTTATAATACAGTTAGCTGTCACGTGGGAGAGCTGTGGAACGACGCTACTGAAGTGTTAACATGGTCTCACAGAAATCCTGTGTGAAATAACGCTTAGTTTCTGCCTCTCATACGCTTTCCAATTGTCTATGATGTGACGGTTAAGTTTGTTTAATTAAAACAAAGACACTCAATCCGTTAACAAAGAGTGTAATATAAACAAAAAAAAAAAGCAAAACAATATCCCAGGGATGGGGTCAAAGGCTGTATGCCGAGTTCTACCTCTCCGGTAAAGCGGTACTGTCCTGGGTCTTATTCCGTGCCGTCGGCTGGGGGTAGGCAGGCAGGTGAGGTGGGTCTCTGAATGCTGCTTCTGCTACGTGCGACGTCCGCAGATACACGTCGGATGACATCTGACGGGTATATTCGATTCGGAGTGTTGGATCGGCGAATTGTATCCGAGTATCAAATCGTAATATGGAATCTAAATGTTGAACCCTGAAAGTAACAGGTGCAATGAGTGATTATTCAGGAGGTGACCATGACCACTCAATTGCCACGCCCAGGATGATGAAGCGGAAAAATAAGCACGTAACATTACCTGGTAGGCAATGGATGTGGCTGATGGTCACGAGAACAGAGATACTGAATGGAATGAATAAAAAAATGTCTGATATGAAATTAGATAATTAAAATATCGAACAAAGAAATTGTACGATTTACAAAATCAATATGAGGTAGACAGAATTTTATTAATTATAAAGCCAACTACTTTACTTATCTGAATATGAATTAAAACTACGTTGATACTTTATGATCACTAACAACGTACTCAATAAGATATAAGCAATAAAAGAAAATTAATGTTCACCACATATAGAAAGAAAAGTAAGATACACTGTAAAATACACAATTGTTCGCCACTTACCGAATAACGGGTTTCAATACACTAATATTTAACGTAGTGAGATTTAGCACTAAATAATAATCTGTGCTGCGCTGAGACGAGCGACGAGCACAGTCTATTTTAGTTAGACAAAAGATTAGACCGAACAAGACCAATAAAACGCGCTGAGAAGAGCTACGTGTGTCCTCTAATAAGTCTGGCTGCCGAATGACGGGTGTCGAACTCCAAATAGCCGGCCGTTGGTAAACCGACCGGACAAGTTTTTAAAAAATTGTCGCAGTCAAAATGCGTAACCAGACAATGTTTGTGTTGACCAACTTCTATTAAGTTCTTTATAAATAATAGTTATGTATTTTTAATTGATGACCCTTGTAAGAAGTAAGTAATACTTGTATTGTGTATAATAGTGTTTTTGATTATAATGGTATTAAATTTTATTTTATTTTAATCTATTTTTTTATTATTGTAAACACGTGTACAACGTTACAATGAATGGACATTAAGAAACAAATAATCATTTTAATATCGATGAAAGCAATGATACGGAAAATGATCAGCATGTTGTTATAATTTATTACTTTTAAAAGAATTTGAGTGGTTTTTTCTACACGATATCTCAAACTCTCCTATTTGTGTGCCGTATTCTAGATGGTACTCAATCGAAGACCTCTACTAAAGCATATTTGGACAGAAATGTACACCATGTACGTATCTGTTGAATGTATTTCCATTACTTTTCCTAACATTTTGTTGTAAAGGTGAGACACAAGTTTAATGAAGGTCGTATTATGTCGTTAACAGGAACGACTGCAGGCCCGTCAACGTCTTGCCCTGTGTCGCAAGCGTCCGGTGGCGTGAGCACTTCGCACGCGCCGCCCGGCGTCAGCACGTCGGCGGCGGCGGCGGGCGTCAGCACGTCACACGCGGCGCCCGGCGTGAGTACGTCGCATGCGGCGCCCGGCGTGAGTACGTCACACCCGCCGCCCGGGGTCAGTACGTCGCACGCACCACCCGGAGTTAGTACGTCGCACGCGCCGCCCGGCGTCAGTACGTCGCACGCGCCCCCAGACGCGCGCCCCCCTAAGCGTCGCCTTCAACAACGCCCTCTTGCTTCTAAGAGAACTCGGGTGCAAGTACGTATCTTCGTTGTTTACTCAATTCTTCAGGTTATTGTGTTCGTGCAATTGTGCTTTTATGTAGAATAAATAAATCAGAGAGAAATAAGTATTTTATAAGATTATTTAATACAGTGAAACTTGGTTAAGTGGGACCTGGATAAGTGAGAAACCTCCATAACTGGAACTCATGCTGAGGTCCCAACACTTTGGCACTGAATTACCTCTGTTAGTGGGACGAGGTAAACCTCTATATCTGGGATTTGTTCTTTCGATTTATCATCATAGTTACCTCTATAACTGAGACAGCGAGTAAATTTTATATGCATAAATCTCTGTAACTGAGATAACATTGTTTGTTTACTCATTCTTATTCTACCCACAAATTCCACACGTAATTTCAAGTCCACCTCTATTAATGGAACCCTCTGTAAATGAGACAGATATTTATTTATACCTGTATATCTGAGACACTGTGTAAGTGGAATACCTCTATAAGTGAAACGATATTGTAGGTCCCTTGATGTCTCACTTAACCAGGTTTCACTGTATTACCTTTCTTCGTTTTCTTATTTGCTTTCTTAGTTTCTTGCTAACAGTCAATATTCAAACCTCTCCCTTATTCGACCTTACGATGCTCTCCTTTTTAAGGCGATTTTTGTTCGGTTCAGGGATTTGAACGGTCTGTGGAAGTAGAATACCAAGTACCGACATCTTCCCGCTGCGATCAAGATGACGAGGGCGTCATCGTCGTTGATTCGGAGGAAGACGACGAGCGGTGCACTGGCACTATGTACAGGGTATGGTTTCGTCATACATTCAGTAAGCTTTCTGGAGAAACAAATCTGAAATAATTATTATCTTTCTATAATATCTTTCTATCGTCATTAGGAGGGAGAGGAAGAGGAGGAAGACATGGAAGAGGAACAAGAAGTAGAAGCAGGTGAAGAAGAAGAGGAGGTCGAAGGTGACGACAGCGAGAATACCACACGACAGGTATGTTGACAATATCATTCTGTGTATTTATCACCATGATCGACTTGTAGGCTAGGGTGAAAAATCCACAACAAAAAAACTGTAGTAGCTCTGTTACTATATTCCTCCTGTATTTGGATAGTTATCTGATGTGTATATTTTAAAGAAATGAATGTAGATTTCTAACAAATGGTTTGTATATATCAAGTGTGTTCTGCAGACTTTCCTGTGTGCGTTGTGTGCAGACAAGTTGTAAATCTAGAAGTAGTTGAATATCTGCATACAGAATCAGTTGATCTCGAAAAATTTTGACTATCGTTGATGGTCTACTGGCTTACACGAATATATTATGTGTATTGTGTCTACTATAAAAGTGAATGCAAAGTTGGACAGAAGAAGTACCTGGAAAGAATGCTGTAAAAGTGTATTCCTATTTGTTTTAATAATGAAGAATAAATGAATCTATAAAATAATGAATATGCAGTAGACTTCTTATGGCTGGCATGATGACGTGATTTATTAAATGTAACACACATTTTTTCTGTTTACTTTTATATTGCGTAACAGGCACAAGTCCAGACTCAGTGTTACTACGAATAAACCTAGTAGCACTCATTCAAAAACGACGCAGAAGTTCAATTTGTCTATAAAATATTTTTATTATTAGTGTTGGCAAATATTTGCTTTACAAGTGTGTGTTCTGTGGCGATGCAGGAGTCGCCGGCGCAGTCTCCCGAGGCGGGCGAGGAGGCGGAGGAAGGCGCGGCCGGCGCGGCGCGGGCCGAAGCCGACAGCGAGCCCGCGCCTGCCATCCAGCAAATCGAAGCCATCAGCAGCGGCACTGAACGTTCGTACCTCCACCACCTATCTACACCACCACCAAATCTCTGTTCCACTATTTTAAAAATAAAAAACAAACAACTTTTTGTGGCTCACACAGAGTTTGTTCCGCACAGCAATGGTACTTGCGACACGTTCTGCAGCAGCCTTCCTCAGAATCTTGTTCTTGACAAACTTTGCACAACAACAAAATAATATAACTAAGAAAACCAGATTAGGGTAGCTTGATGTAACGATACTTATAAATTTTATTTTGTGTTTAGAAAGTGGAGCGCTGTCTTTGGGAGGTAACAATGGTGACGACGGAGACGACAGTATAGTGCCGTCCACACCTACCCTTTATGTACCGCGACGCAATGACGGGTAAGATCATTATCTCTTAATCAACGCTAATAAAACGCCTGCCTACTATAATATATTGTGCCCATCTGTTTATGGCAAATCTTTGATGTAAAGTGTAAAGTACTTAAAATATTTTATTTATGCAATATTGAATAATGTAAATGAAAGTCCACAACCCATTTCATTTATTTGATGTGGAAGATAAACATAAATTGTACTTAAAATATTGATTGTCCGTTTGTAGTGCCTTCTTAGTAAATATGATTTTTCAAAGGCAACTTAAAAATAATCTTATTGTATAACAAATTCAGAAAAAGATGAGTCGTATAAAGTGGTTTGCAATATTTTATCACATTCAGGTTCAATCAGATCGTAAATTGTTTCGACACCATAATCTGCTACGTGTCATGTAACAACCGGCAAGGTTAAAGCTAGTGAGTAATCACAAAAAAAGACGAAATCAAGGTAGCGGAACTAAATGTTATTGTGAAATCATAGTGAAGTCTGTGGCATTGAAATATTTGGTTATACTACAAGTATCTGTCAAATTTTTTATTTATTTAAAAATTTATTGTTTGTTCAATTGGGAGTAGCTTATTAATTATTGACTTGGTACATGGGATGTTTCCTTAGTTAAAATATATTATCTGATTTATCGTTGCATGTAAATAGGTATTTAGTTTTTCTATGTAGAAAGGATTCCTATCGATAGATTAGGGGGAAAATATTACATCATGCTTTTTAAAATCTTAATTAAAAAAACAGAGATTTGATCAATATGACATCATAGGTAGATAATTACTATATCGTACAAAAATCATTGAAAATGAATGTTTTTTATTTTTCATCGAAGACGCGTCTAGATAGAAAGTATATTACGTGCGGACGTGTTGTACAGGTTCGGCGAGGCGGTGGTATCGCCGGTGGGCGGCGGCGGGGGCGCGGCCCGCTTCACGTTCGCGGAGGCGCACGCCGCGCTGCAGCACCACGACACGCACGCCGACCTGGCCGCCGCGCTGCCGCCCGCGCCGCTCGCCGCGCCCGCGCTCGACGCACGTCAGTACCTCCCGTTGTTTATGAAACGACCTCCATCACTACATTGCTAGCTTTTCCAATGTTTTTGATTTAGCACCTTCCTGTTACACATACGTTAATCTAACATAATGAGCAAACTCGTGCATTTACTTTTAAATTGGTTGTTTAAAAAATATGAATCCAATCGAAATGTATTTATGATTTTTTTATGGCATTAGCCGATAAAAGAGCAGACGGATCACCTGATGGTAAGCAATCGGCGTCGCCCATGGACACCTAGAACACCAGAGGCGTTACAAGTGCGTTACCGGCCTTTTGTATATTAGTAATTTGAGGATTGTTGGGGATTCTAGAATTGGGAGCGGAGAAGGGGTAATTGGACCTCCCGTAACCTCACTCATACGACGAAACACAACGCACGCGTTGTTTTACGTCGGTTTTCTTTGAGGCCGTGGTATCACTCCGGTCGAGCCGGCCCATTCATGCCAAAGTATGGCTCTCCCACACTTGTCTGTAAAATTGTAAACCTGAGTAACAATTAACAGTTACTACTACTATCTATAGCAAGAAAGCTTTCACAATGCTTTACCAATATGATGGATCCGTACCTTACAAAGTTAATATACATGCATACTAAAAATGCTCATTTTAAAGGTCCAGAAGGTGGTGAAACCAGAGACTGGGAGGAGTCAAGAGCTGAGGAGGAAGCAACCGCCGTCAGTTCACAGGGTAGTGAACCATCTTCACCACATCAAGTAAGCCTACTAAAAATTATTGATGACTGATGACTATTGGCTACTGATATTGGAATTCTAACTAATCGTTGTCGCGGTATTTAAATTGATACCTGTAAATAAGAAGACCAGTACCTGATGCAAAAAAAAACTCATAATAAAATTGTTGAATTGAAATCATTAAAAGACGTCAAGCCCGTGAATTCAGTTACGACTGTACTTCAGTCATTTTTTAAAAGTAGTAATTTTATATTATGTATGTTGGGTATACGGTACGGACCATGACCCTTATAGATTCGATAAGGGTTCTGATTTTAATCATTTGGCTATGGAACCTTAATTACGTATATCTCTTGGAACCTCAAACAATTGGTGAACCATTCTCTAAATTGTTATGTATTCGAATAATATACTATAGATACATGTTTATTATGTAATGTGTGTAATATGCATTCTGATGTTATCATTGTAATGAAGTTGAGTGAACAATACATAGTCACGCGATCGTAGTGTTCAATAATGATTTGCTGTTAGCATTGAAGAGTTCCGGTCTTACTACGAAAGCAATATAATTACATAATAGGTGTTCCCCACAATATCTTTAATTTTATGACTGCTACCTGCGAGCGTCCTACCATTAGTAGGTATAATTACGTTGGAGAGGTAGACTTGAAGGAATGTGGACACACATTCAATACAAAAATCGGTTACGTCATTCTTTTCCTGCATGCACGTGGCGGCTGATTTAAAACATGGTAAGTACCAATGTGACTGCAATATTTAAATGTCCAACACAAAATTGTATCCTGCTTTAGTGAAAGCTGAAAAAGCAAAAAAAACTAAATAAAACTGCTTCTACTTCACAAGGCGATAACAAGAAATAGTATTTTATTCCAGAAATTGGTGATTCAGCAATAATAATTATATGTAAAATATGGACTGCCCCATTATCCAAGTGGTCGCAAGTGCGACTGCCGGGTAAAGGGTCTCGGGTTCGATTCCCGGGTCGGACAAAGTATTACTGGGTTTTTTTAAAAAATCTCAGTAGTTGCTACTACTGTACTGACGGAGTCTAGAAATGTACCTTGTATATGGCAATAGGCTCACCCCCTATTACATGGGGCTCATAACATAAAATAGTGGAAAGTGGGTGTTACATTGTACAGTGGCATTAAGTGCCGTAATGTGCACCTCTGCCTATCCCTTCGGGGATAAAAGGCGTGAAATTATGTATGTATGGATATGATTGTGTCTCGTTCCGTAATTTCGCGAAACAGAGTAGTTTCGGGAAATTAGTCTGTTTGCGTTTAGCAACATTCATAACATGTGCAGATAACACTGGTCTACAAAAATAAATATTTTCAAAGTTACAGCTGAAACAATGCATTTTTTTCATAGTGAGTACAAACTTTGAAGAAAGTCTATGTCTATTACGTTTAAATTTCATGTTATCTGTTAACAAAGTTAACCAATTTGATTATTATAACGTATTTTATTGCTTTACATAAAATTAACTATTCCATTTACTATATTTAATCATTTCTTTACACTTTGAGATGATACTTTAACATTCACCATAGCTGAGATATATGGCAATTTATTTCTACTAATTATTTTCGTGCAACCGATATTAAAAATGTTCTATGCATAATTCTGTCTAAATTTCAAACTGCCATAACTCAGTGATGATATAATCTGAGAATCATTTCCAAATGATATGGAGAAAATAAGATTTGTAATATATATTGTACTTCTAAAAAAATGTTCAAATACAAACGTTTTTTTCTACAAAGTCACAGAATAAGCAAACAATTATGTAATTTCAAGAATTTTACAGTAGATTACACAAAATCAAGATGTGATAGACATTTACTTTCTTTGAAAAATGAGGTTATCTTGCTTAGTTCTATTCAAAAAGATGGTAGTTTTAATTGTTACAAATACTTGTCCACCAGCGTAATATGGGAACCAGCGATAGTTAAAAATTGTACCTTACTACTTTCAGTCAGACACTGAAAGTTATTTAGGTTGATGTATCGACTTTGATGAGTGTTACAATTAAAGGCAATAAACGCAGATAACAAACCAGTTTATATGATTAACATGCATGCATACTGTTACAATCTAAAAAATGTAGTAATTTTGGAACAATATAGGTACCTACTTTCCCTCCCTATCTAAAGCTGTTCATGAGTATTCATTTGTTTATTTTTCGTTTAGAGATCTACGTAATATAATATTGTACTCATGGTCAGGGTGCGTAGGATATATATCATGAATGGATATACAGTACTGGTCAAAAGTATGAAACCGCTAAATCAGTAAATATTTTACAATTATTGATGATAAAAAGTACTCTGCACACCTGCATATTCTATTGTTCATAATAATTGCTAAGATTTTTTTATAAAAGCCAAGGGACTGCACGGTTGGTGCGGTGGCTGGGCAACTGGCTGCCGTGCAACGTGTCGCGGGTTCGATTCCCGCACGGAACAACACTTTGTGTGATCCACAAATTGTTGTTTCGGGTCTGGGTGTCATTGTGTATGTGAACTTGTATGTTTGTAAATATGTTTGTAAACGCACCCACGACACAGGAGATAATCCTAGAGTGGGGCAAAGTTTTTTTTAAAAAAAAACGGCACCACAATAAACAAGCATTGTATCCAAAGGATCATGGGCGGACTTTAAATCAACATTGTTGATATATATGTCATTTGAAAGAGAATGATCTATACTTTGTTTCTTAGTATTACGCTAGCTTTAGCTAGCTCACCAGAGAACAGAGATAAGAGCCCACAAACATGTAAAAACTCTCATGATTCCTGAAGCGAACCAAACAATTTCGTAGTGACCTCTCAAATAGGCAACAGTAAGCACCAAAACTTCATAAGAATGAGAGCCAATCCTCTATAACATAGGATAACATCACGCGTTTAAATTCCTGAACTGTCGAGTAGAAATGCATGTTATGTACTGAAAGTAATAACTACATTAATTAGTTATGGGTCCTGTACAATAGTAATGAGTTTATGACCATAACCTTCCGGTTATGGAATCACAGTTGCGGAATCCGGAGTATTGTGAACACATGTCAATTGTGCGTGGTGTATAGTCCTATTAGGGTAGTTGCCTAAATTTTATTTTAATGTCCGTCTGGTAGATTAATTTAAAACATTAGATACGTATTTTTCTTTACTCACAAAATTAAATACTTTCGACGATATATTAATCTGAAATATCGTGTGACGTCCCACTCCTAAACTTAACTCCATTTTGTCTATGTATTGTAACTTTATACGAGAAAATAAAAAAATACTTATCTAATATTTTTTCATTGTCTAACTGACGGACTAATTAGATTTTAAATTTTCATTCCCTGGCAACTACCCTATTAGCTATATGTATAAATAAAAATAAATTTCTGTAAGTTAGTCACGCTAAAACTCGAGAACGGCTGAATCGATTAGGCTCATTTTGGTCTTGAAATATTCTTTGAAGTCCAGGGAAGGTGTGAAAGGTTAGAAAATAGTTTAGGCGGTACGAAATTTGCCGGGTCAACTATTACGTATAGGTATATTAACATAACTGGCAAAAGGTCAGTGTTTTTTATTATTGTACACCTCTGTGTATCCCTTCGGGGAATTAAAGGAGTGATATTATGTTCAATTATTACAATGATTATAGTATAAAATACGAGTGCACTTGTTAAATACGAGTACAATGATTATAGTATAAAATACGAGAATGCGCGAAATTATTAGTTTCATACATATCAATAAATGACATTTCACTTCTGTTGATTGAACGTTCAACTTTCATACTATAATGCCCATGATCCTTTCAATATTAAGTGGTCTTCCGCCGAGACTACGTGCTACGACTTCTAGTGAAGATAAATTTATTGCAATAACTAGCAAGCAGAATAGACGTCGAACAGCTCCAGCAATTCGTGTTGTAGACAACAAACCTCGGGAAAAACCTGTATTGTCTACAGTGCAAAGCCGATTACGAGACGCTAAGTTGTTTGGTCGTTGCTGTTCGAAAACCTCTTTCAAAACCAGAGAATTAGAAAAAGAGTGCAATGGGCCCTCTCCCATCGCGACTGGACCTAGGAAAACAAAAGTACTTAGGAGAGACGAATCAAAATTTGAAATATTCGAGTTAAAAAGAAGAATTTTCGTGCGACTTTCCGTCAAGAAAAGATGATACCACATTGTGTAATGCGCACTGTTAAAAATGGTGGCATTGGTGACGAATCTGTTATGTTCTTGGGTTGTTTCTCAGACTCTAGGAATCGAACCTTAAAAATTTAGTCCAAACCAAAGGCAAAATCAAAAAGGAGAAATACAAAGAAATTGTAGAGGAAAGCGCCATTACTTCCGGATTAAAGTTAATCGGCTAAGGATTTATTTTCCATATTTTTTAGACCCAAAGCATAGTTCGAAATTATTTAGAGACAACTCAGACAAAAACAGTTGAAAAAAGTATTAGAAAACATGACATGGCCCCGATCTTAAATTTCCTGAATGTGGAATGCATTGGAGGATAGCTGGAATAATATCTCGCAATGAAAACACTATAGTTAGATAAATAAATTGCTCGCATGCCCAGATTGGTAAAAAACGTAACATTACACATTAAACATTCTTGTGTTTGTTTTGTTAAGAATCGTGTATTCATCTTCTTTTCTTTTGTAGTTTTAAATCTTGTGTGTGTAACATGAAAATAAATCGATTTTTTTATAAGTCCACAATGAAAACATGTTGAGTATTATTTGTTTTCTCACATGTTTTCATTGTGGACCGGTAGTATATATCGTGATATACCTAAATCCGATATATCTAATGTATATAAATAATTTTGTCTAATCTAGTAAAAATCTGTGTTTTAGATTCACTTGTCTGATTTTATAGTAGTTGTTTTTAAAAACTAAACCATTAAAAACATTTTAGTTTTTTTCTAAATAATATTTTATGTTATTATTTTGTAAAATATGCAAAAATGTAAATTAAATAAAAAAAAAACAAAATAACGGTCATACAAAATGGATACATTCTTTGCCAGTCTATATTTCCTGGGTCACCTGGGTGTCAACAAGGCCCGAGTGAATAGGTTGCTTTTGGGACGACGTGCTCCATCGTAAACCGCATCATCGCTTACCACCAGGCGAGATTGTGGTCAAATGTCGGTCCATCAAATATAAAATATTATATATATAAATATTCAAATCCTGATTCATTTTGCATTCGCCATGATGATTAACAAACCACAGGGCCAAGCATTGACTTTGTGGCTTCAATTTAGAATATGCATGTTTTTCTCATGGTCAATTTTACGTAGCATGTTCACGTGTCGGTAAACCATCCGCTTTATTTGTTTATTAAAAAAAATCTGACACGTGTTTTAAGTACTTAATTTTTTTTATTCTCTTTCTGTATGTGTCTATTGTTCATAATAATAAAATACTTTTATACGTAATAATAACATAACAATAATAATGTAATACGTAAAATATTAAATAATAAAAATAAATAAATACGTTCATCGAAGCCTAAATTAGTTCAGCTAAAAGGTAACACGACATTAATTGACTATTAGGCGGTACGAAGTTCGCCGGGTCAGCTAGTATATACATATATTATAAAACGACGCGGACGAAGTCGCGGGCAACAGCTGTTGCCCTCATAGAATAATGGCTTCTGGCAGAATTTAGGCTTTTGAATTAGTCTTTATCAAGGGATATTCTACGGTACGGTGCGAATGCCGTCATAGTTGATTCAGTACCTAGTATAGGGTTCCTCCCCCGTAGATGATAGCGTGATAATATGTAGCCTATATGTTGACCAGACTTGTTAGTAATATTCATGCAAAATTTGAAGTAAATCCATGCAGTACTTTTTAAGATCTTCCCGGACATACATACAGACAAACGGATAAACAGATAAAAAATCTAAAAACCATATTTTTGGCTTCGGTATTGAGTGTAGATCACGCCCCAAGTACTCTTTTAAAAAATATTCAATATACAGTTTTGACTCTTCTACGGTTTTATTATATGTATAGATATCCGATATTTTCGAACCCTTTTCATAATAATGACAATTTAAAGCAGGTAGCTGAGGAAGGGCGTGAAGCTGAAGCAAGTGCTCCGACGGGCGTGGCGCGTCGTTCTCACACGCAGCAACACGCCCACTCCCCTCATTCACCACACTCGCAAAATCAGAGATGGATGCGTGCTGCAGGTACTAAGTCCTTACATCTACCGTTTAAAGATTTCATGAAATCTTATCAATATGTGTACCAGAAAAAAATGTATCAGAAAAACATGAGCACTAGCACACTAGATATGCTTCTGGGCTTAACGAAATAATGGGTGCAAAGAATAACGCGAAAATAAACTACATATTAGCTTCTGCCCATGATGTCGTCCGTGTAACATAGTGAATTTAAGCAGAAACTTACGTGTTATCTAAATACTAATATATAAAGCTGAAGAGTTGTTTGTTTGAACACACTAATCTCTGAAACTACTGGTCCATTAGAATATTTTTTTTTTGTTCTGGATAGTGCATTTACTAAGAGGACTATCACTAAGACACAGGATTCTGCTCACTACATACAGGGTGCCCAATATTTTTTCAAGGTTCTCTATTGTCCAAGTTTACACATGCACAGGTTGCTGTCTATTCTCTTTCACATGTACACTAGCTAGGGTCGATCAACCGGCGGTAGCGGCGTGAGATTCTAGAGAATACGTCGTCATATGTAATTAAAGAGTGAGACGGATAACTTACGAGAGAAAAGTCTACGACTCCTGCAGCTGTAGCCAAATGCCATTTAGTGCTGTCTACACGCAGAGTAGAAAACCAAATTATAAGGAATTGACGTAAATTTTGACACTTGTCTGTGGTATCCCCATACATTTTGATTTCTACTCTCTTTGTAGGCTAGCGCTAAAGTGGCGTTTGGCTAAAGGCCCTGTAATGTTAGCGTTGGAATGGCTTCCTGTCCTCGCCACTGTAGTTTAGGGCCTGTAACTGTAAAGTTCAAGTTCATAAAGTCCATATATAACTGTAAGGCGACTGCCGCGTCAAAACCGCGCTTATATATAGTAGATATCACGGATGACCATAGCGTATGAAAGCTGGCTATGTAAACCATTATGTCTACTTTACACGGCATGGCAACCGTGCCGTGATAGTGTGCATGTGAAAAGGGCCTAACAACAAAGGTAACGATAGTACCCTAACTTCATTCTAGAGCTACATATATATTACCTTTCAGCTGTTTAAATATGAATGTATATTTCTCAGACAGCGAGAGTGGAACGCGCGGCCGAGGCATGCGTTCCCGTGGTCGACCCTCAAGAAGATCCCACAATTATATGAGGTTCTAACTTTTTAAGTTTAACTATAAGACAAAAAATCATATTACGTCAAAATATTTTCCATTCTTAATAAGTAATTTCCTTAATTAAAAGAACAAACAAATATTTCCATTTCAATGTGGTTTGTGATATTTATTTACTTCATTTTTTTTTTGTTAGTCCTACTAGTATAATAATCGTTAGAATAATAAAAAAATAATAAGCATGCAGCATGTTAATGTATTTTTGTTTGACAGGAATATTTGCAGATACAATTGTAACATTTTTTGTCATTGTAAACTTTATATTCTTATGATCTGCCTGATGTGCTTGTTGTTTTCATGTATAAGTACATACAAATAAAAGATAAGACTAATATCAGTTCAAATATATTAAATGGCTGGCAACCAAAATAATTTGCTAATTTTTTATTTGTATGTTTACATTTAGTGCAATATTATACATTGAACCTGTCATATTGTATGTAAAATGCAATAATAACAAATACGGAAAATGATTATATTATTTATATTCCGACAATCTCATGATTTGGATTGATTTCACCTGCAACAAAGATTTAATTTTCATCTTTTCTATCTGTAATAATAATTATGTGATATAACAGAAATAATATAATCTAGACCTGTTTGATGAAAATGTGAAGTAAATAAATAATCATACTATAGTTGAATAAAAATAAACTTATTCATGTTTAGCTATAGCTAATATGCTTAGAAAATGTTCTTATTAAAATAAAAGCAATAAAATGTAAAAAAAGACAGAGTTGCAGCATTGTTTGCCTAGATGTATGATATACATTGAAGAAATTTAGCTACTGGTTATAAAAGTCCATCAACTTGTCTAAATAATATTATTTTCTAAAGTGAATAATACGATTTTATATTTGGTGTGAGTTCTGAAACCGACAAGAAATATTTGTACAATTGGCTGATGTATGCTCTTATTATTTACATTTAAATAAATTATTGAACTAAACGTCAATTTTGCAACATCATTCTTACAGACATTATTTTGTTGTGCATGTAAAGTTTAAAGTATTAATTCAATTTAATCATTTATATATGTATCATTTGTTACAAGTGGTGTAACATTAAGCTATTATTATAATAGACTTTACGGGAATAAGAATAATAGTTTGCGTTATTCTAGAAGTAGTCGCAAATTATTATTATTAAGTACTAATAAATGTTGACCTTTAAATTTAATAGCGATGTTGTAGTCACAAAATATTGACGTTAGATATTCTGTAGGTAGATCCTTTAAAAGCGGTTATTCCCGCTCGTCACCCCAAGCTTTGTCCCCTCCGGTGACAAGTGGGAATTATATTGAAAAAAAAATCCCATATGTCACCCCCAGGTGACGAATGGGATTCCACTTAGAAATCATCCCAGTCGTCACCGCTAATAAAAGCTTGCTAAAACCATAGTTTTACATTGCGAATGGAAATTTGTTTTTGAACTAAATAATACAATAAAATTAGACAGCCAAAACTTTTTATTTGCTTTTATTTTCAAAATCAGGTTCTAAACATTTTACATTCAACACAAAAGTATTAACAACAGTCTTTGCATATTATCACAAATCAACACAATTTACATAATTGACTAGGCTACATTCATTGGTTTGAAAGTAATTACAATAGCATTACAAAGTTAGTATAGATACATTTTAAGATTTTTTTAATATTATTTTTTTTATATTTTGTAATGCTATTGTGATTACTTTCAAACTGAACCAATGAATGTAGCCTAGTCAATTATGTAAATTGTGTTGATTTGTGATAATATGCAAAGACTGTTGTTATACTTTTGTGTTGAATGTAAAATGTTTAGAACCTGATTTTGAAAATAAAAGCAAATAAAAAGTTTTGGCTGTCTAATTTTATTGTATTATTTAGTTCAAAAACAAATTTCCATTCGCAATGTAAAACTATGGTTTTAGCAAGCTTTTATTAGCGGTGACGACTGGGATGATTTCTAAGTGGAATCCCATTCGTCACCTGGGGGTGACATATGGGATTTTTTTTTCAATATAATTCCCACTTGTCACCGGAGGGGACAAAGCTTGGGGTGACGAGCGGGAATAACCGTTTAAAAGTTGTCCTACTTCATAAATGACTTGAAAATGTTGGAGTGTTTTCATTTAATCATCTATTCCCTATTTCAATGGGGTCAGTCATCTTAAGAACATTTCCAATTATTTCTATTTGTAAAATTTATAAAACTGATAATAAACGTAAATTCAAAATAACAAAGAATTTAATTTAAATTTACCTTCTTGATTTTTTTTTCTTTCTAACACTAGGAAACTGACCCGTCGCGGTCTTGTGTTTCAAGCAATATTCGACCCGAGCAATGGTAAATTAATCCATTCATTAAATTCTTCCTGCCATATGACGCAAATTGTCCATTATCTTATGGTTACTTAAAAAAGCTTTTGTTACCATTTCAAATCACAATCTGTAATATTTATTTACTTTACCATTCACGGGACCACAGGGTCCCGGTCATTTGGGAGGCGTACGAGGAGCTGAAGCCAACTGCGCAGAGGCCCTTTAGACAACTTTAATATAAATGTAATGGACACACAAACCGGCGACTATCCCTGTATGCACTATGGAAATGCACCCAAGGACAGTCCCCGGTTAGTGTAGGACTATTGTGGATAAGAAAAAAAAGGTAGGGCTATGGATGGGTTGCTGTGGACTGGTAAATTAGGAACTATGGATGACTATGGCACCTGCCGAAACAATGTAATTTTTATTACACGTAAAAATGGCAGGCGGAGACTCGCCAACTCACCGACCGGGCCCCGGGAATGGTTGCTAGATATAGCAACAGAGGGGCAACGAGAATGTGAGTGGCTGAAGGGTTAAGAAACTACCACCGCTTTCTACTCAGATCATCTACTCCAGACGAAGCCTCCTGCATCCCTGGCCCACTCGCGACTTACGAATAGTTTCTTACCCTCCGAGCAGGATCACTGCTCTCGCGACTCCACTCTAACCGGCCAATGAAGGCAAGCCAGAGGTGGGAGACTCGTTCCTTGTCATCATTCACTCCAGCCAGCCAATTAAGGCAAGCCGGAGAAGAAGGAACGGTGACCTCTCCCTGGAGCACTCGGGATGATGGTAGCCCGCGGGATCGCTAATGCCCGTCACCTCGCCTCAAGGTGCCCTGCGGGTATTATTATTTACTTATAATTTAGAACAGAAAAGTTTCGCAAACGAAGAGTACCTAGTACTAGTACTAGAGGTGGGAGTCCAGGGATTACAAGACACGTTGTGATATAGGTATTTCTTGTTAGTAATAATTTTTACAAGCTTTTCTAGGTTCAAATGACGAACTGATGTTTTGTCCACTGCTAGTGGTACACACGGCCACACATCAATGTATACAAAACCAGTTTAACCTGGTATCGCGTCGCATCATCTTTCCGTACATTTAACGTTCGTTTTATACTGGTTATGTAAAGCTCGATGTGTAGCCGTGTGTACGACCAACAACACACCATTGGCAATTTTTAATTGTAAAAAATGTCCCTAAAAACGTAATTCTCTCTTCATGGTATATTCCCGTTGTCCCTTGCCCCTACTTTGGTGAACATTGCAACGCTTTTTTTTAATAATTATTTTGGTCTACCCCTCTGAGAGACAACACAACTATGTATTTAAAACATATTCTAAGTTTACCTATCCTAGTCGAGGTGCACTTACATGGAAAACTTCAAAAAAAAACGATAAGAATAAGCCTTAAGTCAATTGTCCTCGTAGTTTAAATTACCCGACCGGATTCCCTAAACATCTACCTACCCTTGTAATAGTAACTTACAGATTTATGACATTATTATTATCATTTTAACTGATGACTAAAGGTGAGCTATAGCTGATTACTATAATTTGACATCTTCATTGTTGAATAGTGTTATCAAATAATTTCGCAATACCTGAAACTTGTTCAAACAAGGCTAGGTCCTTGATAAAAATATCAAAATACCTTTTTTATAATTAGAAATAATAATACCAGTTCAGTACGCATATATGAATGGTATAAAATTTAAACTTAACTCCATGTTAATAAGTTGCATAGGTAGATATCGGTTTACGAATCTGATTGATAAGTGAGTGACAGTACTTAATTTGTTTTTCATTTGTAACAACCAATTGGGTACCTTCCATGATAACTAAAAAATTGTAAATAAATAAGTAACTGAATAAATACATCTTACAGCCGTACATACATAATAGGCATCTACCTACATAGGTACATGTATTACATTCACATTAGAATAGAGCCTGTTCTGCACAAAGACAAGTCATTTCCAATGACGCAAATACATGTGGGCTCACTCTACTGGATAATTGTGCTGTTGAAGTGCCCAAAGAGCATAGTTACAATCTATCTACTGTCGTTCAAAACAGAGTTATGTAGGTTTTTTTTTTTAATTTGGCTAAAAAAAAGGTCTGTGCCCTACAACACAGGTACTTAGATTATTATTTTTACAGCAAATGGAATGGTTTAGAATGGCTCGACTTACTAAATAAAAGTAAAAAGAAAGATAACAGGCATAGTCAAGTTAGGTAGTACCTACATAAAAGAATTGTAAAAAATGTGTAGGTACACAATAACACAATCTTGAAATTTGGTGTTAGTATTGCTAAGACATGGTTATCAAATGTTGATACTGATATGAAGCTATATTTAATCACGATCACAAAGAAAACAAACGTGTATTTATGAATATTTATTGTTTTGATACAGGAATAATTACATGCCTAAACCAAACAAAGAATTAGAATGTTGCAATATTTTCTCCTTAATGTGGTATGTAATATTATCATAACACAGTGTGAAAGTGCCAATAATTATAATAATCACCATTTAAGTATAACATAATACATCATCATTAAGCTAAACCTTAAAATTAAGCTTTACCATATGGTCAGATAAATCAACACAGTACATTTAAAATAATGAAAATATCAATAGTAAAAGTTAATATCCATAAACATTTTCATCAGAAAATGCTATGTAGAGAAAGAAATCTTCATCATGATGCTCTTGGTACAGAGATCCCATTGTGGCTGATGTTGGAGGAATGACATTGTTGACAAAGAAAAACAAGGCGTCCTCTGGTCGAAGATGAATGCGTTTTCTGATCAAAAAGTAGAATTGTCCAACTGTTAAATCGGACGGTACCAAATATTTCTTCTTGTCGAGGTCTCCAAGCCTGGCCTTCGGGGCTTTCTCAACAATTACCGGAACACGATCAGGATACTTCCTGCGAATCTTTTCGCCTTCGGTCTTTCTCTTTTCAAAAGAATGTTCTTCTTTATATTGGAATTTCATTTTGAGGTATTGCGCACTCCACAATTTTCAAAACTATCACCAATAAAGTCGGATCTGATATCTACTGCGACTTGTTTTTTGTTTTTGCGTTATATGACTACGGAGCAGTGACGCAATCAGCTGATATGACAAGCAATACAAAGAATACAAAGCATTTTTCTCTTTTATATGTTGGCAACCATGTTTTCTTAAAGCTGGAAACAGACTTGAAACTTACAAAGGGGCTAATGCGTACGCATAAATACCCGGTAGAGGCACTGGTGTCATAAGAATTTTCGAAATGTGAAATCTGCTATTTAAATTAAAATTAGTAAGATTAGTTTTTAGCGTTTATTTCTTTTAAATTATTTATACAATGTTGTGAATTTCGCATTATATTATTGCATAATTGCAAAGCATCAAAATCATTTATATTTAAACATTACATTTATGATCATCGTGGAATGAGTATGAAACCGAATCGAACCGATGATGTACTTCGGCAGCTGTAGCCAAATGCCATTTAGCGCTTGTCTACTTGTAGAGTAGAAAACTAAATTTTATGGAATTGACGTGAATTTTGACACTTGTCAGTGTCATCCACTTTGATTTCTACTCTCTCTGTAGACAAGCGCTAAAGTGGAGTTTGGCTAAAGGTACAGTATCTGGCGTGCCAAAGACGTACCATGCCTTAGTAATATATTAATATGTCTGTCTATAGTCCTGTATTATCCTATAACCAATGCTGGACATAATATATAGGTCACGACTCGTGTGTCGTGGCCGTGGTCCAAGTAATAAGTATTGTAAGTACTGAGTATACCTAAGCCGGTAAATGAGCCAACGGTGACCTGATGGTAAGCAATCGGTGCTGCCCATGGGCATCCGAAATATCAAAGCCAGAGGCGTTAAAAATGAGCCAGAGGCGTCCGGTAACTTCACTCACATAACAACAATAGAACACAAGCGTAGTTTCACGACAAGTTTTCTTGGAGGCTGTGGTATCATTACGGTCGAGGTCGAGCCGGCCCATTCATACCGAACCATGACTCTACCACCCATCCTATCCCTTTCCCATTTTGAGTATTTATTTGAAAAATCGGTTATTATAGTCATGTTACTACAGAAGCCAATCAGTATCGTGTATTTACTACGGTTAGAGTAAAAAAACCTAACTTTTATTTTGCGACGGTCGCTAAATGTTTACTGGTTTATTGGTCGCCATTGCACCACGCTAATGTATATCTGCCTTAATAGTTTAGAATATCAAATATCAACATTCTATTTATCTGTTGAGATATTGCAAATAAAAATATTAAATAATATTTTTAGTGGCAGTTAAAGTTTGATGCTTCCTCAGCTTGTAATAATATAGAAAAAAATCGGTTAGTTTTGTTTCTTAATTATGTTATACGGCCCGGGGCTGGTAACACTAAACAGCGGCTCAACTCAATCTCATTCAGCGCATTTCGTTATCGTTACGTTTTCGTTTGCTTGTTGCTTGCTCTTCTGAGTTCTAAAGCTTTGGCGTGGATTCTCTGTTTCTGTTTCTCTGCCATTTCTAAGATTTCGAATTAATATGCGTAAGCGAAAATCTGTAAAGAAGAATGACGATGATTCAGATGGATCTGAACCGGCAGCGGAACCTGAAGAATTCCAAGACTCTGGTGAAGATTGGACGCCGGATGCCGATTCTGTATGTGATTACTAAATTCACCAATATTATTCATCATTTAGTACTTTTATTTATATTGAATTACAATATTAAATATTTTTTATAAATGGAAATGTTCCTTGGTGTTTATTTTGGTAAAATTTTATCTATTAGAATTATATGATATAGGTTAAGTTAAAGTGTACGTCGTACGATTATCAATTGAACACTTTTAAATGCATTATTCTTCATATTATTCTAGTATTATTGACAAATATTAATAATATACCATTATTATAATTTTAAAAATAATTGTTATTAACAGAATGAACAACCTGGCCGAGGAACTCGTAAGCGTACTTCTAAAGCGTCCTTGAATAACAGCAAAAAGAAACGCAAAAATTCCTCTTCTGAGGAAAGCGAAGGTGAAGGAGAGGAAGATGAAGAAGCTGAAGATGAAGAGGGGGAACTGGATGAAGAAGAAGGCTCTGATGATGAGAAAAATGGGTCTGATGGGAATAAATCCGATTCCAGTCAGTCAAAAGACGTACCAAAGCACTTCCATGTGAGTATTTGCATTGATTTTATTATGTGATGTGATTACTATTGTTAGTTAATGTTGTGGTGGCATCATTCAAGTCTGAAATTATTTATTGAAATCTGGAAAGTACCGTTAGTAAGTAGAGTTCAGTCAGCCAAGTTATTTAGTAAACAGGTAAGATGACAAAGAATCATTGATTATAGGGATAGTAACTGCTGGTTGAACAAATTGAACAAATACTCAAACCTTATGATAACAATTGGAGAAGAGGCCTTTGCTCAGCAGTGGGCACCAATAAGCCAATGTTGTGTGATGTGTGCTTATTAACTTGTGAATATTGGAATTACAAATTACCATTCAATGATTTCAGTCTGGAAACTTTGTATTGCTAAAATCTGATGTAAAGTGGAATGGAGATACAGTCACCTCTAAGTTGGATGAAATTAATTTGTGGAAAATTGATGGAAAAGCCCTCCTACAAAAATTTATTCCAATGGAATCAAATGGTAAAATATTGCACAAATGCACATGTGTGGTGAGTATCTGTATATTTAAGGCAATTCACACAAACTATTTTTAAGTACTAATGATAGTTTATGGAAGTACCTTACATAAAAATTTTATAATGTAGGTACTATTTAATTTTTTTGTGTTATGTTTATTACTATTGGAATTATATTTAGCCTGAAAATAAATGATGCAAAAGTTCACTATTTATGAGGGATCGGATTACCCTATTTTTTTTTATTTGAGATAGTTACATGATTATAATTAGTGCAAAATATGTGATTTAAAGAAGCAGACTTGTGAGTTAAAACACAATAGTATTATCTTGGTGACTGTTATAAACTTGTTCATGTTTAATGACCAAACTTGTTCATCAAAAGTAGTCTCTAAACATGAGATATGAGGTCTGTGGAGTAAGTAAAGAGGACATCGGTGTTCTCTTAGGGAATTAGAAATACTAAGCTCAGAATAATTCTTAACATACTAGTGTGTTGGACACACACTATCAAATGAAATTTTATGTTCAGTTGTATATTTGCTGCATGCATTTTACATGTATGTGGTGGTACAATCACACATTTAATATTCATCGATAATATTTTATTTTGCAGTATTCTGGATGGAATGTTGACAACCGAGATAATTATTATCCCATCACCGAAATATTGGATCGGAATCCACGTACTGATTCCAAGGAAATATGTGTAGCATTAGATCTAAATGATCTTATCAAAGTAAGGGACAAGTAAATCCATGGTATTTTTTACTTAATTCAATTAGATAAGTGAAAGTAAATTAATTAATGATTCTTTAATTCCTGTTTACTTGTATAATTCAACTTCATTCCAGATTACTTTGTGTAATATTTTATAAGCTGGGGATTAAATGTTCAATTCTACAATAGTTTTATTGTTTGTTTTATTTGCAATGTTTATATTTATTTGGATTTACAATAAGTCTTATCATGCAGGGTTTGGAAGTAGGCTGTATGTATCAGTTATGTGTACTCAGCTATGTAGTCTCTGAAGTCTGATCCACTTGACTATTGTTAAATAACCATAGAAAATGGGCGGTATCTTTTTCAAATCTGCAAACTAAATGTGCCAACTAAATAAATTAATGGAAGTGTAATTTTGATGAAGGAATTATGTGCTCACTACATGTTGCCAATCGCCAATGCACTGTGAAGCTATATTCGGTAATTGTCGAAAATTTTATGTCATAATGACTGCAAAAGGGGCCCAAAAACCCAAACCCAATTAAAATTGAATAATTCATACCTATAACAATATAAAATGTCCTAAAAGGTCTAAAACGCTAATACGCTTAACCAAAACCATAACCGAACGGACAAAACGACGATTGTTAAAAAAACGGATATATTGGTTTACTATATCTACCTGTAATAGTCTATCATGCCACAAATTATTCTAGTCTATTCTGGGCTTTTGCTCTATACAATTTTGATTTCTCCTTTAGCAAATACTTTGATTCGCAGTGTTTCCCGAGGATTGTGCTGCTTTGATTGATATACGGTAAAAATAATTTCATTTTATGGAATAGGCCGGCAAACAAGCAAATCGTGGTAAGCAATCGGCCCCGCCCAAGGACATCAGTAACACCGAAGGAGTAGGAGAGTACGTAGATAGCCGGACACATTTGAAGATTGGAGAGATCGGGAAGGGGAGAAATTGGGTCTCCTCCAATACTAAAACTCAACCTTCCATTAGATAGAGTACCCTCTTTGAGGAGTGGCTTGAGAGATGCTACAGCTAATATGTGTAAGAATAGGTTTACTTTGCCTCAAGCTTAATCCAAGAATCTTAACTCTTTATTTACATTATAACTCGTTTCCTAACCGCTTATTTTCGATCAATTAGAAAAATTAAAAATTGTGATTATACTGATCTTGCAAACTGCTTCTGCCATACCAAGTACCAGTTTCGCTAAATAGTACTTTTCGTAGGTATTGTATATCCCATATCCGCATTGAATACTCATCGCCATCGATTACAATATTTTAAGTATTTAACTCGGACTTATCTGGCAACCCTGAAAAAAGACATGTCATATTGTCAATTTGATTCATAGTTGATTGGAATGGATGATGTTTATTTTGTAGATGTACAGTTGAACTAACTGCAGACAGCAGGCAAAATAATCATTATAAAAATAATGAAAACTAAAATTGTTGCCTCTAAGAGTAGTATAAATATCATGTTATGAGTATAATTGTGGTAAATCTGGAAACTGGAAATTATTTTGTCGCGTAACTGCTTAGACATTCATATAATTTATTTATTTGGCTTTTCGTTCCATTCATGTCGTTCTCATTTCGCATTGAGAAACATATTTGAGAAAGCACCAAAGGCTACCTACTTATAATATTTTATACTGCGTTTTCGTTATTTGCATAGGTATTGAAATTGTCAAAATGAGTGGAAATAATGAACGTGTGGGTAAGTTTTTTTTATTCTATAGGTATAATTTTCATTTTATATGTTACTACTTAAGTACATAATATACGGTTATAAAAATTTACTCTTAAAAAGAAAATATATTATACAGCAATAAATGACACAAGACTTCCATTTCTTATAATCAGGATATACAACATACTTATGTTTGTTTTTGGGTCCTTTAATAACTACTATTCAGTTCAAAAATTGACTGACTATTTATTGTGAAATGTAATGTGTGATTAAGATACTTGCATAGCCCTTCTAAAAGTCCTGTCAAGAGTTTTTGCTAACTTGATCAGCATATTTATACTTTTTACTGATTTCTATTACCTATTCAGTCTCATTGTTTATTGTTCTTTTTTACAGACATAGATTGTGCTGTTTGTTTACAAAAATGTAACCATCCGACACAGCTGCCATGTGGCCATGTCTTCTGTTTCCTCTGTGTGAAGGTATAGTCAACAGTTGACATAGATACAAAAATACATAATTCATGCACCTATTCAAATTGTATGGTTGCAAAACTTTAAATTGACTATTATACAACTAATACCTATCACAGTAGTGTATAAAGTTTAGAGACATTTATTTGTTTGGTTATTATTTACTATTTTGATAAAATATAATATACAGCAGTGGTTCCCGAAGGTACTACAACCTATCTAAATCAAGTAACCATACTCAGGAGTCGGGACCAGGGTTGTTGCTGATGCAGGAACTCGTCAAAGAATTTCAACAATTTTCTTAGATCTTAGGTACAGATTGTTAAAAAAAAAACTAATTAAAAACATATTACAAATTATAACATCTCGGGAGGTTTCCTGAATGCCTTTTTAACTAGGACAAATTTGTGATACCTGGACAGATGGCATTCAAATTCTGATAATTCTGATATTAAACAGAGATAATATCTTAATCAGGAATTGTTATTTTATATAATAACAATTCCTGATATTTTATATAAACTTTCACCTAAAGTAGAAACTTTCTTAGAAACTCCTTTAACCTTTCATGTGTCTAAGATGTGAATCCACACGAGACACAATGTATTTTCTATTGTGTCTCATCTTATATCAGTGCATTCAAAATGTTAATAAATCAAATCACTTTTATTTGATATGCTTCACTCACATCACTGTCAGATCATAATATAATATTTTCAATATCTTTTGTATTTTTTCAGGGTATTGCATTTCAAAGTAAAAAATGTGCAATGTGTCGAGCTGAAATCCCTCCAAATTACCTGGATAATCCAATACTTCTGGGTCCATTGTCTGCTGAGCAAGTGAACAATAGTCTTGCTGAAGAAGTGTGTCAGTGGTTTTATGAGGGTAGAAATGGTAATTAAATTAGTTTCTGACATTGGAATTGGAGATTTAGTGGACATAAAAAATTGGAAGAGCTTAGCGTAAAGTTTGCCTGCATTACTTCTTCCAGTCCTTGGTCGCAACTACTACGGCTTCCTATCCTATTGTCCGTGTCGCGGAGGACCTAACGGGTAACCGGGGCTCCGGCTCGACGTGCAGGAAAAGGAAGGGGTGGTTTTTAGTCAGTAAGAGTCTGACACTCCCTTCCGCCTCACCCAGGCGGGAGCAGGCATTCGATGATTTTCCACCCTTAAAAAAAAATCCCATTGTCCGTCAGTTTATCTAGTGATTCGATCTATGGCGATTGGTGGTCACTGTGGTTCTTTAGGAACTCCCATATTCTGGATTTTGTCACAACTCTCGCGCGACCATCGAATTACTCGTGAGTCACTCTCAAAAGCCAGTACGTCTTAGTATCATATTATATCAACGCTGGTTAAACATACTCGTCTTTTTAGAGACAGACGAAAAGATTTGAACCGTACCATATTCACACCATCTGAACAATCTGAGCATATGGATCTTGTCCCATGGACAAACATGCAAAGGAGGAGTCAATTTAAAAATAAGAGTAATAAAGCACTCACTATTCTTTAAGGTTTTTTAAAGCCATTTGACATAACTATGCATATTGTCCATATTCATATTAAAACCCATTTGTTTGGAAAAGCAAAACAAACTAAAAGTTTTCACATAATATCATACTTAATGTATTTCAGGATGGTGGAAATATGACGAACGTAGTAACTTTGAATTAGAAAATGCATTCAATGCTGGTGATCCTGACTGTACTTTACTCCTTGCTGGAACCTTGTACAACATAGATTTTCAAACTATGACACAAGTTAGGAGAAGTGATCAAACTAGGCGTCGTCGAGTGAGACGAGATACGCCATCTTTCCCGTCCAAAGGTATGTCAAACAAATACTTTATAATATAGTATTTTTTTAATTTAGACATATTAAGACCTAGGTATCTTATATATCTTATATATATGATGTCGTGGTGGCCCGGAGGTTTAAGACGTCCACTTCTCATGCAAGAGGGTGCGGGTTCGAAACCTACCAACGGCTAGTACCAATGTGACTTTTTCCGAGTTATATGTACTTTCTAAGATTATTTAGACACCACTGACAAACGGTGAAGGCAAACATCGTGAGGAAACCTGGACTTATAATTTCTAATTATAAGTTTGAAATCGCCAACCCGCATTGAGCAAGCGTGGTGATTAATGCTCTAACCTTCTCCGTGTGAGAAGAGGCTTTGCTCAGCAGTGGGCATTTATAGGCTGTTGATGATGATGATGATCTTATATATTACTTTTTATCTCAGTTTATACCTTGTGCAATAGGCTATTTGAAACGATTACGAAAATGTTTGTAAAAAAGTTATTTAATACAAATTCGTTGCTTTTTGCATATTATGCTTCGATAATATTGCTGTCTAAAATTTATCTATAATTATAAGAATGAAACGCCCCTAATATCTCGAGAGCAGATAAACCTATTTCGATAAATCTTTTTTGTTGGGTTTGTTATTGTTAGAAAGTTACGAAGGCGTATAGGAGAAGTATAGAAGAAAAAAAGAATTAAGGCAAAATAAAGTTTGCGGGGTCTGCTAGTAACTTCTTATTAAAATTGGTTATTTATCATACATCATATTTTGTACATATTTCGCCGTTTTAGTGCACATTTGCATGCATATTTTGGCAGTTTGATATTACATTACACATAATCCGATGTCTAGTTTTTATACAGATTAAAAAATGGTCAATTTTAAACTTAATTACAAAATCAAAAGTGTGATTTGATCGTAAGTCTTATTTATTGTTTATTAATATTTTTAGGAATAGCTGGAATTAAGACTGACGACGGTGGTACAAGACAAGTTAAGAGTGATGATGAAGATACAGCGGACGTCGTACATATACCTACTGTAGATGAAGTTATAGAAATTAGTGATGATGAAAGGAGTAATTTAGATCAACCGGGTCTTATTCATAATGAAGATATCAATGAAGTGATTCACAGAATTAGGTAATTTACAATCTTCTTATATAGTTATTGAATTATCTGTAAATACATCGAAGAACACAAACGATAGGTCCATTGCTCTGAAAAAAAAACAAGATCGCCATTAAATTGCAAAGGATAAACTTATAATCCTCAAAATTGTGGGAAGCCATGTAAAGAAGCATAAGTGTTGCTTGCATTGCTTCGGCACGAATGGGTCAGCTCAACCGAAGTCGTACCACGCCCCCACAGAAACCCGACCGACGACTCAAGCGTTGTTTCACCGACGTGAAACGACGTTTGCATTGTGTTTCGTCGTGTAAGTGGTAACCGGAGGCTCAGTTAACCCCTCCTAATGTCCTAAATCCCCAACAATCCTCAAATTCCTAACCCCCTACATAATTGTAAAAAGGGAAATGTGAGAATAAACATTATTATTATATTTAATATGGTGTACTCTACAACCACCACACTCGTTGTTAAATGCCGAAGGTGGTGTGAGTGTGATGTGGTGTAAATAGTCAACTCTTTTGGAGCACGGGAACAAAACTCTGACCTTCGGATCACTCGGATAAACAAATTCTAAGTCAGTGTTACTCCGGCAAGCAAGCTGTACGTATTTATCATTAACTGTGGCGTAACTACAGGGTGGCAAGTCAGCAAAATGCCACCGGGTCTCCAGCTGAAATGGGGTCCCTTTCAAAGAATGAACTTTTGGGGTATACCATAGAAAATGCCTAATGCCTATTCGATGAATTTGCCTCGGGCTTCGAACTGTATAGTTACGCCAATGATCATAAAGCCGTTTTTGTCGGGAAATCGGAATAATTTTTCAATATAGGTAATTATGTCTAAATCTAAAAATACTAGTCCGTTCGGTGCCAGCCATGTCGGTCCACTAACAAAATAGGTATGCAATACATGCAACGTGTATGACATTTTATTGCCCCAACATAGTACTTCGTATAATGATACACAGTTAAAAAAACAACTTGTTTTTATTTCAGCTCAGTCAGCCTCCACGACGTATCCACTAACCACAACAATGAAGGAACCTGATAAGAAATACCTTTTCGTCAAATAATTAAATAAATGTTACTTGTGTAATATTGGCATAGTCTGTCGTTTTCTATTGATGTTCAATTATATTTAATTGTTAAAGTAAAGTTTTTTTTTTTATATATCGATATATTTCAATATAAAGTAGTAAAACTAGTAATTAGAGACCTGGGTGCTTACTCTTAAATCCAATTCCGATCGATCGATATTGGTATTGTGAAATTTCGTACTCTCGATTTGCAACACTAGCGCCTATTGCATCCGTATTGCGTGGATATTAAATGAACTAAATGGTATTGAGTTTAGCTTTATATTCCGTACTCTGAATGCTTTTTTAACAGCTACGATAGGAGTTGTATAGTTTTAACATTGAATATTTATTGAGATTTTATTGGATTGAAATTGCATTGACATTGAGATTGGTTTCAAGAGTGAGCACCCAGATTATATGCATCAGTATAAAAGTTCCAAAATATGCATGCAACCATGCAACAAAAAATGAAGCCTGAATTATATACTAAACATGTTTGAAGTTCCAAAAATATGCACAAGCAGAATTTAGAGAGCGAAACAAGTCTAGAATTTCTAGAGAAATGTGCTTAGAATGGGTTTGCTAAAAACTAATAAATACATCCTACACAAAAGTCTTTTCACAAAGATTTTTTCATAATTTCAGCACAGCGTGCACTCCTTAGCTCGATTCGCGTCTATATTAATTGAAAAATCTATTTTTTAATGTTACTAAAATTATGTATAAGTAGATTAGTAAGCAGCTGTGTTTAATAGACTGACAAAGAATAAAAGCGATTTTGGTAGTTATTATATCTTTCACCCATCTCCGAAGGTTTGTAGAGTATACCAATAATAAACTTCCTCATGACAAGACTGCGATCCAAAAAAGCTTATATTTAGACTTCCAATTTCAATTACTATAGAAAAAAAATGTGTCATTGTGTCAACTGTCAATGAAAAATAGGTACGTTAATGTGTGTTGAGGTTATAATTTCAGTAATAGTTTGTAATTTATGAAAAAATAATTTCATAATATTTATCACGGAATTTAAATAAAAAAGTAGGTATTTAACGCTTAGTAAATATTGTTCACTGAAATTGTGCTCTTTTTTACCAAGTTCCAAAGGATTATTTAGATAATACATTGAGATCGAGTTGATATTTATTGTTGTTTTGATTTTATTTTATTATTTCTGGTTTTAGGAAAGATGCAAAGAATTTTCTCCTTAGTGAAAACAATATCATCTGCTAGGATTGGTCCTGCAAGTTATACGCAGATGCCGATGCTGACTACCTTTCAACAATTTGCGAGAGAACGATTACTACAACCAACACTGCCTATAATTAATCCAGTTTGTGGTTTTAAAGTAAAGGGTCGCGTGCGGCGTCGTTGCAAATCATGCTATTTTGTTGTGAGAGATGAAAGGTTGTATGTTATTTGCCCAAAATCTCCCCGTCACAAACAGATGGCAATGAAGCCCAAACCATTAAATACTTATATTTTAACACATGCAAGCCAGAGTCCTGTAAGACCATGGTGATGTTTATATTTATTTGTTACTGCGGTATTTAGATATAGAAGTTGTAATGTATTAAACTAATCTTAGTTTCAGCATTGTTTTATTTGTACACTCATCATAATTATAATTATTTAATTACCCATAATGTAGGTACAGACATGACTCAAAGATCCTTAAATAACTGTACATATGGTGTAATAATCCTCAAAGTCTATCAGTTTTACATTTTTATAGACACAATAGAAAACACATTGTGCCTCGCGTAGATCTACATTCTGGCATACCACGGGCTAATGATATAGAATTTAGTAAATAAATTGTGCTGTGTAACAAAATCATTTCACTTATATTGCACACTATTCATACCCAGTGGTTTCAACTTTGTCCCATTGACATTTCCTCAAAAATAACAAAACATGGTTTGTAAAATGAAAAAAAAACAAGACAATGCTTTTGTCTAATATCCACGCCATTAAAGGTCTAATTAAACTTATGTCAAAGAAAACAATTAAGGGCTATGAGCAACTGATTCTTATGATCCAATAGTAACTATTTTTATAAGAATGAACCCCATGACTTTCGAGAAAATCTGTCTGTGTGGGACCACATAAAAAGTAATAGTAATAGTGGTCTGGGCCCCTACCTAACAAGAATGATAAAAATTGGTCCTTGACCAAGAAATAGTTGACAACCCCTGCTGTAACTAAGCCATTACCTCATTATTATATTTGGCGTTTACTCTTTAGGACAGGTTTTTTTAAGGGGGGAAATCATCGAAAGTCTTCTTCCGCCTAGGTTAGGCGGGAGGGAGTGTCATCCCGTTTCCGTTACTACTCCTCCCCTTCGAGCCGGAGCCCCCGCAACTCGTTAAGTTCTCCGCGGCTCCGTATCGGCATCGGTCCTATTGGGCCCCATCCGTGGTGGTCTGGTGGCTGTTTAAGGCGCGCGCCGTAGGCTCGGGTCTGGTTCTGGTCGAGCGGCGAGCTACCTATGTTCGCTATCCGCTGGCCCGTGCTTACGGTAGCCGGAGATCGCACCACTATCCCCGAGGCCCGGAGTGTCCTTCGTGACGGCTGGGCTGTGAGGACGCAGCTCTTCGCTGCCTCACGCGCCCCGTCTCCTTGGCTAGCGTAACTGCTTCGCAAAAGGAAGAGACGACATCCTCCTCGTTCCGCATTATGGGCCGGACGCGAGATGTCGCCGTTGCCGATCACATCCAAATCACATCCCTGAGGGCACGGCGGTGCTAAGCCCGTGCAGGGCATGCCCCCACCGTGTGTTCCACCTTGTCCTCAGAGCGTTCCTCGCAGTGATGACACCCAGTCGTTTCCTCCCGCTCTATCAGACACAAACCTCCCGAAGCTCCCATATCCGGTAAGCACCTGAGTCAGGCGATTGCCTGCACCTATTGGTAAGGACGGCATAGCGTCTCTCAAGCCACTCCTCAAAGAGGGGACTTACCGCTGCAATGGCAGCGAGCCCACCCGTGCTTACGGTGACCGGAGATCGTCCCGCTATTCCCAACGCCCGGGGTGTACTTCACGACGGCTGTGAGTAGGCAGCGTGTCGCTGCCCCGCTTCCTCCTATAGGAGAAGGGATGACGAACCTTTACGCTTTGACGTGTCAGTCACCTACTTTGAAGAAATTGGCAATTATTGAGGTCGTAGATGGCGAAGGATGGTAGTGTGTCGACGAAAGCCGAAGTTTTGGGGGAGATTGAGACGTTTTATGGTCAGCTATACGAATCGGTCACTAAACCTGTTAGCTCAGTTTTGCAGATCCAAAAGCTAAGCTTACCCTACATTATACCGAGGATATCCCTCCCGAACATCAGCATATACGAGATTAGAATGGCCCTCAAGCAGCTTAAGATCAACAAGGCGCCGGCCGAAGACGAAATCACATCAGAGCTTCTGAAAGCGGGCGGAACGCCGGTACTGGCAATCCTTTAGAAGCTCTTCAACTCCATCATACTCGAAGGCGTAACGCCGGCGGCATGGGGCAGAGGTGTGGTGGTGCTGTTCTTCAAGAAACACTACTGAAAAATTACAGGCCCATCTCACTTCTGAGCCATGTCTACAAGCTGTTTTCGAGGGTCATTACGAATCTTCTCACACGTAGGTTCGATGACTTCCGGCCTCCCGAACAAGCCGGTTTCCGGAAAGGCTATAGCACCATAGACCACATCCATACGCTGCGGCAAGTTTTAGAGAAGACCGAGGTGTATAACTTGCCACTATGCTTAGCTTAGATATGATGATAATGATGATGATGAGGTCGTAGATCCACCATTAAATTATTTCTATTTTTCATACTACCTCCTTTTTTAATGGTATAATCGACGCCGCCCATGGACACCCGAAACACTAGAGGCGTTACAAGTGCGTTACCAGCCTTTAGGGGATTAGGAATTAAGGATTACGACAGAAAATATCATAAAATAAAAAAAATGTGTCACAAAACATTCTATTAAATTCATCTCGTAATAAACGTTTCGACTACTTTTGACTGATTACGGAACCAAAAGTAGGTAAGTATTGTGAGCACTTTAACTTGACATCTCCAGTGCTCACTGTATAAATATTTCGGCGATTGAAGACTTTAGGGTACGTAGCAGTGTACTGGTAGTCCATAACGGAACGGATTATTTAGCAGTAAGACCAGTACGCAGTGCTCACAGTGTAGGTACCTATATTAAAACACACCCGTTGTGTACCTACCTGGGTCGACCTCGTGTTACACCCAACAGGCGCGTGTAGATATGCTCGAGTCCTGTCAAGTAGGTGATGGGGTCCGAGACTTTCTGGGGCAGTCTACCAATAAAGAGACTAAAAGAGAGAATTAATTACCATTCTAAGGATGGAGGGAAAACGAGTTGTGATATTAAATTCTTAAAATTGATAAACGTCAAGTCAAGTAGTATTATTATGATGTGTTATGGTCCAATTCAGAGTTGTTGGGCCATGGTTGGGCTGAAGGATCTTCCCAACTCCCTTTTCTAAATCAAGAGAGTATTACACCCGTTTTCTAAAGTTGACTAAGAGTTCTGTCATGCTAATTGCAACCAAAGAGTATCCTACCAATAATATAATAAATGCGAAAGGTTTGTGTGTTTTTTACACTGATATGATAAGACTATTATACATCTATGGTTTTTTATATTAGTTAATCACGTCAAAGCGACTGAAGAAATAGTAGAGATGAAATTTGAAACAGGGGTAGATTATGGTCTGGAAAAACCTTTAGTCCCACGAGAATGCGGGCGAAACCGCTGGCAGGAGCTATTGTGCCTACCTGTAACACTCCGTGTCACAATAGGTACTAATTGGCTCGTTACCACACCAGTAAGCAGGCAGACATCCGTCGTCGCTCGTAGCTGTCGTGCAACTGTCCGCCCCACTACCCGTGTGCTCGAGACAACGTCATGTTTATTTACTAGATTATATATATCACAAACACTACATCCC